CTGTGCATCGCGCAGTCCTTCGCAAAGAACTTCGGCCTGTACGGCGAGCGCGCAGGCGCGTTCCACTTCGTCGCCGCGCCGGGCCCACAGGCGTCCGCGACAGCCGCGCACGTGGCGTCGCAGCTGGCCATCCTGCAGCGGTCCGAGATCTCGAACCCGCCCGCGTACGGCGCGCGCATCGCGGCGCGGGTCCTCAACGACCCCGCGCTGTTTGCGGAGTGGGAGGCCGATCTGCGCGCGATGAGCGGCCGGATCGTGGAGATGCGCCGCGGCTTGCGCGAGCGGTTGGAGCGGCGCGGCACCCCGGGCAGCTGGGACCACATCACGAGCCAGATTGGCATGTTTAGTTTTACGGGCCTGAGTGAGGCGCAGGTGCAGCGGCTCAGGGAGAAGTGGCATGTTTATATGGTGGGTCTTCCTCTTCTCCTCCTCTTCTTCTTCTCTTGCTCCCCCGCCTTCGTTTCCTCGTTCATTCCCCCTTTTTCTTCCCTTGACTTTGCCATGCATGTCTCATACATTAGTACATGCATACATACATATCCCTTTGCTAACGTGGAGGAAACTGGCGTTGCAGACGAAGAACGGCCGTATCTCCATGGCGGGGCTGAACAGCAACAATATCGATTACTTCGCCGAGGCGGTCGATAGTGTCGTGCGGGAGGTGTCGTAACTAGTTAATGGGGTAGCTTAGTTAGGGCTGGGGGTGAAGGGGTTGGTTGGCAAAATAAAAACTCCACGTAATGAAAAAAAAAATCCGATATTAAACATCAAAAAGCAAAACAAAACAAAAAAAATAAAAATAAAAATAAAAATAAAAATAAGAACCGGAAAGAATTTATTAGTAGTTAGTTATACTAACTATCTTAGTTAATCGGTTCCGGTTCCAATAACCTCTTAACACGGGAGATGTGGGGGAAGAGGAATAGTAATTGAAGAACAAAAAGCGGACATGAAATGATGGTTTTGGGGGGGTTTTTTTGATAAAGGAGAAAGAAAGGACGGTCTCTTAATGTTGGTTGGTATTCAGTTAAACATATATATAATCTAATATCTCTGCTCTGCTCCTCTTTTGCTGAGTGAAGACTGCTTCCTTGCTGCTTTGCTTTCTTTACATGTTGATATGATAGTTATGATTATGATTAGATTGGGGGCGGAAGACTAGCAAGCAAGCAGGAAGAGCTGCAGATGGAAGTAAGTATACATACATATCTCTGGATAGAAATACACGCAGAAGCCAGGTCAGATGAAGACTAGCGACGAGAAAATAAACAAGAAATATGAAAAACACGAACCCGTCAACAGGGATTAAAAAAATATAAATGTGCGTCAATGCAACATAAACGCCGGGTATGTGCCGTCGTAGCTCTATATATATACTGGTACACACGCATATGGTCTGTATCTTAGAAATTTCCCCCTTTTCGCACTTACGAGGAAAGGCTCCCGCTCCCGCTCCCCGCTTGGCCCAGCATTAGAAACCAAGTCCCTCCCTAACTCCTTCTCCTTCTCCTTCTCTCTCGCCATGGTGCTATTGACACCGCCGCCTCCATTTCCATTCCCACTGCCATTGCCACCACTCGTACCCCCAACCCCTGTCGCCATCTCCCTCCCCAACTCTACCTCCTCCGCAAACATCCGCTCCCTCATCCACCCCACAATCCGCGCACACAGCGGATCCACCCTCTCCATCCACGCCCACGCCACAGCATACAACACCGTATAGAACACCGGCACCGCAACCACAAACGTCGCCGTGCCCCCCCTCCTCAGCTGCGCGGGACTCCCATCCTGATTCTTCCGCCCCCACTCCTCCGCCGACGCCGCCGACGCCCCGTACACCATCCACACCAGCAGCGAGCGCAGCAGCGTGTTGTGCAGCAGGTAGACGGGGAACGAGCAGCGGCCGAGGAAGTTGAAGAGCGGGTGTGTGAGCAGCCGCCGCGCGTTGCGCGAGAAGAAGACCCCCGTCATCAGCACCGTGCAGCCGACGTTGACCCAGTAGCGGCCGATGAAGCGCTCGGCGTGGACGGGCGTGATGCTGAGCATGAGCCGGCGCATCGCGAACGACCAGCCGGTCCACTGGTGGTTGTCCTGCGGGAAGGAGCAGATGAGCAGGCCGACGAGGATGAGGAGGGCTGGGAGCGGTTTGGGGAGGGTGGAGGTTGCGCGCGAGCCGTAGGTGGCTTGGAGGTGGGCGAGGAGGAGGCCGGAGTTGATGTTTATGCCGACGATGTCTTGGGGCGGGGTGGGTTAGCCTTTTTTTTTTTTTTTTTTTTTTTTTTTTTTGTGATATATACAGATATATATATGTTTGGCGCGCATATAGAGGCAATACCACTTACAGTCGCTTGTGCACCATGAGAAGATGTACAGGAAGACGATGATGGTGATTCTCCACCGCGCCCTAACCAGCGCCGTCGCTAACAGCGTCAGGTAGATCCTCATCGACCCGCTTAGGAAGAAAACAATAGTCCAATGGACGGGATCGTAGGTGCCGTCCCCGTTGTTCCAAAAGAACGTCCAGTTCCTCAGCAGCGCCTTGACCGCCAGCCAAAACGTCGGCCCTGGGGTTTTGGCCACCATCAGGATCCACGGCGCATCGGCCCTGCGCGCAATATTGAAACCGCCCAACTGGCAAACGGTCCATGCCACGGTTGCTCCGATGTTTGTCGGGAAAAACAACCTGCCCGAGCGGGTGAAGGTCGACTTGGCCAGGTTCGTCAGGGCCAGCTCGGTGTTTCCGGCCTGCATATTCTTGATGGGGTTGATGGAGTTGACGAAGCCGGTGACGAGGAAGAAGATGCAGACCGCTGCCCGGCCGCCGACGCAGAGCCGGATGATGGGGAGTTGGAAGAGCAAGGGCGGGCCTTCCTGGGAGGTGGAGGGGGAGTGGAGATATGGGGCGAATGCGGTCAGGATGTGGCCGGTTACGACGATGAAGGAGGCGATTCCGCGCAGGCCCTGGGAAATGTTAATTTGGGGACGGGAGGGGCTTGGGGGTGTATTGAGATATAGATATATCTGTAGATCTATATATTTCGCAGCTACATGAAAGATCTCGTAGGAAAACGTACATCGATCCAGTTATCATCGCGCCTTTTCGGAGGAGCCATGGCTGCCGCTGCCGGAGAACCGGTGGACACGGATGCCTCTGTACTTTCTGATGTCGAGAGAAGTAAATTCGAAGCGATTTGAGTTGCATGAGAAAAGGACGGAGACGAATATGGATACCAAGATATGGCCTCTTGCGGGAATTACACGCAGCAGCCAACCACTGCACACCCGTTTTTGTCCCCTTTAGTGCATGGAACGAATGGTATCAACTCGATATATATATATATTTATATATATATTATTCGGGATATAGGGAGAAACGAAGAAAAGCCAGAGGAGTTCAGAGTATCCCCTCGATGCTAAGGAGGGAGAAAACTGAGCCCGAAAACCTGGGCTTTTGCAAATACCAAATGCCGGATTTCGAGAGGGAGAGCCGATGAGCGAACGACAAAAGCGAAGGTGGAGAGAAAGGAAAAAGCAACGAATTGGATATTTTTTGGTTCTTCACGAGGCGTTACCCGCCGCCATGGCTTCTTGGAAAATTCTCGTTCTGAACAGGAAACTCCAGGGAACAACACTGCAGAGGACAGCGTTGTCTCAATCTCCATAACTAATAACAAGCCAGAGAAGACAAAATTGAAGGAGGGAGGCCAAGGAGGCCGCTCCTGTAAGAAAAGTGGAGAGGACTGCATGGATGAAGCGCGAAGCATTTCGCCAGAACTCCTCCCACCAAGGCTGCTTCGTATCCAAACCAAGCCAAGAATCAAGAAAGGGGTCAGGGAATTGACTTGACAAGGTTTTCCACCGCCAAGTCGCCCGGCCGCGAAGGGTTCTTTTTAACTGGGCGGAGGCGGTACAGAGGCGTGCCAGAACATGCAGCGGACCAAGTGGATGCTAGCTGGTTGGCTGCATTCAGGAACAGATCGGGTCATCAGGGCACCGGTCTGCTTGGCGGGCAGTTTGTGCGACGCTACGATCGAGCCTCTGGCTTGATGGTATTCTCCGTGATGCATATCTGGCATTGAGAGATGGCTGGCGGTGGCGAACGGAGGGGAGAGAGGCTCTCATGGGGGTTGATACGGAGTAGGGTGCTTTATCGTCTCAGCTGTGAGATATTTCTTCTGTTGAGGCGTTGGGTGGGGGATCGGGTGGGGGATCGGGGGAAGGATCATACATCCTATGGGCGGATGGGGAAGATGCGGAAGCAAGAGGAAATGATATTCAGGAACAGGGTTGAGCAAGTTAAGAGGGCAGACAGGATGGAGACTTAAGAAGAAGCATGTTTGCTGGCCGTTGGCGAAGATTTCAAGTTATGATGTGGTTGGATGGCGGGTTAGGGTTAGGGTTAAACTTGTGGTTGGTTTCTTTCATCGAGACTAGGTATGGAGTGCTAGTTCTACATTTACTATGTGTTATTGCAGCTCGACGCCGGATTGTCAAAGAAGCAGGTGGGTCTTTTATATGTCTATCCTATTTTGCTAAATACGTTACTGAGGGAATATGGCTGAGGATTTTCTTGGAAGATCCTTAAAACAGGTCCATCTTTTCCCTTTCCATTGCATTTCTTTGGAAAGGAAGAAATCGCTCAGAGAGGAGCCGCGATACGCAGTAATTCTACGAATATACTATATATAGGGAGTGGCTGTAATGAAGCTTCGCACAAGAGCTACTGGACCGTATATCCGTTAGATATTTGACAGATATAATACCAGCAAAAAGGCGGGCCATTCTCAAACCGCTCCTACCAACCTGACCGGCGAGGCAATATCCAGGGAGAGGTATCAATCCCTCCACTCCGCTGTGGTACATCGTGCGCAGTTCATGGATCCAAATCAAAATATCGCATCCCAAATAATCAACCACGTACACAGCCCAACGGTCCCCCAGAAAACTGCTTGGGCGGTACTCCGCCGCTCGGTAGCCCGCTTGAGATCTTTATTGGCTTGCCCTACATTGGTCTCCGTATTGGCTGCGTCCGAGACAAGCTGGTTGATGAAATCCTCCTGCGTGGACAAATGCATGACCAGCGTCTGCTGCAGGGAGGAAATCTCCAGAAGTGATTTCTCGGCAGTCCTATGATTGATAGCTTTTTCATTAGAGTGGTCTGCCAACATAGGATTCTTCAAGGCTTGTTGAAGACAATCTCGAAGGAGCGGCACCAATGGGGTAAAATAAATAAACCAGTGGAAACGAGTGGAAAGAATCGCATACTTTACTTTACCCAGAGTATCTTCATAATGCTTCAGCAGTCCGTCGTTCTCCTGCGCGAATAGCTGCAGTTGCTCCGGTGACAGCTTCGATTCAATTTCAGCCTTCTCTTTCTCGTCAATCACGTCTGGCAGGATATCAGAAGCAGTCGGACGATCCCGCATCGACAACCCTCCTCCGTCACTGCCTGGCCCGAAACCACCTGCACCCACTCCGGGGACACTACTCATCTTATGCAAGACGCTCTTCTCCTTCTCCTTAATCCGCTCAATCCTCTTTTCCACCATTCCCCTCTGCACCTCTGCGACGCCCTCCAACCGCCCTCGCAACCACCACAGCACGTTCTCCCGTATCGTTTTCAACGTCCTCTCCGTCTCCTCCAGCCGTCTCTGCTCTGCCGAGCCCGTGCCACCGGTCTCTACCTGACCACCACCAGCAGCCCACTTCCACAGGGCGCTGTTCTTAAAATCGAGCCCGAATTTCTTGCGCAGGAGTGTCGACTGCATTTCTTGGCGCAGGGTTTCGGCTGAGGCGAGGTTGGCGATTGAGCTGGAGAGGTCGCGGAGGACGAGGGCTGTGGAGGAGTCGATTGTGTCGCGGTCTGTGTCGGTTAGGTGTTGTTTTTGGGCTGGTGGTGGTTGGGGAGCTGTGGATGTTGTTGATGATGGGTGGTGATGCGAGCGGCCATTGTGGGGGAACGGGGCTCGCGGTGTGGTAGTGGAGAGATACGATTGTCGGATAGACTTTAGGTAGGTGAGGAGGGAGGTTATATGGGAGTTCTGTCCATCATATCTTCTATGTCAGTTTCAAGGAGCTCAGTTGGACATACAGATAGATAGATATGTATAGATATGGCGGAGACATGTAGCATTCCTCTCGCCCTTCCTCCCCATTCTCTTATCGTTTCATAGTTATCTTCGTTTTACATACTATTCTATACGCCTCCTTCAAAAACTCATCCACCGTCTCTGTTGAAGGCCGCTGTGCTTCCCTAGTCCTAGCTAGTGATCTGGATTGAATCGCCGTGGTGCCATGGGTCTTGAGGAGCTCGTTGACGAGGGGCGTGATGTCCGTCATCACGATCGTTGCCGTGGCATTGGTTATGTCCGGTATCTGGATATTTGAATAAGAAGGGGTATCTATATGTGGAAAGCTACCTACAGCTAGCTACTTACCTACGATTTGTCCTGTCCAGTTGTTGATGGTTCTTGCGCTTGTGGCTACTGTGGCCTCGCGGAGAACAGGCTTAGTCATAGCCCTATCTCGTGGTTATACGTTTGGGCGAAGCAACCAACAGGAGTGCTATATAAACTACTGATGTTATGTAAAACTAAAAGGATATGAATTTATGCCGCAAAGCTCATTATAAGAAAAGGACGGTGAACACCAGATAGACGGGTATGAGGAAAAATTTGTGGGAATACTGCTTACGTACCGGAGGTACTTCCTGGGAGATCAGAAGGAGCCTCGGAGAGCAGGAGGGCCGAATATTAAAGAGTCCATTAAAAGGCCAAAAGCAAAAGAGAGAAGGGGAAAATTAGGAAAGAGATAGGCGATTGAACCGGGGAAACGATTCATGTTTATATTTCTGTATAGTATGTACCAAAATAAAAGGAAAAATTCTAGTTTGATAATCCCACTATGTCACACAACTTTGTCCCAGGCCAAGTTCACTTAATTAAGATACTCTTTTTTCCTCATAGGAAGTACTGCATGCTAGGGGCTAAGCCTAGAATTCACATATGGAACTATAAGTCGGGAAGCAGATGAAAAAAAAAAAAAAAAAAAAGAAGAAAAAGAAAGAACGGCGGGCTATCCACAGTCGATGGCAAATAGCGAAAAGGAGAGATGTACATGCAGTATATAGCTCGTGGACTCGTGGTAAATTATAGGTTTGGTATATAAATGATTCTCATAAACATGTGTCGAAATGGACGGGGAGATAAGAGCCAGGAGGAAGAGCTGATCTGACATCTATATATAAACCGTTTCACTCTTCTTGTACCCAAATCTGCAGTAGTCACGGAAAAGAATCAGCATTGGGCACGGATACGTAAATTTCCAACAAGAAGATAGATGTACACATAAGTAAACAGCACTAAAATTTCTTTTTGTTAAAAAAAAAAACGTACCTCGATCTTTCCCATATCAAGCCCATCTTTCCTCGCTTCCTGTTTTGCCGCTGTAAGCAGCATATCGAGATCATCCTGGTCACCCATCGTAACCATATCCCCATCATCCTGCATCTGCATCCGCACCCGCTGTTTAAACCCAAACTTGTCCCGAATCTTAGCTTCAAATTCGTTATATCCAACTGATCCGCCAATCATGATAAATCGCACATCACTGCTCGCATGCACCTTGGCCCTGATCTTGCGCACATCTGCCCGCCGTGAGGGTTGCCGCCGGTGTGAACGTGGCGGAGGCGCAGCCATCATTTCGAATTCGCCTTCGTCTGCTGAATCGTCTTCGTAAGTGTCACTAACGTAGTCGCCATCCTCCGAATATCGGGCTGGTTGCGCTTGTTGTCGTTGCCGCCTGACACTTGGCCCTCTAGTAGCTCCTGCCGGTCGGCCGTTACGGGGTTGAGAGTACATGTCGAAAACTTCATCAGCGTACCCATCTTCGTCCACAGGTGAAAAATTAGAGTCCTGCTGCATTCGTCTGGTTGTTTCTCGGTACAGCGGTCGGCCATTTTGGTCGCGGCTCCGCGCGTTGGAATATTGTCTGGTGGGAGGACCGCGCGGCTCTGACGCTGTGCGGACGGTTCCTATTCGCGGTTTATCTGCCTGTCTAGGAACTCCCGTCGCACTAGAGTCATTCGTCGGCACAGCTGTTCGACCCAAGTCGAGCATCGGTGGCCGAGGGCCGCGTCCTGACAGACCAGAAGAATTGCTAGGAGAGCCACTGCCAGCAACGGAGGGTGGTTTCTCTGACTCGGGAGGCGGTGTGGGTGGGAACAAATTTCGGCTGAGGGGTGGTTCTGATTGCTGTCTCCCTCCACGGCTGGTCAGGCCCTTCTGTACTAGATTCGAAGCAGCGAATGAAATTGATTCAGGAGGTCGGTCGTCCTTCGCTGTGTCGAGCACAGTTCTTTTGATCTCAGACCCTTGGAAGCCAGTGAAGGCATTCGCACGGTCAGAAGCAGCCACTAGCCGTGCTTTCCCGAGGTATTCTTTAGTTTTTAAATTCTTGACCTTTGCTTCACTTGGTCGGTATACGACTCCGACTGGAATAGAGAATACGGTATAACCCTAAGCAAGTCATGTTAGTCAAGGCATCCAGGGTATGAATGCTCAAAGCTTGCGGGTCTGGGCGAGCTACCTCTGCGTTCTCCTTGATAGCTTCGTCAATGACTTCGTGGTCCGGTTTAACCTTTTCTTTTGAAGCATATTGAAGGTCCTGCATGCCAGCCTCTGTTTGCTGGAGATAGACGTAACATAGGCCCCGATTAAAAAGAACTTCACAGGAGTACAATTGAAATTTCAGTCCCAGCTGCTCATAATCAATCGACGTATTTCCTCTCAGGTAGAGTAGGGTATCGTTGAAATTGGCGAGGGCTTCTTCGAAATCGCCCACGAGGAAGTTGGAGACACCTTGTTGGAAATAAGCAACGGCAAAATACTGGTCGAGTGCAACAGCCCGTTGATAGCATTCCACCTAGAAGCGTCCAATTGATTAATACCTGTATTATTATAGCCTTCCTCCAAAAAAATCCTGGATGTAATGTTTTTCCATCTTTAACGTACCGCTCTAAAATGTTCTCCTAGAGTTGCGTAGATGACCCCACAGTTGAAGAGGATTTTGGATGTATCGGCGATATTATTGAAGACTTTTAGAGCCTCTTCAAACTCATTATTGTCGTAGTTCGCGAGAGCTTGAACCCAGGTTTCTATCTCCTATATAAAAAGATATAGTAAGTCATCAGAAGGAAACCAAAAAATATAAAATATACCGAAAAGCATAGGATGCGTCTTGTTTGCGATTTCCTTACCTGTTTTAACGACATTTGGGCAACTTGTGGTGTTCCCCGCAGCACGGATGCAAGGGCGGCTATCCAGTCCTGGGGCGCTGATGATCAAAGGGTTGAAACTAGATGCCAGTAGGGTGGAATAATATACAACTTGTGAAAAGGTAACTTTTGCTAGATGACTGATATGTTTCGATGTTATTTAGAAAGAGAAACGAAAGATGGAGCAGTTGAGCGTGTTATTTCTCTCGCGGTGGCTAAACCGGCCACTTTCTTCTCAATCCGCGTAGGAGGCCTATCTGGGCGTGTGATGGTTGTGATTAGCGGAATGGCTTGCAGCTGATCCTCTCGTTTTGGGGCCCCAGCCTGCCAGATTCACCACGTAGCCGCCGAGAAATACCTTGCGAGGTGAATATTCGGATGAGGTATGACAGGGACCTTTGGTTCGCTTGCTCAAGATCTTAAGGCTGGGCGAGCTAAGTTCCCAGGCTTAGACGGCCATTATTCTTCCTCCCGTCAGCCGGTTAGAATGTGTTGTTCCTTGAAAATGAAGAACGAGGGACAAATCGAAAATTTAAGATTCCTAGAAAAGGATCTCGATATTTGCGCTTTAGAAAATGATTATATAACTGTTCATCCGCACGCGAAGACTCGAAAATATGGGCAACGATCCAAAGAAAGATAAACTGCGAGAGAATCCGTGAGAGGGCCAGCCTACTGTCGATAGTCTCCTCAGTTCCAGTCTTCTTGCTGGGTAAAAATAAACCACCAGGATTAACGTCCACGAATGAATGGAATGGAAGGGTTCGAATTGCCGCCGGTGAAGTAGTGTAGATGCATCCGAGTACAAGGTTCAAGACCGAAAGAGAAGAAAAAGTGCCGGACATGCTATGTAATGTACTGTGCATAATCCTCCCATGGCTCGGATGACAGTGATGGTCTCCTCCCAAGTGACGGGGTCCGTGATACTGGTCTCGACCTGGACAGGGGAAAGCGGGGCGAGCCGCCTCAACCTGTCCATTGTCGCAGGTGGCTCGAAGGGACATGTGTCGCCCGAAGTTCAGGGTGGTGCATCGAGCCAGGATCCGCCATGGACACGAAACATGGGTTGTGAGATGTGACTTGTTGGAGGAATAAGGAATTGAGGGCAAATCGATCCTGGGCTCGTCAAAGCAAGCCTTGGCTGAGGGCGACAGGGTGCGCATTGTTCTCCATAGGATCCCATTATTGATACCACCGGCTCTTCGACACCGCAGCCGAAGGACGAGGGAGCATGGCATCGTTGGCATGGCATCTGACGCTGCTGGTTGGCCGTTAGGATGAGGTGCCCAGCCTGCGCGAACGGGGTTGGCGGCGACGGGGAACATTTAGGGGCGCTTAACCAGCCAACCCTACAGGCTACGGGCCAACTCGAATGCAGGCTTCAATATGGATGGTCTTGAAAGGCCGGGCGAAAAGTCGGTAAAAAAAATTGATTCCTTTCCTCCGACCTCACAGATATCATAACCTTGATGAGAAATGAATGTTTCTCTGCTGTTCGATCCTACTGGCAACTGGCATCAAAACATCGACTCTCATGAAAACGCAGTCTCATGACGATGAATCGGTTTCCGGCAACTTAGGTTTGAAGCGCGTGTCAGGGTTCAAACGCTAGCATATACAGACGCATGAAGGGCAAGTCCTGGCTAGAAGCTACATAATGAGTCTACCAAGGGATGGCATGAAAGCCAATGTTTTTGCAAGTAACATGTCTGTTTCCTATTTACGTCTGGTATCACATCTAGGAAATGCATTCTCAGCCATTTCACAATCGTCAAGTTTAGCCTTTTCTTGACCTTCCATGGCTGTCAGTAATTTCCCTCATCCCTATTCACAGAGCCTTTCTGCCCGGAGACCCAAAATAGCTGTATGGATTCGGGAATACGCTTCAAGGGGACAGGAAGCCAGACCGTTCTGAAACCTTACGGCCAACGTAAACACGGGAACATCCACAATTTTTCTTCACATCATTCCCTTCGAAACCTGTTCTCGTCGTTCTTCCCATACGTTCTTCCCGGAACAAGAGCAGACCATTTTATCGTTATCCCATATCCCAGCACTGCGAGCAATAACTCCAACCGGCGTGTTTGGATCTTCCTTCTGGAACGGTCCCTCTTTGGATTTGGACACCACCATGCTTCTCCCAATCAACTCCCAGACTGCAACAGGACGGCTAAGGAAAACACTCCCCTTTCCATTACCGTCCACTTCTATCTCACCTAGTACTCCTCGCGGCTGCTCTGGCCCTGGAACCTTCTGTTTCACAGCTTCCCATATGCCACCAGTTGATGCTGGTCCCTGAGAAATATCTCCCATATCACGTACTGTAACCCAATACTTCCCCGGCGAAAGGCCGTTTATAGTAAGATCAACAAGCGTCAATCTTGGGGCCACCTGGACCATGCGCGCGAGACCACGGATTGGATTTTCTACCGTAGTGGAATGTGTCTCTAGGATACATACTGAGGCATCTTATGCCGCGAGAAGAATATTTGTAAATAAAACAGAAGGTAAGAGTTGGCATCCTAGACCACGCTGAGGGGTATATGGGATACGGTAAAAATAACAAGGTGTAAAAGGGTGCCGTGTGCGAGCGGGAAAACTAACTGTTTGAGGACCCGCTTCCTCTGAGAATAGCATCTCTTCCAGTACTCTGAATTGCAGCAACTATAGCAGAAGGCGCCGCAGTTCCTTCCACCAGGAGGATCTGGTCCTTCAAATTACCCTGCACGTTTTTGACCCCTAGATAATTCTCGCCGTTCAGTTGCATTTCTCATTGCCGCAGCCAAAAGCGGATAAAGTGTTTGACTGAATATCCCACCTACCATCCAGAGCGTAGAGGGACGTAGATACGTCCTTGATACAGTCATCGCAAGTCAGAGGCACCGAAAATGTCGCCTATCCATTTCCAATTAGTATCAAACCCGCTGTTAACAGGAATAAAAGGCTTTTAAAGTAGTACCTGAAATGACTGCATCATGGGTAACTGCGCAAATGAAAGGCTTGGCGATCAATCAACTGGTGAGAAATCGATATCCGTTCAATATATAGTAGGAAAGGGATATTCATAGGAATGACCTCGGTCTCCATGGCGTCAGACTCGTCCATTGTTGAAGAGATGGAACTAGTGGGGGTGCTGGCTGGCTTAGAAACCAGAGCAAACCATCAGAAAAGCGACTTTTTTTTTTTTGCCCAGGAAAATCGTCTGCGTCGGACAAATGTAGATCCGCTCCGGTGCTGAATCCTTTCCGATACAATGGAGCGTGGAGAGCTATCCCTCCATTACCACCCGGACGCGCAATGTCGACCGCACCAAGATCAAGATGGGCAGAGGACGATGCCGAAACGGAAGCCCTTATTGAACAGAAAAGACGAGAAAAGGAGGAGCGGAAACGTATAAAGGCGGAGAAGCAGCGGCGCCAGCAAGAGGAGGCACAGGAACTTCTTGCGCAAACACATGCGGACCAGGGGTCAAATAACTCTTTACAAGCTCAAGAGAAGGGTGCGAATGGCGATGCAGGGAGGCCATCCAAGAGGCGGAGGTTGTCGAATGAACCAGAAACACGGCCCGACCTTCCTATTGATCAGAAGCCCATTCCCCTGCTCCAATTTCCGGCCCCGGAATGGGGGCCGTGTAGACATGTGGACAATTTCGAACGACTAAATCGCATCGAAGAAGGCTCTTATGGCCTGGTATCGAGAGCGAAAGAACTTGCAACTGGTGACATTGTTGCACTTAAGCGATTGAAGATGGAAAATTGCCACGACGGCTTTCCAATTACCGGGCTGCGAGAGATTCAAATCCTACTGGAATCCAGACATACAAACATTGTCCATCTACGGGAAGTCGTGATGGGCAATGGTATGGACGAGTAAGTTCTCGCGTTTATAATATATTCAACCCATCCTGAAAAGCCCGGATACCGGAAAGCATTAACCAGCTCGTCCCTTCATGTCTTTTCCTCCCACTCTGTAGCGTCTACCTTGTCATGGATTTCGTCGAACATGACCTCAAAACACTCCTCGACCATATGCAAGAACCGTTTCTCCAATCAGAGACGAAAACGTTACTTCTACAGATCATCTCCGCGACGGAGTACTTACACTCGCATTGGATCATGCACCGCGATCTAAAGACGTCAAATTTACTGATGAACAACCGGGGAGAAATCAAAGTTGCGGACTTTGGAATGGCAAGATATTATGGCGATCCGCCACCGAAGTTGACCCAGCTTGTGACCACTTTATGGTATCGGTCTCCGGAACTTCTACTTGGAGCGGAAACATATGGGCCGGAGATTGACATGTGGAGTATCGGATGTATATTTGCTGAGCTTGTGACGAAGAAGCCGTTATTTCAAGGGGAGAATGAAGTCAGCCAATTAAGCGAGGTACGGCCGACCCCTTGGTGTGAAACCCCCCCCTAACCCTTTCAACCCAAAAGATTCAACTCGTCGATGACAAAACAATACCTCATGTTAACAAGCAATATCCCACGTAGATCTTTGCCAGCACGGGACCCCCAACCACCCAAAGCTGGCCCTCCTTCCGCTCCCTCCCCAACGCCAAATTCGTTGGTTTTCCAGCCAACAGCGCGGCACAAAACTCAGACGGCGGTATCCCTCTCCTCTGGCGCAAGAAATTCCCCTACCTTACCACCGCCGGCCTCACCCTTCTCTCCCACCTTCTTGCGCTAAACCCGGCCTCCCGTCCGGACGCCGCAACGTGTCTCTCACACCCGTACTTCCGCGAAGATCCCAAGCCAAAGGCGAAAGAGATGTTCCCGACGTTCCCGTCGAAAGCGGGCATGGAACGGAGGCGGAGGCGGGAAACGCCGGAGGCGCCGAAGAGGGGGGATGTGGCGCCTCGGTTGGATTTTGCGAAGGTCTTTGGAGGTGTCGCTGGTGGTGTTGGCGACGGGGACGGGGTTGAGGCAGGGGCGGGTTTCACGTTGCGGTTGGGGTGATCAAGGGTCACCTTTCCTTGCGCTGCCTGCATGGCTTTGCTCTTGAGCCTCGGTGGTCTAAAGGGGGTGGTGGTATATAGAATGGATGCCGGGGGTTGACTGCAAGATATGGGGAGTTGGAAGATATCATTTTGTGTTTTTCGGGTGGTCAGATTTGCGCATGGGTCTTTTTTATGTACACTGTACAACATAGCATACAAGTGAGCCAGTTACATGCAATCATCAGTCCCTAAAAAAGCCGCCTCAAAACTCGAATTTACATCCCTAAGCCTACCTTATCTGACTGAGGGGAAAAGAAAAAAAAAAAAAAAAATTGAAGACAAATTATGAGCCCACGGCGAGGGTCGAACTCGCAGCCTTGCGGTTAAAAGCCGCACGCTCTGACCATTGAGCTACGTGGGCTGATTGGATAACTGCCGCCAACGTGACGTGGAAGTTATCCTCTTGCCCAAAGCCAGACTTAGTCATGCTTAGCGCCATACCATGACTTATCCATCAATGCTTCTTGTATGTAAAACCAGAGCACGACCAAGAGTTCCTTTCACATTCTACTCGCCAGGTCCTTCAGTCTTTAAACAGGACAAGTGTCCAAGCTAACATGCTTATATATACTGATGAATTATCGAGAAGCCGTCCCATGGTCGTCCAGCGGAACGCTGAAACACTGGCAATGCTACTTCCCGGCGAGCGCCATGTGGAATTGCTTGTATCAACTTGAATTGAAGTCTTTGATTGCGACAGTGGGATTTGATAAAGGGAATCACTTTACCAGACCGGATAAGGTCCTTTATCATCTCATCTGCTCTTAGGTGGTGGATAGTTTGAAAATCAAGGACAAATACTATTACATGGGATTGAAAATTGAAATACGGGTGGATGAAGAAGGGAATAAATAGGTTGCTACACCTGTCGCAGCAGCTAGCAGGAAGAGAAGAATTGGAGACGGGTACTAGTAGACATCGCATTCCTCCCTAGTATTTATGACAGCCTCCGCTGGGGAAACTGGCAAATTCAACACTTCTCTATTGTAATGCGCGAAGGTGCGCTTGCAGTGAACGGTGGAATTCGGAAATTACCGTAGCTGGGCCGAGCTCACGGACTGAGAGAAATTTCTCCCTCTCTAGTCCATGTAGTTGTTTTGTTGTCCATTCTCTATCCTCATTTCATCTACAATAAAAAAATAAGGACGGAAATACGCCACCGCGGAAGGGAATCATGATTCGCATTATTGATGATTGATCCAGTTCCCTACTCTAGAATGATCATAAAGCTTAACAAGAAGAAACCCATGAATCAAGGAACGAAATTGCTGCGTATGAATAAGACATCGCATTGTACTGTACGGCCTGCGTTCGACTGTTATCATTATAATTGGGGGTTCTTGTTCACATGACTATGACATGCAAAGCCTGAAAATTGCCCGTGATCTATTCTTCAATAGACCACGCTCCTATTTCCCTGGCCAAAGAGGATTTTACACCCATTCTTTGAGAACTTGAAGCGGACAGCCCCGTTGCTGAACCAGAGTGGTTCCACTCATCGAAAGGGATGTTGACTTTGACTCCAGATCTCCATTGATGTCAAAAACAACTCTCTTGAGAGCTGCATATTCCACATGCCGTAACCAAGATGTTCTGCACAAGCGTCCCACGCCAAAACAAAGGAATATCCCCCATAGCGCCTTTTCATTAGCTGTTAACATGACCTTCGTAACTGGAAAAAGAGGAAAAGTAAACACCAATCCCTTCCCTGATGATGCTATCACGATTGCGTTGCTTCCCAAGCCTCACCACCCACATACAACTCCCTCCGTCGCTGCCGATGTCTCCTCCACCACTTGAATACCTCCCAAGGACCCCTACAATACGCAGTCGCCTGTCGCATGGTGTCCGGCTGTGATGAAGATGATGAAGATGACGAGGGGGACGAGGGGGACGAGGCAAACGACACCTCGCTATGAAGGGGACTTGCAAGGGCAAAATCATCAGTGGTGCTCAACTCATGCAGCGATGGCGCTTTAAGACTCTGCGGCCGCCTTAGGTGGTAGAAGGTCTGACGGCAGAGGGGGCAGCTCGCGTCTCGTTTCGACAGCCAGTCGTCGATACACGGCTGGTGGAAGATGTGTCGGCAGGGTAATTCTCGAAACTTCATGTCGCGGTGGAGGGTTTCGAAGCAGAGGATGCAGTCCGTTTCTTCTTGATTTTGGCCGTTGTCTTCGTCTGCAGAGCGCATGCTGGTTAGATGACTCTGGCTGGTGCTCGATTTACGCACGACTTCTCGATCTTATCGCTGGTTGTACACCCAAAAAAAAAAAAAAAAAAAAAAAATTACACTATATGGAGAATACCTTTCGCAATGAAGGCGCCCGATAAACGCCTCATGTTCGCCTGGTCGAGCTCCTTGACGGAGAGCGTGCCCTGGCTTAATGGGATGCATATGTAATGTGTAGTGGGCATTGCCATGGGCCTTTTCTCTTGCCCTTGCAACCGATGAACGAAATCGCAACAACCTGCAATTATTTCTCTGAGCGATGTCCACCAGATCTACGGTGCATGGCATAAAGAGTCTGGTTGTCGTATTGGACCATTAGTTAAAGAAAGGATAGTAGTACTATTCAGCGATATATCCCGTGTCAGCTTTACTGAAAGAGATGAGATTTTTTTTCTTTCACTTCCTTTCTTCCCCCCTCTTCTACTTCTACTTTTCATTGTGGGCCAGGGGGGTTTCTTTGATATGGCATGCTCCAACGAGTTTCATTGATTCCTGTTATGATTCCTGTTGGCCAGTGCCAATGACATCATTCCAACGCCTGCTTGCCGACTGAACCTTGGTAGCCGCATAACCGGGATAGCAACTGTACTATATTTGCGCCACCGCATGTGCCATGGTCAGTACGGTGCTGATTTTGATTGCCATTTGCCATCTCTACGTGGGTTCTCATAGTAACATGGACAAAAAGCAAAGAAAATAATAAAGGAAGACCAAGGTTCAAGGGGGGGGGGAAGGAGGACGGGGTTGGGGAAGAACAAAATGGAAAGGGAAAATAGGTTTATTAATATCCGTTTCACATGTTCATTTTGCGAAAGTAGTGGGGCCAGTCAAGGATAACTTACTACTCGAAAAAAAAAAAAAACTCTCAAATATAAACTAGCCAATTAAACTAATGTCGCATAGTATCGGTTAAGTTAATCGAATAAGAAGTATGCAATTTAAAATGGGTTGATATATAGTTCTTTTCCTATTCACTGAAATCTTCTGAGCGTACATCATGCACTGTCGTCATAATATCCCAGATATTGCTTCAACGGCTGAAACGGCCCCAAAAAAAAAAAAAAAAAGAAAAAAAGAAAAAAAAAAAAATTGAAGAGCGCGTTGGCGCAGAGGCGAAAGTTAGCTTAGTGGAGGGGTATGCAGAGAATTCGTTGATTCTTCATTTCAGGTCTAAATATAGTCAGTCAGTAACCGCGGTGGCTTCGTTTGTTTCCATCCTAAAAGCCTGTTCCTTCTTCTGGTGGGCGCCTATTCGCAAGTGCAGCGCTTCGTATTTACCTGGGAAGGAGTTGTGGACTTGCCGGATACCCAGCTATACTGCGGGAAGGCGATTGTGCCAGGAGTAAGAAGTATCTCCAGACAAAGGAAGATAGAATGTTACGCTGGAATGGTGATCCCTGAGTCATCACATTTGTTCCCAGAAAAGCCGGCTCAATGTGGGGAAAAACGTCCGAAAGGTAATGTAGGTAGTATTCACACGATATGGTTTAGTGATATTCAGGCGCTTCGATAAGACTCCGATTATCGCCTGCGTGGACGGAGAGTTAACAGGGTTGCATATCTTGGATCTCTGCACAAGCCGAGCAGCCCATTAACTACTCGACTATCAAAAGCGCTTACATTATCGATCAGCACAGGTCAAGTAAAGGTCTAAAAGGGTATGCCTTCAGAAGACGAATGTGTTTTAGCTCGATCGTTTGATACGTCGCCTAGCACCATAGTTGTTCTAACGGGGCTTCTTCCTCATTGCTCGAGATTTTGTAATTTCCTTGGGGTTTAGTTTGGAGAGACTGTGTCCGACGTTTTGATTTGCTATCTATATGCCCATTTTGGGATACACGTTTCGATATTCTTTGTGGCGGCATTTGCTGCATGGGCTCCGCTTGCTGGTTCTTTTTGGCTGTCAAGTCCGTGATGCGCTGGCTCCTGCGCAAGGTTGCAACAGGTGAAATGGGCAGATTCGTTGGTGCGGTGGCCCCCTTGCCGTGTGGTTTTGCCAAATGGGTCGTATCATAGCGGCCTGTTCGGTCGTGTATGGATGCTCTTGAGCTTTTTCTAGTTTTGGTAATCTTCGACGAGCGATCCGCTTTGAGAACTGTGTTTGTCGCAGCCTTTCCGCCCACGTTAGTAGACCTGCAATTGCTATTCAGGTTTTTGTGGATGTTGAGATTGGTAGACACAGCTTCCTGCTCTGATTCATTTTCAAGTATTTGAATTGGACTCAGATCGCTATTGGACATAACCATCTCCTGGGCGATCTTTGGAAGCTCTTGTTCAATCCAGTTCAGTAAAATCATGAACTTGTCTAAATTTCTTTCACTCGCAGATCGAAGTAGCCAGGCGAGGGCTGGATTGAATGGTTCATTAGGATCCAAGGTTGCACCTTTTCCATGCTCAGCCTCCCACTCCAACCTCATATGCTCCCTCTTTTGTCGTCCTTCTTCTGCCATAATTCTCATTTTGGGCACATTCCGGTGCTGAAAGTAGTGGTATTCCTTCCATACATCCATCTTGCTTTGCTGTTTCGCATCAAAGAGAAGTTGTATATCACCATCGATGCCTTCTTGTTGCCGATGGCGATGCACCTCTTGTTGATACTGTTTGAAAATCTCAACACTCCTGCGTCTTCGCTGCTGGAATTTTAGGAATGAAATCCATTCAAGTCTTTGCCCCCAATACCCTGTATTCCAGTAGTCCACAATGGGGCCATACTTTCCATGGACATCTTTGGGAGTACGCCACATCTCCACTGGAAATGCTGGTCTTCCACCCAGTCGTATCAAATCATGGTAATCTTCCTCATTTTCCCGAGTATGTTTGAGCTGCAACGCTTCCCATTCTGGGTCGGGAGACCCTGGGGAACTCCGCGTTCGAGTGGAGGTGCCGCTTGAACAAGAGCTCCGAGCGCGCTGGTTATCGGGTTTCGCTAGGATATTTCTAACATTTGTAATTTTATTAAATCTGAACGTTTAAAAGTAGGTGTTTTCTCTGGTATGATGCATAGGCATAGGCTTGTGGGGCTAGTCTTACTTAAGTTTGACATCCACGGCTGCGACATCCAAGGGATGCGATTTGCCTCTAAGCTTAACCAACTCCCTACAAAGCTAATGTCATTGTTCCGTGACTTCGTATGAAAGGTCCAGGGAAGGGATATTCTCTCACATCAATTTCTGTATATGTTCATCAGTCCAGTTTTCCGGATCTGCATTATCGATCCAGCTTGTTGAGGTCAGTATTTGCTTCCCCAGCAATCCGACTCGGTAGGCGGACCACCTACGTTATCCCTACAAGGTCGCTGGGGGAAAGTTTATCCAGATCTCGGGTAGAGAGCTTCAGCACAGACATGATGAAGGCGAGAAGGCGAGTTGGGGGTTGTTCAACAGCAAAAGCAAGAGTTAGCAAGAGAATGAATCACGACAAGTTCAAGATTTCAAGTTTAAATGTTGTCGTTGCATGTTGGTCTTGGCGCCAGGGTGGGCATTTCCGACACGGAACTGCCTGAGCGATGGATGAATGAATGCACGGGGATCAACTCCTGTCGACTTGCGCAGGCTTTGCTCGTTTTGGCTCGCATCGCCTGCGGGTGAACGCTGCCCTATTGGCTAACTAACATGGCAAGGCTGTGTTTGCCCGTAAGTTGCTGTTTGCGCTGGCATCTACGTCGGCTAGCATAGCATGCCCACGATGCCCCTCCTCAGCGCTCCTGGGATACCTACATGCGAAAGAGGCATTTCATCCTCACCGAGTCACCGGCAATGGCATCAACAATAGAGTCTCCGGCACTCTTAACGGCGCCAAACATAGACCAGGATCCAAACATCATCTTGATAATTGAGGCAGAACCCCGAACACATGGAGCTGAGGCCTTGGTATTGACACACAACAGGGCCCGCTACTTTCCTCCTGACGAATTCTCTCAACCTGGGAGTCGAGAACACACTCCATCTCCAGAACCGGAAGGGTCTAAGACGTTCTGGACAAAGAAATACCATCACCTTTGTTTGACATTTGACAAACCGCCGAAAAATGCCGGGCGAGGATTCTCTTTCGGCAGTGATAAGGCAGTGTGCGATGTTTTACTTGCGCCGAATAGAACCTGTCATCATATAAGCAGAGTCCATTTTTACATTACATTTGATGAACAGGGACGCCTTATATTGAAAGATGAGTCAACTTATGGGACGGCTCTCAGCTACGATGGCTGGGGTGGAGCTCTCAGGCGACGTCGATTCCAGTGGATTCTATTCCCAGAATTCACGATCCAAATCCACCTCCCTAATTTCGCACTCGACATTGTGCAATTAAAAAGCCGTTCTTGCTACCTAGAATATCAGAGAAATCTTACAAAATTCTTGGACAACAGTCACGACGCCGTTCTCGCCCTCGCGGGATTAGATGTGCAAAGCTATGGATCTGGATCAACTGATCACTTAACAGACCCATATTCTCCAGGACAACAACCTATCTATTTTCCCCGAGCAGTTCTTGGTCAAGGTGGCTTTGGGAAAGTTTTCTTGGTTTCACACCTGAGCAATGGAATGGTATACGCCGCGAAAGAACTCCTCAAAGGCTCAAGCCTGAGAAATGAAGCAGCAATCCTGAGGAATATATCACATGTAAGACTCTTCCATACCTGTTCAAGATTCAATAGCTTACTCCTTCACAGAAGCATGTTGTTCAATATGTGGACTTCACAGAAGTGCCCACAACTCAACTAATTATGGAATATCTTCCTCTTGGTAATCTAGATGATCAGCATAAGAAGAGTCCAATCACTGAGTCAGAAGCTCGAAAGCTTCTACTCCAAGGACTTGATGCTCTTCAATATCTCCATTCTCGGAAAAATCCAATCACACATCGGGATATAAAACCAGAAAATATTCTTGTACTGGGCCGGGGGGCTAACTTCCATATCAAACTAAGTGATTTTGGACCATCCAAGGACATCCCTTTGCTGAAGACAAATTGTGGGACCCCAAGTTACAAACCCCCAGAGATTTTTAGAGTTTACAAGCAGCGTAAATCAGAGAAGGATCCACAGAAGCGTGCAAGCTTACTCTATGACAACAAAGTTGATGTATGGGCTCTGGGGGTGGTTGTTTTACAGTATATTGTTGATCTGACCGACGAGGAATTACCTTGGTATGAACAAATTACTCGTACTGTCAAGGATATGCTCCAGCACCGACCTGATGACCCGTTTATTGCTCTCTTGAGCAAAATGTTACGGATGAACCCATCGACTAGGCCTTCATCGGAAAATTGCTTCCAAGAAGCAACCAGGACCGGCATGGCCAGCCCAGGGGACCTGAAAGAGGACAAAACCTCCAATGATGACAATACATCTGACCCAATAACAGCTGAAGTTTTGAAGCCAGAATTAGCGTCTCCCAACGTACCAACTCCCATAGTATCAGGCACTAATCGCGTCCCAGGAGCTAAGCGAGATCCGTCACCCACGGGGCCGAGTGGACATCGGACCAAACGCCCGCGGATAAACCAAATAAGTCTAACAAACCGACCGTACTACTCCATGGCTATGGAAATTCTGAACGAACTACACCTGCGTGGAGCTCTCATCGAGATTGAAAGGAACGATCAAGAAATTCTATCAGCAGTTGAATTAATATGTGAGGAATTTTCTCGGCAAAAGATCACTAATATCGATATTACTTATTCTGTGGAGTCCCAGGGGGTAATTATCAAGGCCTGCCGTGCGGATAGGAGTGGCGAATTTGTGCTAGGTCATTTTACTTCTATGGCTCCATTTACTTCCCCCATGGAGCTAGCTTACCAGCTGATAATTCAAAACTCGGAGAAGGAAGAAATCACGAGTCCTGTTGATATGAAAACGCGATCGAAATGGCCAGCAAGCCACAAGTCTTCGACCCCAAGCATACGATAAAAGGACATCTAATGATATCCTTGGACTGGCGTTGGCTAGTAGGATTAGGGGCTCTCCAAGGAGTTGGCCGCTGCTCGCCTTGGCCAGCAAAGCTCTCTTCCATGAGCCAGTTTACTCTATGAATGAGATTTCGGTTTTGCAACATATTTAGCACGTAAACAGCTATTTAGCAAGCTCTGACCTATCTACGTGAGCTGCCTTAACAGACATGAACAACATTTCGGGATCCTCTATGACCTTGCTCAATGGACTTAGCTCTCTCTCTTCCTTTTTTTTTTTTTTTTTTTTGTCGGTGTTTCTTTTCGTTTCATGGGTTATCCTACGGCGCGTCTCTACCACTGCGGCCCGCAGCGGCCCAACTACTGAGCTCCGGTGGCCGCACTTTGTCAGATAAACAACCCTTCCGGTATTTCATGCTACGAATGGCCAAAAGGACGCTCTGCAACTATTCCTCACCATGCAAAGTCCCATTGTTTTCATTTTTGAGCTAATCACGGGTCATTAGGACCGCTCGCGACTACTTAATGGGAAAGGTTATTGAGCACCATAGGTGAATGGACATTCCAAATGAAGAAGTGAGGGGATATACCGATAGTGTCTCTTACAGCTCCAGGGAGCCTTCCTCTCTATTCCTAGGGTTTAGGTTTGATTCAATTGGTTGATTCATCTAAGAGTAATATTGTTCGAAATCTGGACAACTGTTGTTCGAAGAACATCTTCTTCTGGCAGGATCAGCTAACAAAGACGCTTCATGTGTTGAAAAAGGGCGGCTGGGCAGGTCAGGCATCGGAGCTGGTCTCTTGGTACAGGTACAGTACATGCACAGATGTCTATATATTATTGCCTTTCCTCTACACATGCGCAGACGTCATCTCCCAGTTCACATTGTATATGCTGGCCAGTAAATAAATTCAAAAAATTCATTGACGGGTAGACGGTTACGTGCTCGTATCCTATTCCATGGGATACACTGTCAAATATTGAACACGAATTCTTAAAACTCATTGTCAAAACATTCAAATAGAGAAATTTAATTTTCGTGACTACGAGCGATGTATGGTGCCCGAAATTAATCTTTAACAATTTATGAATTTCGGATTTGCTACATTCTAAAAATAACCAGTTAGAGAAAAAGTAATAAATTATGTTATCCTCCCCTCTTGCGTATTCATTGAAGCTAGTTAGTTTGCTATTTTTTCAACTATGAAAACTATCTTCTTCCACCATATTCCGCTATAATTTTCTCTGCAGCTGTCTGTGCCACCAGATAGGCTGTGGGTTGACTATGGTTGCTGTTTATTAAGGTTATTGTTAGGAGTTGCTTTTTATCGGGAATAGGAATGAGGAATGGGAAAGAATGGCATATATGTCTCTAGCCCTACTCACTTCGGTGTGATTGGACAAACACTCAAATCCACGACTCGCAACTTCTCAACGCCATAGACGCGGAAGCTCGGATCCGTACACGCCATTGGGTCGTCTGGTTTGCCCATTTTTAGGGTTCCGTTGGCATGGAAGACCGGAAGTAGGTTCTCGTCGATGAATTCCTATGCACCCAAGAAGAAGTTCTAGGTTAGATGGGGACAACCACTCGTATAGAAAGATTAGAGACGTCAGAGAACGGGCGGGGTGATCCCTGGAGTGGTCGTACATGGATATCTTCGTCCGACTGGCTTTTCGGGGCCAGGACGTATCCCTTAAATTCCTTCTCAATTGCGCCGGACTGATAAAACTTCATAGCTTCCCTTATTGCCAAGGTCAACATCTTTCGATCAAACGGGTGTGACATGTACTTGGGGTCAATGACTGGCGGATCATTCACGTTTGCGGATTTCAGTGTGATTTCTCCCCTAGATTGCATATTCATAAGGCAGACGACGGTAGAGAGGTATGATGTCCCCTCAGGAACAACGTATGTCGGGGGGAAATGGGGCCCTGCGAGAAAGAGCTCATAATGAGGAACGGAATCTTTGGTTAGATATTGCTTTGAGAGAGTGTCTAGGTTTTGATATTCGCTTGTTGTAAGAATGGAATTTTCCTTGAGCCATCCGGTAATGACGCAAGACCGGTGCAGGTTCATCTCCCCGGTTCCGTCCCGTTTCCACTGTTCTCGTGCAGCTTCGAGGGCGGCAGGATTTGAATCAAATTGAGTCCGATCACTGAGGCCCACACCTGGCGCGAATGACGCTCCTATAACAACTAAGGGGTGATCGGATAGTCCCTTGCCTACCCCAGGAAGATCATGGATAGTTTGAATATTATGCTGGGAGAGCTCCTGAGTGGGTCCAATACCAGATAGCAGCAAAATCTTCGCGGAATCGAATACACCGGCAGACAGTATTACTTCCCGATTCGCGGTGACTGTTGGCGCAAATGAGTTATTGCTCAAAAAAAAGAAAAAGAAAAAAGAAAAAAAGATATAGCAGGGGTGGAACAGTGGAAGTTGACAGACATTTCCTCCCATCTGCTGCTTGGATTCCAACTGCTACTTTGTTTTCAAAGACAACCTTGGCAACTTTTATGTCAGTTAGCATCTTCAAATTCGCAGGGCGATAGTTCGTGTATATAGACTCGCTGGTCCAGCGATAGCCTTTAAATGTTGTAGTAGGTGGTATGGACAACCCAATAGGGTTTCCAGAGTTAGTATCCATATTTAACGGCAGCTAGAGTGAGGGCAATTAGAAATACATCATCCCTGAGTTGTAAGACGTTAAGACCTCACCCCGTATCTTGTCCCTGCATCCAAAAGCTCCGTTATACCATTTTCCCATTGAGCAGGTAAGCTCACATGCACCGGTCTGAAACTATTAGATTCGCATCCAAGACAGAGAGGGTGGTAATAAATTCCATACGCACCCATTATATCCATGGTCCTCTGGTAAGGGATTGGAGTATTTCTTCATGTCCTCAGACAGCTCTGCGTGAAAAGTCTCTATCTATTTCCAAAATAGGACATGAAGTTAGCATTGGCATTGATATCGTAGAGTAACAACTGTCTACCTCCTTGAACCTCCTGAAAGTATGTTCCCACTTCCACGAGTCATCGCCAACAAGCTCAGCCCAGTAATTATAATCCTCCGCAGAGCCCCGAGTGTACGTCAAGAAGTTGACGTTGGTGCAGCCTCCTGGGCCCTTGCCGCGGAGATAAGGGAGTACCTGGCCCTTGAGGGAAGTTTGGGGCGTTGTAATATACCCGAGATCTAAGTCGGGCCGTTGCCAGGCATGGTATCTATCATACTGGCAAAGATGCGAGTTGTCAGGAAACGCACTGCCAGATTCCAGAACCACCACCGAGCTTTCTGGCAACGCCGTTGCCAGTCGCGTCGCTAAGAGCAGGCCAGAGTTGCCCCCTACTAAATATTAGAGCCACGATCTGTAAACCACACTGATGACGATGGGAGGAGGCATACCCCCAACGATGATAAAATCGTAGGTGTCAGTCATGATGTCGCTATTTTCCTCTCTCTAAGGTCTATATAGAATCTTCACCAAAGGGAAAAAGCGTCAACTAGACATGGAGGGGTAACCGTCATTTTATAGTTAGAGGAAAGGATAATTACCTCATTCATAGCTTGAATAACTAACTATAAGAAAGGATAAAATAATCAAGCCCCATTAATTTTGATCAATACGGCCGTAATCCGTACCGTACCCGTGGAATTTTTTGAAACCTATGAGAGAGATTTCGCCCATTTTGATCTAAAGCTCATCGAGAGTCTGGGGCAAGAAAATGTGCATAGCCTTGGTGGATACTGTTTGTAATCATATTAGTTCATCGTCATGCAATTCATCCCCGCAGCGCTTGAGACGGAGCTTCAACGTTTCGCTCCCCGATTGCTGCTGTTTGCTTTGGCTGATATAGTCGTGGGGAAATGTCATTCATTAGTTGGATAAACCCGGAGATAGGTCGCGGGGGAAGGTCTGGCTAGAAAAGATAGGTATGCATGAAGTTGTCGTTCACAATGCTGTTTGACAGAGAGGATCACTGCGTAGGCAGTAAAGTGTCAAGATCAACCCTTACAATTTCCACAGATCGCTATTAGCTTGAAGGTAAAATTAACATGGTTCAGAGCATTTATCATGGGTCTGTAAGCAGTAAGTAGAGGGTCCCAGGATGTCCAGAGAACTAGTTGAGAGGAGGGGGTTGGGATGCCCGAACATATTCGGTTTTGGATAATGGCTCTCCAGGGTTCAAAATCAGAGCAGGCTACGGGTGGCCAACTCCATAGGCAAGCTACCTCCTGCCATGTTGAAGTGTAACCCGAGCTACTGTGTACTAGTAGATATACGTACGACAAAAAGCAGATCGGAATCCATGCTCATAGTGATAATCGCGGTTTCAGCTGAGGTGGGCTAAATCTGATAAACTGGGACCGGTTTAAGGCTGAAATCAACTGCTGCCCGGAACTAGTGAGAGATAGAATTCTCGATTTCTCGATTAGAATGCCAAGTTTTGTCCTGTTATTGCTTCAGAATGTTATTCTCCTGAAACTCGTTGAACCAGCTGTCTGCTTAGCTTTGTGACCCTTCACTTTGACGGTTTTGTAGATATAGCCCTGTCAGATACCATTGGAATGTTCAACTTGTTTAAAACCACGCTAAGTGTACGCCCGTAGCCCTAAACGACAGTCCGTAGATCATCATATCGCAATATGCTAGCTACTGTTGTGGTTGCGCTGTAGCCAAGAATGAAAATTGGACCATGACATCGGGTTTAGCATAAACTTTGAAATGACTCTCTCACATATAGTACTCTAATAAAAATCTTATAGTGAATCTGAGAAAAAACAGTTTTCCAGGCGATTAATATCATTTTATACAAAGTATGAATCTATTTTAATCTAAAATGAAATAGAATTTTCAGCATTCATGTCGTAACTTGTGTGCAAGATGGTGATTTCAGCATCTGAAATCATGTGATTGAATGCTAATTCCAAGGTTCCTGAAAACCATCCAGAAGTCAGATTCGCCTAAAGTGTTCATCCAGCCTCACGACCTTCGACAGAACTCTCTACATGATGAGCCAACATCGCCGTCACAAACTTTCCCTAGAGGGATTTATCTTCCCTCTAATTCCCGCTCCCCTAGCGCCAGAGGAGAGCAGGGAGGCGCGAACCCTGTTCAACACCATGGTCAACTACATGCCTGACCGAACAGTTAAGAATCGCTACAAACCAGCGGTTCTCATAAATGCAACATTTGAACATGTTAAATCCGCTGATGAGTTCCTTGATTACTTCTTTACGTACATTTATGGTAGTATCACTGCGGAAGAAGAACATGGAACTGGTTCTGTTCATCAAACATTCACCTACTTCCGCGATTTTTCGCTGTGGAATTCAATGCGAAAAGGAGAAGCTGTGGTTGCCATGGATAAATTTGCTGAATACATGATTGACAATTTTTTCATGCCGCGTCAGTTGGCTTTTGTTTCCATTCTCCTTTCTATTCTCCTGTCTTCTTGGAAGTAGTAACCTAGGGCATGAACTCTTAATGTTAACTTCTGTCATGCAGTTCGAGCCTCCTCCGTCAAAACGCCGCAGCCCACACCTACATCATTGTCTTCAAAACAATCTACACCTATTGGTACGAGAAGCCGTGTGTCGAAGTTACGACAAGAATGCCTTTTCCGCGACCATCATCGCTGTGTAGTTTCGCGAAAGTTTGATAGAGCAGAAGTCAAGAAACGGCTTGACACAAATGAGGATAGCACAGATGATGATGGAAAGCCTTTGAAGGATCTAAATAACGATGAATTTGAATATCTAGAAGTAGCTCACATAATCCCTCATTCTCTCACATCCATCTCCCCAGAAAACTCACAATTAGTACGTCCATCCCCTGGCAACAGAAAACTACAACTCTTTTCTAATATTGCTCATTAGAGTGAGTCGAAGCAGGCGGCACATCACATTCTAAAAATATTTGATCCGGATGTTATCTATCTTATCGAAGGCCAAAATATTGATAGCCCAAAAAATGCGTTGACACTAACGCAAAAGTACCATCGACTTTTCGGAGAATTTGAGATATATTTCGAGCCCACTGAGAATAAGCACGAATACAAACTTAACACAACGGAAGAGAGGCCCTTCTTGCGCGACCCCTTGTTCCCAGTCGTTCGCCAGCTTTATCTCAGTCCTGAACATACTATTGATCCACCCTCACCTCAGCTCCTTGCAGTCCATAGTGCTGTTGCACGCATTCTGAAACTAAGCGGTGCGGGTGAATACATAGAAAACATACTTCGAGAAATGGAGGATCCTTGCGTGGAGGCAGATGGATCAACAAATTTAGAACGCCTCCTAAACTGGGGTCTACAGGGTTGGCTAAGCCTCATCCGTTCGGGGATAGTTGCACATTGATATTTTGTCCTGATCTTTCTTCCTGCTTGCCAGAGTTGAACGTGCCATGCAGTCTCTTCCAATTATTTCGACCCTCGCGGATATTCCCTTAAATATTAATTTAAATTTGTTTTAAAGGACTTCGTTATCCTCGCTCTTGACTTTCTGTGGCCATTTGTGATGGCAAGGTCTTGGGTTGCTATCCCAATACCCATCTCTCCCTCTCTTCATGTGTTTCTCTGTATACGACCTTCGCCGCTCTTTTAACTTGACATATGCAACATTCTCACTCTTTTAAAAGACTTCTTCAATCATGAGGTGCCCTGCTTACAGAATCGAAATAGTATGTCAGCCAACTTAATAGTAAGTACGTTCCTTCGTACGCAGCCTGCGTGAGCAGCAAAATTCCTCCTCATATGCAAAGCAAGCAATATATGCATCCTAGCCAACATGGACGACCAGCTCGAATTCAACAGGCAACGAGCGAGCGGTGAAGCATCTATTATAGCTGACAGTGGGATGCAGGGTTTCATCTTAAAAGCTTTTACGCGGCCCACCGGGCCGGCCTGGTGATTGTGGTTGCATAATGATGGTAAGAGCTCAAGCTAGGCTTCAACATCATACCCATCTCTGGGGATGGTGACATCCCTTTCTGAGTGGAAATGGAATGTCAGTTCAATTATTAGAACCATTAAGAGTGAGGGAATCTATTCCATTGACAAAAAACAACCCATGCGAGGACATGCTAGAATAGCTATTGCCTCAATCAACGGTCTGGTATTGGTGCACTAGGGGAAACGCTGTGTGACAGATCTACCTTTGGAGCGCGACAAACGCTGATCCGAATGCCTTTGAGAATCTACCCTTCCTACTACGAGGGATTGAAAGATGAGGCAAGGCAGGATATCTTTGAAGCTAACATCAATTCCCCAGAACAAGGGCCGTCTTCCATTGAAATAGTATGGGCTAGCCACCAGTCATTTTGGCGAAGGAGGTGGAAAGAGCGATGTGAGAGAGTGTGATCACTTTGATCAAGAAACCGGGGTTGGATTATACAATAGTTGAACGATTAGCACAATGACCAGGAAGCAGTTCAGAAAATACAGAGCAGTGACTCGTATATCGGTCACTAGCTAAATTGCCAAATTAATCTAAGACTGCTTAGCGCCAAACCGAGGTCTTCTCGACAACCTCACCATCAAATTTATTTACCTTCTCATTCATCACTTCGCAATGATAGAGCCTTCATTTTCACACGTAATTCAAGAGAAAGCGGCCGAGCTACATCAGTGAGATATCAAGGATATTGATTTACTCAAAGCGGTGAGTTGCACTCTCCATATTCTGGGAGTTATCAGACAGCTTCTGCTATTAGGTCATTGAACTGCTCGTAGCGAATCAAAAGGAACCGCCTTTGAAGCTATTGTTCCATTAAAGAAGACCTTTGGGACATCGAGTAAGGGAAATTGGGGCTCTGGTACCGGGGAACGTTTAAAAAGATGCATTGAAATCCAACAAGAAGGAGTAAAAACTAAGGACATGAGGACATTGAACCCCCTGAGCGGATCCCATTGGCAGTTTCTGTCCGAAATAAATGGATATTGAATCACACTCTTGACTCACTTGTGATGTCAAATTCGAGATGAGGGCCTCGTTAGTCTCGGAAACAAAAAGAAACATTTTTGAAGGTGCGTTGGGTTGGCAATTCTCTCCGCCATTGCTCTCTGCTCCCGGCTATCACGTTCCGCTCTCTCCCACCTCCGTCTTTTTCAAAAACATGAATGGGGATATACTTCATGCTCCCATCCTTGCCGATGTATCACCTGGCCGTTGAGTTCTAGCCCCGCTAATTTCTGGAAAGACCTATTATTTGAAGATTTTTTATATTTATGATAACAGTATTAGAACAAGTGTTCAGCATCTTATCCTTAATGCAACACGCGGTTCTAAGAGCCATTTGTCTCCGACAGCAAAATATCGGGCAACCAGTGTCTGCTTCCTGCTGGGATCAAGCGGAAGCGGCTGATGAGTGTCTGAGAGAGTAATAGTGCTCTTTGTGACATGAACGAGTCGTACTGTGAGACGGACAAAAACATGCAAACTGCTTTACAATGTTAAACATCACTGGTTTCATTACCTGAGTGTGGGAATAACCTGCAATTGTGCCTCGAATTTCCTTATTCTTGGCATGCAGTTGCAGATGTTGGAATCTGGCGCAAACAAGTCAATAATCAAAAATTATACGTTCATCCTCAATATTATTGGTCAGAGCTGTCTTGTGGAATGAGCCGGTCGGATGTGGAAGGACCCCATCTTGAGGATTGATCCTTTTGGCGCAGTGGGAAAACCCCGTTTTACATCCTTTGGCCCATCAATTTTCAGCAAGAAGCCGTTCAGACACATACCTGCAACGAGGCAACTCCAACACACCGCAGGGAATATATAATGTCCGCCGCGCTCCCACGTTATGTTCATTACTCCATCTTCCCATTTCTATTTTACAAGCAAATGCGACTTTAAGCAGCTTCGTTTTGCACATCCCCCACTCGCAGTCCCCATTCATAGACTATTCGTGGTTGGACATAGGACTCATTCACAATGAGTCTCATCTCCAAACTGCCGACGGAGCTGGTGGAAGAAATTGCTCGGCATATGGACAAATGTGTTCTGAAAAATTTCGGGAGCGTTTGCTGGAGATTCCGCTCCATTGTCGAACCGAGATTATACGAAACGATCGGCTTGAACAACCCGGAAACATCTTACCGTGAGGTATTGAAATTGCTGATAGCCATCGATAAACGGCCCCAGATGGTTTCTCGCACGGAAGTAGTAACCATATCCGAGCCAGACGAAGGCGCACATGAGAGGGAGCTTGTTCAAGCTGCTAAATTGGATCCGAAGGTCACCGTGAATGAAGTTATCCCACACCTGCTGTCCAAATTACCCATTCTCCACTCCTTTCGTATCCGCTCTCACCAATATTCAGCTTGTATTAGATGTGAATTCGGCATACCTTTCGACTTCTCCAACCTAAGAAAGATTGTAAACATTCAGTTGCCATGGTATTCCCTATCTTCAACACCAGGTTTACCTCCGACACTAGCACACCTCGATTTGGACGGAGCTGGTTGGGTCGACGGGGATTATATGGAAAATTTGCTGGTCAATTGTGTCAAACAGAAGCATGTTGAGGGCCCAGACGCAGGTGGACTAAAAATCATCACCATCGACGTTATTTTGTGGCGTCGAAAGGAGTTGGAAACTATCTGCAAAAATAAAGGGATACAGCTGGAACTGAGTTGGGGTCCTCTCCAAAGCACTTATGATGTAGTGTACGGAAGAGGGGACGTTGAGCCTTGGGACGGCAATGTAGATAACTTCTAAGTTATTTTAATATTAGTTTAATTTGTCAACCCAACACCCTTGCCAGCTTCTTCTACAAAATCCATTCGACAAATCTATAAACTCGCCAACCCCATCCGGGATGGAATTTTGGCGTCCAAAGGAGCTTGAAAAGAAAAGAAAAAAGAAAAAAAAGGAATCTGCCACAATAGGAAATCTAGCTCACCTATTGTAGCCGATCCCACACCTCAAATGGGGAAATAGCGGACCTTCCTCGAAATAGGTGAACCTGGGGAACAGTCACGATCGAATTCGTCATGCAAATGTATATACATGTATGTACTATAAAGCATCCACAACCCTTTGGATGGGATGAGTTGTATTAACTAATTTAACTTAGCACATGTTCATTATTGTCTCGGCTATGGTCGACAAAGGAAGTATAAAATTAAAAACTTTTACCACTAGTTAAAAGGAGAATTCCCCCAATTACCAACGTCTTAAGTTCACAATTTTATGCCTTGAAGTTTCACAGAAAGTCTCCAGAAGACAATAAGAGTTGTGCATGAAATACTAGTGCCTCACACTAATGCAGATATAATCTGGGCGTTGTGTATAAATAGATCAGGATGCACCCGCATACTGCGAACCTTGAATTCAGAACAGACTCAAGGTGACCAGGCCCTATTCCCCATTAGGAATACTTGTAGTTTCAATTTTGGAAATCACCTGGGAGTTTCTTCGGAATCACCCCCTGGCTGAGATATATTCAGACAGAAGTGTGCTATTTTCCCCTGCGTCATTTCGGTTTAACTATCCGCCGCTTCTGAATTGCCGTGTGTGCCCATGAACAGGAAATGTTTTAGGGGGGCCAATTCGGCATTGAGTTTAAAGTCAGGCTGCGGGCTTGGCCTGACCGGTCCCCACCGTCCCCTGGATCGCTGCCAAACCTTCAGCGCACGGATGATGATAATAATTAAATGGGCGGTCCCGCCGCAGCATCAAGTAGATTGTTTGAAGGAATCTCGGTTTGTTCCCGGTTGTAAGACGGGCGCATTGCGCCAGCTCCTTGGTCAAAGGAGGTATACGAGGTTCTTGGCGAGGGCACGCAACAGGCATACATGGGGAGTATGGAGCTTGCTCAAGCGAAGTTTGTGCACCACCTCGTACTTCAAAAACAAGAAGATACTGGTCCCTGGACTGGCGCCGTCATGAGGTAAAACTTTCCAAGAGGATCAGCAATCCACAATTAACATCAAGCTGAGAATTGATAAAAATTGGGCCTCCGCAGGCCTTACCAGGCGTGGTTCCGAGTCGTATGAAGCAAGTCTCCAGGACTCCAGCATCACACCAGACCACTGCCCGAGAAGTGCAATCTGTCCAGTGGAATAGGCCATCAAAGTCCCAGGACTATAGCCGCCGGGCGAGTCCACGGATGTTCCCTCCCAGTAACGTGACTTACCGTCCCCCTCTCAGCCTCATCCCGATCTCACCCAAACGTTGAAACGCCAAAACCTTCGATCAACTTCACCTCCAGCTCCAACTTCGCCTCTCCCTTGATCGAGATCTTTGGCGTGTCTCTCCTTTGCCCACGGCTGGGGGGTGCTTGGTTCGTCTTTCTCCTGTTTTGTCTTGCTCGTTCTTGTTGTGTTTCCCCTCCCCGCCACTGTCATGCCCTAACGATCCGCACATCCTGAAGTCAACCATCTTATTATTACTCGCCCCTTTTTATCCTTGTGCATACCGCTGTCAGCAACCTCACTCCGAGTTATATTTAGATCTACTGCTTTGATCGCTGCCACCGTGTCAAACATTTCAAGTTTTTTTTCTTTGCAACCCTCCGCCCCACTAATCATCAAGCACCACTGCGACTCAACCAGGCCCTAGTTCTTTAGACTACTCGGCGGCCCTTTACGGTGAAACAAACTTCCGCCAAAGAACTCCTTCCCCGAGGGTGTGCGGAAACACAACTTTCCCCTTTCTCAGTGACGTCCATGTCCTCCCGGACTCATGCAATTCTTTCATAAAAATAAATCTCAGGCGTCACTAGTTGGTACTGTCGACAACTGGGCTAATCACCCGCCACCGCCGCATCAGCAGCAGCAGCAGCAGCAGCAACAACAACAACAACAACAAGATCACCATCTTCAAAACCAACATCATCTCCGCCACCAACCCGTGGGCGAATCGATCGACTATAACAGTGAACCCCAATCCCAGCGGTATTCTTATGTTGATAACGAGGCATACGACCAAGGCTACGCTCACTCTCACGCTGCCCACACAGTTCAGCATACTTCCAATTATCAGAATCTGCATCCGAATGACCCAAATTTCATCCCTGGACTAGCTATCACCTCCTATTCACCAATTGTTTCCCAGCCTTCTCCAAATTACTCTCGACGACCGACGCTGAACCTGATTCCATCCGCTGCAAGTGGATTTTATTCTCCCGATACCTCCACAAACCCCGAAGTCAGCTCGTCCGATTTGTCGTGGACCCCTCATAGCCCTGAGACATCTCCTCCCCTAGAATCCCTTCCGAAGAAGTCGAGAAGAAGTATTTTCGGCTTTTCATCTTCCAAGGACTCTACGACACCTGCGCCCAAAGGGTTGGGTCGAAACCTCTCTGTGCGAAAGAAGGATAAAGCACAGACAAGTGGGCCGCAAAACACTCCAGACAGGCAATCTGTTGAGCCCACTCCGGAGTTTCTTGAAGAGCCGGCAGCTGGAACCCGTATGCCACTCTCGAAAAGGCCCCCACAACCATACATCCAGCAGCAGCATTTCTCTTACCCTTCTACAACCGCCAATCGATCATCTTCTCACGTTGAAACTCAGTCATTCGACCAGCGTCCAGAAAATCGTTCTGTTCAACGTGTGAATACTGATCCACTGTCCAGCCAAGAATCCATCTACACGCAACGAGAATCTAGCGACTCGTTCCCAGCGAACCCATTCTCAGAAGTCCAGCAGTCTGCACCTCGCAACCCTCAGTTCCATATTAGCTACCCAACACGACGTGACTCGATTGCTGACTTTACGGAGCCAACTCTCGAACCACCCCATTATTCTTCTCAGTCAGAATCCCTCCTTGCCGCTCGACCATCCTCACAGCAGTCTGGAGGCCCGCCGCCCTCCCCGCTCCACCAATATCAAACTACCGAACCAAGCCAACAGAAACTGTCCTTCCGACAGAACGCCCAGCCATCCGCCGGGCTTGCTCAAACTCAGGGCACCATGCCGCCGGACAGACAAACGGGATTGCGGCAGCAGGTTGACTCTACTCCTCAGCATGGAGGGCAAGGTCGAGAGGGCATAGGCAGTGGCCAATCCCAATATCCACCAAATCTAGCCCAGGGCGGGAGCTTCAAAGGGAACCATTCTCAGCAAAGCCTGGGAGACCAAGATCGGCAAACACCACCGTCAGCTAATAATAGTAATAATAGTAATAAAGGCCGCGAAGACCATTCAGAAGCAGAAGTCCGTGCGTTGGTGCAAAAACACGAGGAACTCCGTACGTGGCCTTTGTGGGGGGTTATAATTTTAAATATTATTCAAAAACCCCCCTTTCCTTACTTATTAGCTCTGCTGACCATTCCTTCATAGAAGCCAAATATCTGAAAGTTAAAAAGTATTATTTTGAGAAGGATGCTCAGGTTCAACTACTCCAGAATACAGTTGCTCATCAGCGGATGGCTACATCTCGCACGGTCCTTGATGACAGCGAATATATGACACGATTCTCCCGGCTGGATGGCGCAATCAACAATCTCTCTTTCAACATTCGCAAGGAGTGGAGGAGCATTCCGATTTGGCTCCAAGGCTTCGTTAACGAAGATGCTGTTGCTGTCGGCACCAAGGAAATGACGGCAGCTGGACGTGCATATGTTAGTCGATGGCTGGTCGATGAAATATTTGACCGGCTTTTCCATCCGGGCCTGGAGCTGAATCTCTCCCGTACGTTAAAAATGATTGAGCACAATGTACGGCGCGGGGCTAAAATAGCCTCCGAGGAGGATAGAGAGAACCATCTTTCCAAGTTGTCAGCCTGGCGCAGGACCACGTTGGATGGATTAGGTGAGATATTGCAGAGCCGGGCCGCGGAGGAGAATAGGTCGCAGTTAATCAAAAACCTCGTCGAGAAGCTCACGGCGTCCCTGGAAATGCATTTAAAAGCCCCACCGCCACCAGGCCTCGAGAACGGTGTCTCCATGATCGTTGAGCTTGCCGTTGGCATCTCTGCAAACATCCCCTTTGAATCGAGAGAGATCGCGATAGAGTATTTCCTCCCCGGCTCTCCGATATCAGATACCTACATGAAATTAGAGGTATCACTTCCTCCACTAGCCGGGCTATCCGAGCCTCAATCTGCTGTCGATCGAATAGAACAAGGTTCCCCGACGAAAGGCATGAAAGCCAGTGTTGCAGCAGAGAGTTCTTCCCCGCTGGAGGTGGACAGGGAAAACGGGAAGGACTCCTCGTCCTCCTCCACCACCCAATCTGGCCAATCACCCGTGCCGCCTGCACAGCCCAAGGAGCCAAGGAAGAAATCGGTATTTGGGTCGCTGATGAGCAAAAAGCCGCATTCCAGCAGTTCCGGAGGTGCGGCCCAGGGACAATCTGAGCAACAAGCTCGACCTGCCTCTGCTCTCACGCGTGAAAAGGAGCGGGAGGAGGCGGAGTTTAGAGAAGGTGACAATGGCACCAATGCGAACGCCGGAACTAATCAAAACAGCCGTATTAGATTTGCGGCGTTTGTTGCTGTGGAGGTGAGGAGCAAGGGAGTAGGCAATGTTATTGTCCAGGCACCCGTCTATGGAGTAATGTGATTCGCTGCCTTGTCATCCTTTATCTTTTTTTTCTTCCTTGATGGATCCGGTTTAACTCCCCCTTCTGTTTTGCCTTTGGGCTATTTTGGTTTGAATTTTGGTTTGGCTTTGAATTTTTTTTCTGGTGCGTAGATGTTGGAAAGAGTCGACGATTAGTCGTAGTCCAATATGCCCAACAGTTCTTCTATATTTCTCCATTTGGAACCGGTCAATAAATACTCTTTTGGTTTTCATTTTTCGGTTGTGAAAAAGTACTAGAAAACATATGAATGAACGAATCCACCTAACGCAGCGTGCCCTGCCCCCTTGATTTCCGTGTATCCGCATTCCCGTTTCCCCGCCTTTATTCTCCTCCAAACGGTATTTTATCTTCTTGACCGAGACTTGTTGAATCTTTGAAACTCAATATCTTGGATTGGCCCCTTTACTCTGTCATATTTCTTCAAGTTCTCTTCTCTTTGCCATATTTTTCCCGCTTGAACAGGGAACGGAAACTCCAACACGAGATGGGACGGTATGAGATAACTTCGTTGGCCTTGTATTTTTCTCTATATACATCGCTTCTTCCATACGATTTCTTTCTTTCTTTTTTTTGTTCAACAGCACATCGTGAGGCCATATAGTTTTTGACGGAAAACCCGCCTCTTGAGATTCTCGTTATCGTTCTTTGCTACTTATTGTTATGGCGATAACCCCTTCGCCCTCAACGATGATGATTTCTTTTTCGTTTCTTCAACCTTTATTTCTCATTCCTACTAGATTGGTGTAGCAGATGCTTTCCCCAAGATGCGCTCGCCCCCGTTGGCTTTTGCAGTTTTGCTAGAATTACGTTATAACCCCGAGTGAGGACGCACTTTTAAAGGAAGCGAAGAGTGCAGAGCAATACAAGTCCTATCTTATCTACAATAGTTGCTAGGCCAGAACTAGTTAGTCAAACTTATGTAATCCCCAAGCGAACCCGCGCCAAGTCTCGGCCCGCACTAGTCTGTTTGCGGCTAGATCAGGATTTTCGATCCCACAACAGCAGACAACATCCAACGCAGAACAACCTCCTCGTCCTGTCTCGAAACCACCTCGCCAACTCTCTCTTCCCGACAACCCCCTCCCCCCTCTAGCCAAGCGACGATATACCCGCCTCGTGCGCTTCATATATCGCCCATCATGTGTACGTATTGGCCCCGTTTCACCTGCCTGCACGACGAGGTTTGCTGAATTCAGGATGTTTTTTTTATCGAACAGCGCTCGTGACCGGCGAGAAGACGAACTTCCAGTTCATCCTTCGTCTTCTTAACACCAACGTCGATGGCAAGCAGAAGATCATGTACGCCTTGACGAAGATCAAGGGTGTTGGTCGCCGCTATTCCAATCTGGTTTGCAAGAAGGCGGATGTTGATTTGAACAAGCGGTGGGTTTTCTTCGTTTTTCTTCTCTTTTATGTTCCTTCTTTCTTTTCTCTGCTATTGTTGTGCGATTGGGATTGGGATTGGGATTGGAATTGGGCTGGTCTGTTTCCATGGGGATTTTTTCTTTTCAATGGAAGATGCGAATTACGATGTCGGTTTGGAATATGGAAATTTGATGCGGGATTAGGTTGGGTGGAAACTACAAAGATGCAGGACGGGAAGAGAAGACCAGAATGTCGATACACCATGACCATTCGAAGACGCACTACCGTTGGAACGACATTCCTCTTTTCAAACCCCATCATTCCACCCAGTCCGCCTAATTCCACCAGAAAAACCCCTCCGAAACCCTCATACCCATATTTCCCTTTACCCCCTACTTGATTTCTTCTTAAGTAACCATAAACTAACATGGAAAACCCAAACCCCACAACAGCGCCGGAGAAATCACCTCCGAAGAACTCGAGCGCATCGTCACCATCATCCAGAACCCCACCCAGTACAAAATCCCCACTTGGTTCCTCAACAGACAGCGCGACATCACCGATGGCAAGGACTCGCAGGTCCTCGCTAACCAGATGGAGTCCAAGCTGCGCGAGGATCTCGAGCGCCTGAAGAAGATCCGCGCCCATCGTGGTCTGCGTCACTACTGGGGTCTCAGAGTCCGTGGCCAGCATACCAAGACCACCGGCCGGAGAGGGCGGACTGTTGGTGTCAGCAAGAAGAAGGGTTAAACGGGGTGTATATTTGTTTTTTGTTTTTTATTTATTTTTTTTACACTTTTGTTTGGTGTCCGCTTTGTATTTCGCTTGTTCCTTTTCTTTTTCGTGGTTGGTTTGGTTTTGCCGGGTTTGTGGAGGAGAGCGTGTGTGTGAATGGGAATGTTTTATGAAAGGGGTAGAGGGGGCGCGGACAATTAAGAAAACCTGTTACGGCAACGTCACGGACTCTCTTGTCTGCGTTCCCTGTTGGTGTGGCCCATCTTGCTTGCTAGGCTCCCATGCGAATGAAAAATTGGGTTGGGGGGCCCCGGATTCCCTGGAGTAATGAATGGAAAGAAAAAAACCAATGAAAAATTATACAACAATGCCATCAGGGGGGAAATAAATCACTTGTATGAGTCTGATTTTTTTTTTTTTTTTTTCATCCATCCATCGACTTTTGCTTGTATCCTCCGTGTCTCTTATCTTCGATGCTATCGTCCGTTCTTATCGTATGAACGGATCCGGGGATAACTACCGTAGGTGATAGATATTATCTCAGAAGAAGAAAGGTGATGATGATATATACAATAAAGACGAACCCCGTTTTCTGTAAAGTCTACACAAAGTCAACACAGAACTTGACTGATCCCTCCCTCCCTTCTGGTTAGTACTTGTATTCGTTCCCACCCCCTCTACTTCGCTCAAGCGACGTGGAATGGGCACGCGTACCAATATTAATATAAATATATACATACATACATATATGAACGAAATAGCATGAAACCAAAAACGGAGTAAAAACATGCATTATGATGGAGGCTGGATATATATATACCCAAAGGCAGAGGGAGATGAAGTTGATAATTGCCAGTTTCCACCAAACACACACTCTCTCTCTCCCTGGCAAAATTTAAGAATTTCTTTTGCCTGGCTCAGCAGCGTTTGCTATACGAAACAACTTGACATGTCTACCATAGATATTTTATACCTGTTGCTATTTCCTCTAGTTATAGTGTACATGAGTAGTCAGGCGAATGCATTGCCTCTTTCTTTTCTTGTGTGAGTGACTAGAACTGAAGGAAATTGTAATCATGAAACCGAGAGAGAGAGAGAGAGAGCTGTGTGGTTGTGAATAAAGAAAAGAAAACCCCGGAAAATCAGTTTGCAAGTAGAACACAAATAATCAATAACTGCAAATTAAACAAACCCCTTTCAAATGAAAAAGTCAAGATTAACACCCCATGAGATGTTTCCCGGAAGTATCGTCGTGGATACTATCAAATATAATATACCTCGTAAAATAGAAGCTCACATAAATGACGGGAAGCTTCGGGTGCCCACTTCGACTGCCCACTCCTAAAGACTCTAGATGCAGCTAACGTTATGAAATGAATAGAATGGGAACTTCTAGGGCGACTTAGCCGACCATTCGCCGCCCAGCCAGCGGTTGAAAAATTCCAAACTCGCTTCAGGTTGATCCATCGGGACCATATGTCCGCCACCGAAAAGACGCATGAAGGTGAAGTTGCCCGCGGACTTCACTTGGCCGATAACCTTCATATCTTCATGATTCAGGCTAGTCAAGTTCTTCATTTCAGCCGCCGCAAATTCGTCATGGCCGGGGTACTCGAGTGCCTCCGTCCAGGCTTTATTGCCCAGCCAATTACATATGAAATCAGCATCACCAGCATAAATAAGAACGGGCATTTGAGTGAGAAGCGTCGGTACGACACGCATGTACGGTTGCATCCAGTCGCCTTGGAAGAGGAAGTTGCGGTTAATATCCATATTGCAGGATTCGTAGCTGCTGACTTCGGCACCCAGTGACTCCATCACAGCGTCCTGGTTCAAGTATTTGCTGATGTCATCTAGTTGGGTGTAGCAGAGGTTACCGCCCTCGCACTTGGATCGTACATCGTAAGGGTTCATACCGCTGCGTTGGTAAGGGCCGATCAACGCGTTGTTGCAGTAGATAGAAGCGGGAACGCAGGACCATCGGCTCTCAGTGTTGTAGCAAGCTTGGATCATGGCAAGGCAACGGGGAAGTGCATTATCCATAGCTTGACAGCTGGACGAACTCAAGACCGCAGGGTACCCACCTTCACCGCATGCCATGGGTCTGTAGTGTGGGTATTGAGAGAGAGGATCGGTCAATCCGTTCCCAACCAGAATGGACTTGAGGTTGATATTGCGGTGTGAATGCGACATGATTTCGGAAGCAAAGACTGGGATGTAATGTCCCGCGTAAGATTCGCCGGCAATATGGAAGTCCTGCTGGGAATACTCCGGGAATTGCTCAAAGAATAGCGTGAGAAGAGCATAGACATCTTTACCGGCAGCTTGTGTATTGCTCACTGAGCTGCTACTGTAGGAGTACCCCACATTGACTGGTTGGTCGAGGAAAATTACCGACGCATTCGAATTCCATGAGAACTCGTTGTATTTCACCTTTAGTTGTTTTGTTATCGATGACGGACCCAATTCAAGAAAGAGGCCCGTAAGTGAACTGCAACCAGGACCTGTCCAGTAGCGTGACATCGGTTAGTTTGTTTATTTAGTCGTATTTTCGTAGGAGGACTCACCGCCGTTAAGCCAGAGAACAACAGGATCATTCTTCGGGTCGTTGCGAGACTCGAAGAACCCTAGTAGTTAGTTAGCAAGCAATTTTCGCTCTTTTTCGTCTTTTGGTTTTGAAAAAGTTGTTGTTTGGGGGCCGGTTCAGGGAGGAGATGGTTTGAGTGCCATACAGTAGAAGAGATGTTTATCGTTCTCGTTATCATCGAGATAACCGCTATACTGCTTGACAGTATCAATACCAAGATTGGACGGGTCAACAGCCTTGACCCTCAAGTCATAAGTATCAAGTCTTCCACCGACTTTGCGATGCTTCTCTCCAGCGTCTCCCTCCACCCAGACAGCCTGGACGTCGGAACCGCGGACGATGTGGTCCCACTGGGAATCCGGGCGACGGTTATGTTTCTTGGGTGGGGGAGTCTGAGTAATGGCATCCATGAGAGTGTCTGGGAATTTGTCCATCACGTCTTCCCAGACATTGCCGGCTTGTTCGCTCAGATGGCCAAAAATATCGCTGATCTTTTGAAGGGGTGTTTCAGCAGCTTGGGGGTCGTCTACAGGTTCCCGAAGGACCTGCTGCTGCGGCCCAGAGGCGATTGCACCTCCAACGAGGAGGGCAAGAGCGAGAGACTTCATTGTCGCCGGATCTAGGCAGTCTTTCAGGAAATAGAGCTTGTTCCAACCTGTGAGACGTCTGGTGTTAACGTTGAGCTGGGCAGGGAGGAAAGTAACGACCTGGCTCTATGGCATACATACCTGGAAGAAAGGTTGCCAGGGGAATGGAGCTGCTTCAGGCGTGAGGTATAGATGAAATAACAGGATGAAGCTCAAGTCTGGGCGGGATGAGCGGGATGAGGTTGATGTGGAGATGGGAGGAGGGTTGGGGACTGGGGACTGGGGACCGGGGATTGGGGATTGTCGATGGTAACGAGAGGCAACCAAGCTTGGGGAAGGCCCTGGTTGCGTCACGGGACTGGAAGCTGCCGACCTATCACCGTCTCCGATTGGGCATCCACAAGTCTGCGACAGCGACAACCTTTCCCCACGCACTATTTATATCAGCTCCAGGCGGATGAAACTGGCTTGTGTCGCTTCTGGCAGGTCAAGCGGCAACAAGTTCCGGGACCATTTCCTCATGGACCTTCTCAGGGACCAGTACAGCAGAGCAGAGCACAGCAGAGAGCACAGCAGAGAGCACAATGGAATCGATACCCATACATGTCGGGCATAGCCCAGAATCTTCAGCACCCGCTTCTCAGTCCAATCGGCAAGGCATAGCGGAGACGGCACTATATCCCAAGTTGGCAGGATTTTGACGTTTTATACCTTATCCCTGAGTGGTAGTTATACGTTATACCTCACCTAGTTTCAATGATAAATGATAAAACTCTAAGAACACCTGCTAAATCCCCTTGCCAGAGAGAAGAATCCTTGCACGTTTCAATCATGAAATAAATGTTGGGCAGGACAGTTTTGAAAGAAGGCCATTGAAATAAACACGACCCTGCAGTAATGCTTAACAATATTGACTTGACAGGTTCCAACATGGAGATCCGTAGCACCCATCTGCATAGGGTGTAGAAACCTCTGTCCTATGTAGTTACACATTGCGACCATCACCCATAACTTGTAGCCTTCCACACGGCCCATTCCCGCCAATGGACTCACTGTTCATGAAAGGGTGCCGAATGGTTTGTCGATTTATCCGTACTGTGGAGGTGAACTGGGCAATTCTCACAAGCATGACTTTCAAAAGATTCACATAATGGAATGAAACGAGCATCCAGAGTAGATGAAAGTATTACCTCTATATGGGGTGGCAGTCCCTGTTTTCCTCATCAAGACACACATGCGAAGCGGAAAGTCTAGTCCAATAACGTTCATTTGGCTTAAAATCCGTTCGAATCCGTTACTGGGCATCTGATAACATATGCCGCTGAATCTTTCAAATCTAAACACGGTCACCTAGATCTGATATTTTGAACACTGGGCTATTAGTTCTCTGTATTGGTGATAGATTCGAGATCACCAGGATAGGTTGAGCGCGAGCAAGTTCATGTTTGTTCTGTTTGCATTCCGTTTTCCCCTCCATTCAGTGTTTTTGATATTGAAGACAGTATTCGATTTCATGTGGACTATTTTCTTTTATCGACTCGATAGATACCCCTCCAGTCATTATACTCGTTGTCGCCGCTCTGTATAGAATCCCCTACATCGATACTTCAGCGTTCAAACAGGGCCCGCCCTCTCGAAACAACGTACGACTCGTGAACTACCCCTCACCTCGTTCAAAATGCCTGTAGGCATAAACCAGCCCTCAAACCAGATTAAATTTACGAATGTCTCTATCGTCCGGTTGAAGAAAGGTTTCCCCTAATCATTTTTCTTCTTCTTCATCTTTTTTCCTTTAAATCTAACCACAAACTGTCTCCAGGCAAGAAACGCTTCGAGCTAGCTTGCTACAAGAACAAGCTCCTCGAATACCGCTCGGGCACTGAAACAGACCTGGACAACGTCCTTCAGATCCCCACGGTCTTCCTCTCCGTCTCCAAGGCCCAGACAGCCCCCGCTGCAGAGCTAGCCAAGGCGTTCGGCCCCAAGGTGTCCAGCGATGAAATAATCCAGGAAATTCTGCGCAAGGGTGAGGTGCAGGTTGGCGAGCGTGAGCGGAGAGATATCCTCGAACGGATTGAAAAGGAGGTCATCGAGATCGTCAGTGCGAGGCTGGTCGACCCTGTGTCGAAGCGGGTTTACACTACCGGCATGATTTCGAAGGCGCTCGATCAGTTAAGTGCAGCGAGCGGGCAGCAAGGCGGTGCTGCCACTGCAGCAGCAAAGGGCAAAGCTGCCGAGACCGTTGATACACCTGATGCTGCGGTGCCTGCTGCCGAGGAGCCCGCTGCTACTGCTGCTGCGCAGGAAGACGAGACAGCGTCCAAAAAGCCGATGTGGACCGGTGTTGTAACGAAAAAATCCGCCAAGACGCAGGCTCTGGATGCTATGAGGGCGCTGATCGCCTGGCAACCGATCCCCGTCATGCGTGCCCGGATGCGTCTGCGGATCACATGCCCCACATCGATTCTTAAACAGGCGGTGAAATCTGCGCCTGGCTCTGGTGGCGGTGGTGGGAACCACAGTTCGTCCCCGACGAAAGGTGGGCATAAGAAGGGCAAAAAGTCTCGTTCCCGTTCCAATTCTCATGCTCAAGGCGACGACGATGACGATGACGGGATGCATGAGGCTGCGGCGCCAAAGGCATCTGGAACTGTCAAAGATCGCATCCTAAGCTACTTCGAGCAGGTCGAGGTGCAAGATGTGCTGAATGTGGAGGAATGGGAAGTTATTGGATTTGCAGAGCCCGGCGCGTTTAAGGGGCTGAGTGAGTTCGTGGGAGGCGAGACGAAGGGGAAGGGCAGGGTGGAGGTTTTGGACATGGCGGTTACGCACGAGGAGTGAAAGGGGGAGCGTGGGATCTCTCTATTGCAATTCTCTCCGTGCAATTTGGTTTTGCATTACTTTGCTATCCCATTTGTGTTTTGGCTGATATTTGATATCCTGATGGAAAACCATGGACGACCGTAATGTTTTTTATATATGTCATTGTTCATGAGATGGCATGCTAGTTGAGAATCATGAACCTTTCTCGACGATTCAATGGTTTTTTTCTTTTTCTTGTAAAGCATCGGCGCATGCATGCATCCCCTTTGTAGTGCGGCCAAATTGGCTAAGCCGCATGAAATCTTTCGCGAATGGCTTGAAAGGGCTGTGAGTAGAAGCCTTCATCCAGAGGTCGTGTTAGAACTAACTCCGTGTTATTTGTGATTTACCATACTATTCAATCATTCGGCGTCCATTCCAACGCAGTTACGCATCTCACTGACCTTCAAGTGCATGTATCGCTTGACCGAGGGAGGGGGAGTTTGGAACTAGTTACCAGTGAAAATGACTGCATAATTCAAAGGACGGGACTACGTTGGATCTGTTGAAATATATATTTTCCGCCGACCATAACATAGAAGGCTAGCCGACGTATATTGTCCTGAATGCAGTTGTCTAGAGATTTATCTATCCATCTATTTGTTACATAAAATTGTAGTGGCCTTGTATATGTAGTTAAACTACCTTAGCATATTTGTTTTTAAAAGTTTCGAAAAGCCAAATTTGCCGGCCTCTATTCGTGCGAAACATTTCAAACCTATGAGCAAAGCACTGCACCAGTCTCGATTTATTGGAAATTTTCAGTGGGTGTGCTGGTATAGGTGCCCGCGGAGAAGAAAAAAAGGATAACAGGGAGAACAAAGGCAATGGGGGAGGGGAAACGAAGAAAAGTGAGAGGGAGAAAAAAAAAAAAAAAAAAAAAGCAACGAGCCGCCACATATGTTGCGGATAAATGATAACTCGATGTCGAGCAGTTTGCGCCACCGCACATTGCCAATATATGATCATATCCGGCCGAAAACCCAAGCGCCCGGTAACCCGTCATCCCAACCAGCAGACAATGACAAAGAACAAACTCATTACATCGCAGTAGTCTGCGTAGTAAAATAATCCAATCAAAACATCATAATTCATTATCTTAGCTCTATCGCCTTCAATGCACTCGAGAGTCCCGCCGGCGAGACGGGCTGCGACATGGACGGTGGTGACACAGCTTCCTTTTCTGCCTCCGAAACCTGATTGGGGTTGATGGTGGGGATTGTTAGGACTGACTCCGCCTGCGTCGGGAGCGTGTCTTGAGTTTGCAGGGTGAGAAGAGTGGAGGAACTCATGTTTACGTCCACTGGGTGTGGTGTTCGCGGGCCGGTGCTGTGACTACTATTTGGACCACCACCGAGACCGCCCTGTTGTCCCGAAATGGCGGTCGTAGTTGGCGGTGAAGCAAACAGGGAGGATGAAACCATTCTTGCATCTGATGCACCGTCCGATGGCATTAGATGATACGACTGATTCGTTGCACCGACTCCGCCATCGATGTACTGCACAATTCCGCCCTCACTAGTCACACTCCCTCTCCGTGACGGTGGTGCCCTCGTGCCCATCGGCGAGAGCTCTGAAAGCATCGACCGCGGCCGATCCGCGCTCAACATTGCTCCTGGTATCGAATATGCGGCCAGCCGCTTGATATGTGCTTCATCGAATGGGCCCCGGTATTTCGACCGTGGTATCTCGTGTGCCTTGTACAGCTCAATTTTCGGCTTGCTTGGTTTGATTCCACCTTTTTTGTGATGACCGTGAGCCTGCCTGGACCAGTAGCCGCTCTTGGGATGGCTAGATTTCTGGTTCTTGGAGTTTTTGGATGTTTGGGGCGGAGAGGAGGTGGGGAGGGAACCGGAGCGGGAGAAAACTCGCTTGATCTTCTCGCGGAGGGGCTTTATGGACATGTTGGCGAATGTCCGAATGTTCGACCCCGAGGAATTGTTCCTTGATTGAGGTCACAGAAGGAGGCACAACAGAACAGTTTGGTATTTGGGAGGTGAGAGGAGCGTCAAAGATAGAGGCTACCTGTCGAGAAGCACTGATCATGGCTTCAAGACGGAAAGCGTACCTTTTGGCCTGCTGGAGAAGCAGGAGAAGGTTTTTATGGCCAAAATACGGAGTATGGGGACGTTAATGATAGAAATGGTAGAGTCGAGTTCAGATTTGTTCGGTTCCTTGGATCCGCCAACTCTGGCCCGCGGCCGAGACGCAACGGAGAATGAAGCTTGAAGCTTTGGTTCGGAAGCTGGGCAACGGGTGATGGGAGGCGAACGGTTCATATATTGATCTCGGCAATGTTGAAATTTTTGGAATTCCGTTTCCAAAAATTTCAACATGGAATGAATGGAAAATCATAACATAACAGATACCAGATCACGACGATGGCGAGAAGGAGGTCTTAATACCATTAATATTATTTATTCATTATTCTTATTGGTTCAAGCAATATTTAGGAGGCTGCCATTCAGACGTGAGACGGACAGAGACGGAAATAAACAGGCCCCCATGGTTATTTATGCGCTTGTGCATTTGCTGCGATTCTCGACGGTCGGAAGACCCACATAATGTAACTCTGGACATCAACTGCCTCCAACCGTGGACACCATGGCGTAGATCGGTTGGTTTGGCTTGCGCAAATGATTCAAGGTTTTAACCGACATTCGACCAGTGCGGAGGAATTCGCTGGCGGCGGTTGAACATTTGGTTGTGAAAATCCATCCTGAGTGGAACCATCCATTTAAAGCACACCCACACTATTTCAAACAGGAGGTATTCGACTGGGGTTAGGGCTTGGGAAAGAAGAACAAAGAGATAACTAACTAAAGCCTTGCAGTTTAATAAGATGTTTGAAACCACGGGAATGATTTTCAGCTGACAATCTGCTGTGCATCTTTTCTCAGTAGGTATTCCCGCCTTTTAATGAAGGAATGTTTGTTTTTTCCATTTCTTTTTCTTCTTTTTCTTTTTCTCCTTTTGCTTTTTTTCTATTCTTTTTTCCAAATGGATCTCAGGCTCTTTTACCCTCCTCCTCGTCACGCGAGCGAAGTCTTTGGCAGCAGGAATGATGCCGGTGTCTGGTGCTGATGAGCTAGGTCTACTCAGTAAACCTTTTTCCAAAACCTTGTCCAACTCTCACCCCTTGATTTGAACCATATCCAACTGCGGCTTGTGAACCGAGGTAGGTCCAGGCAACGGACGATTGTCCACTGGCACGTATGGCGCGCCACGAAAACAGAGCCAATCGTTTATTTTGCTGCTAGCGGGAGAATATTCCAAGCTCATTCGGTTGCGTTTTCTTTTCTTTTTCTTGCTGGAGTTATTCCGTGCTTCGTAACATGCAGCTCCCCTCCGCGTGGCGGCCAACATCGCTCGTCTGACACTGGTGCTTCCGGCATAACCGTGAACCTTGGCAGCTTTCGCCGCAGAACAAGGTGGGGAATTTTGCGAATTTCCGGGGAATCGGCAGATCTTCTTGAGGACACATTTTTTGTCGATCGGATGATAGAGAGCTATCTATACCAGGAACGTATTCAGCTGAAGTTCAGGTTTTGTTTTCTCTGTCCGTCTTTTCTTTTACTTTTCTTTTCTTTTTTTCGACGCGGGATTTCCAGCTTGGCGAGTTGGAGACTACCAATCCCTAGCTCCTCATTGGCTCAACTAGCCCGGCACTAGCACACTATTCCTCTTCGGGAAACCTCCAGATTCCCGCGCGTCTATATCGGCTATTGTGTCTTGGCATCGATCTCTTGTCTTTGGCGTGTTTCAAATCGTCCGACGTGAGCGTCCCGAGGTTTATTTTGTATTCTGATATGATATATTTGGGCTTTGTGCGATCTCTCGGACTATCCAGGCGGTACAAGATTGACCACCTATGCTAGCAGCTATGATTCTAAAAGAAGCTGCCCTTTGAGCACGGGTGGCGAGGAAACGAGCAGTAGGCGGATTCCCGCCTGCTACATTCGATTGCTATACGAACTACGCAGTAACGATTGAACAGGACTCAGATATACTGCTTAATGCTTTTAGGTTTCCTAAAAGCATCGGAGGGAGGCCAGACCATGGAAACCCTATCGCATAAGTTTCTGGCTTCACAACAAAGGCGTCAACGTAAATATGACGTGGATGACCTCATTCAGTGTACTGCACATTATGCCCATGCCATCTCCCCCCGCCCTTCTCTTGACCTGCTCGGTCATAAACCAATTGGATATCCCTCTTGCAACAGATTCTGTTTCTCATTGACCGTATCTGAATCAATCATACCAGTGGGAAATTTTTTTTTATGTCCTCTCTTATCGGGTACCGTACTTGTATCTGTTACTGTTAAAATCCTCAATTCATCTGTTTCCGCCCTTTCTGCTGCACTGCCGCCACTTGCTTGAGCAGAGGTAGTCACTTATTGGGATACTTGAGCATGGTTTCATGCATTCGATTTAAACTCCATAAACCCTGATCCTTTATTTGCACAACATGCACCGGATGAAGTCACTTGTGTGAGCTCTTCGGATTTTCCATCTTTGGATGCCACCTGCTGATGATCAGAAAGTCATCGTGAGCCGAGGGAGCCCAGGAAATCGGGATCTTCCATCGAGAGAGAGCGATCGACAAGGAAATCGAATGCAGTCCTAGCCGGACAAGGATCTCACTTGGCTGATCTGCGATCAGATTGGGAATCAGAAAAAGTTCAACCTCGCTATCCCGATGAAGAGGCGGCTTTCTCAAGCCGTTCATCATCTCCTGAACTGCGCCACCGTCGCATTGATTCTGGTGTTGCGGGACTGGAATCGTCACAACAAAAGAACAAAGAGTCTGCCAATGGGCGACCAACTCATTCGACTGCGACAGCAAGCACTAGAGAACAAAATGTTCCAATGCACGATGGCAACCAAAGAAACCATGGCAGATTCCCAGTGTCGATGCGCCCTGGTGATGTCTCCTCTGGGCAAAGGCAGCAATCAGGGCAACGTAAAGTCGGAGAAGCAGCAGCTTTTGCGGCAGCAACTGCCTACTTTCACCGCAGACCAAATGAACCTGTAGAAGTCATGAGATGTAAGCATTATTGCATCTTTCGATACTTATAACTACCGTGCAAGTACCCTCTGATTTCCATCCAATTTACGCGTCGCTAACGTCCAAACTATATCAAAGCTGGCGAAGCTATACATCGTTTGCATAAATCTAAAGAACCTTTGCCCATGTCTGCTTGGGGGAAAGGCAGAGAGTGCCGCCCTCTTGCGCACGACCCGCTGGCTGGAGTACCACGGAGGGATTCCAGTACGCTGGGTAGTTTTGAAAGCCCTGTCCCCACACCTTCCACAGAACGAAAAAGCGCACTACAGCGCGCTGCTCAAACCGAGCCTGCCGCTGCAGACACTGCACTAATTGAGAAATCTGGATATAGGCCCGAAGGCTATACTGGAATGACGCAAGAGCCAGATAGGCGCGAATATGAGGGACAGTATGAAAAACCTTCTAGCCCCGACGCTCCCATGGATGAGAAAGGGTATGACAAACCCGTTAGTGGCGACCCAGGGAAGGCCCTAGAAACTCCCATGCAAGAGAAGCAAAATGAGGGACTCAGCAACGACGGCCAAGGGCTGCGCCAAGAGGACCCGACTGTTCAATCTCCCCGACTTACCCATGTGACTACTTCCGAACATGACCCTGAGGAAATTGCAACCCGCGAAGAAGCAACACGCCGCGCAGTTGTGGAAGAGGCAGCGGCTAGAAGAAAGGCAGCAGAGGAAGTTGCTGCGAGGGAAACTGTTAGTAGAGAAGCTGCTACTGAAGAAAACATTGCCAGAGAGACTGCCCAGGGAGAGGTCTCAGCCATGGAAGATGCGATACGGGAGGCATATGCTAATGAAAACCTGGCGAGGGAATCAGCAGCTGCGGAAATATCTATGCTGGAGGAGGAAACCCGGCAAGCAATGGCAAGAGAAACTGCTGCTCGTGAAGCTGCAATCGCGTCGATACAGTCCACAGAAATTGCCACCAGAGAAGCAATTGAAAGAGAAGCACTCATGAAACAAAAAGCGGTAGAAGAAATAGCAACTAGGGAGGCAGTCACCAGCGAAGCCGTTGCCAGTGAAGTCGCCACACGTGAGGCTGCTAATAGGGAGGCCGCTATCAAGCAAGCCAACACACGAGAGGTAGCAGCTGAAGAGGTAGCCGCTAGAGAAGCTGCGTTGCGGGCGGGTGGCTTCGATGAAGCCGTCGCTAGAGATGCTGCACTCAGAGAAGTCGCGGCAGAGGAAACCACCGCGATGCAGGCTGAAGGTAGAGCCTCCATACCGCAAGAACCTGGCTCCCGAGGAATACACGATTATGAAACTGGTCCTGGATCCGTCGCTACAGGCGGAGCATTTGCTGAAGAACCTCGCAAAGAACAAATTGTGAGTTGTGGTGCAGCGCCATGTGCCCAGCCTGCTGATATAGGTGTCTCTTCAGCTCCCACGGCTCAACCAGTTACTCAAACCTCTCATGCGGAACAAGACCCAGGAGCGCACGCTCAGGAGCAGCGACCGGATGGAGTGGAGCCTGAGGGAAGGGGGTCTTTCAAAGAGGAGAAGGAGCTTAGAAAACAGATAAGCAAGGAAGAAAAGGCAATACGCAAAGAGAGGGACAAGATGGAAAGGAAACTCAACAGGGAAAGAGCTAAAAAAGAAAAGACCCACCAGGCGCAACTGAAGAAGGAAGAAAGGGCCAACAAGCAGCGGCAGAAGTCACAGAAGAAGCAGGAAAAAGAAGCTAAGAGACAGGAGGAAATAAGGAATAGGTCTGCAACCGCGGATGAGGGCCAGAGAGAAAATAAACTTCTGGCCAAGATACGTCGCTTATGGAGGAACGAAATGCAGTGAACATGGCTTGCGTCCGTGGCGATGCGCCAGCGATTCTCTCTTGATGTCCTTCGGTTGCGCTGCTGCAGGACCAGCTCTATGCTTCTCTCCATTCTCGATTTTCCTTCCCGTTCTCTCTTTTTCCATGGTTTTGGTTTTCCTTATGTCTACGGCCGTCTCTTTCGAAATCGAAACCACGAATTAATTTATTGGAACCAGCATGAGTTCGTTCGACCAGCGAGCGATGTAATGTGGAGAAGGCAACATTTTGAACGTGTGGTAGTGAATTTTCATCTGCTAATAACGTGCAAAACCAACGAGGTTAAAAGTAGCTACCTATATTTCGGTTAGTTGCAACGACGGCAACGAACAGTTTGTGGAGGAGGGGTTGAGTCGCGTTAATTCGTAATGGCCCCTCTTTTCCCCGCAATACCCCCCTTGTGCATACACGTCGATGGGGATTTATTTTCCTCAATCATTCTCAGAATTCCCCTTCCTTGCCTTGCGACTTCTGCCTTAATTGATTATCCGTTTTAAGGTTCTTACATGGAAACATAATCTTGCTCCCTTGATGGAATATTTAGGTGTCTCTTTGTTTATCTTTAATTTGCCCTTTTTATTTCATTTTAAATTCCTCCCTCCCCCAGGCTAGCTTGCCTAAGGAAGCCAGAAAAAGTGAGTCCGTCGCAGCTAAAAAAAAAAAAAAAAAAAAAAAAACTGAAGAGACATGTGGGATTGGAAAGCGGAGTCGTCGAGGTATAATATCCCAGAGACTCATGCGCGTCATCTTACCGTAGTTGAATACACAACATAATCAAGTAATGCTATTATGTGTCAGATTTCCTGTCATGTTTTAAGTAAAATAAGTAAATATTAACCGAATAACTAAAGGGTATGTTGAGCTTCTTTTGCCATTCAGGCGCAAAGTCCTCAGGTTAGTTAGGGCACATCAAAGCACGTGATTTGATTGTCTGTGCAAGTTCTCTAGCCAGATCAGCCGTATGAGAGCTGATGCAGCTTCCTGGATCTTTAGTGCTGAACACCGATAAACTACGCGGCGTACTCCACATCCCCCATCCGTGTTTTCAGCGTCCAACCCGGCAGCTGGCTGGGCCGTGCAAGGTTGGAAGCAAAGCATGCTGCGAGGACTTCCTATCCCGCCCTGCCAAAACTGCTGCTTATTGAAGTAAAATGCCGCACGTGCATAAATGGGCCGTTCTGCGGATTCAATCCATGGCCGATTAGGTTCTCGTCTCCATGTTCACCCTTCATCCCTCCTCGGAAATCCATGCCATATTCGTTGTTGTGGTTGGGAATGCTGATTGCGGTTTAGTTGTTTGAAATAATATGCCCCTCCAACCCCTCCAATGCACATGTCATTATGCAGGTTTTCAGCCGACAGGGAGGGGAGGGGAGGGGTTCGCCATTGAGTATTTTTCCTTTCCAGCAATGTGGGTGATTAAGGTAGGATTTCGATGATTGTTATGGGAAGATGAAACCCCCCCCCCCCAGATCTCTTTTTTCTTTTTCTCTTTTGGCCTTTATTTTTCCAAAAAAAAAAAAAAAATCCTTGTTGCGGGTTTGCCTGATTTCCACCAGAAGAGAAAACAAGCAATGTCTAAGCATTTGAGGGACCCACTGATGAAAGGCTGTGCATCCATCATTCAACTTCTTTGTGGGGGGATTGGTTGTTGATGGCTAGTGGTTGTTTCAGTTACTGTAACGAGGCTACAGTGATAGACTCGTTAGGTGCAGAGCCTTCGGTTAAGGAACCAATTCTTTGTCACCGGAGTTAAATTGTCTTTGGGCCTATCCAGTCAAAGTTTGGCTCTCCCACTCGGCCTTGCTAGCACTGGTTTGGAAGTTAAGGAGCTGAGGACGCAGCGAACACCACGGGGAGACTTAAAGCATAGCGGTTTCATATCAATGCGGCAGTCTGAGAAGATCATTGCAGGGCTTCGTCCAAGCGTTTTATATTACTTGGCCCGCCTCGCTCACTTCTAAAGTTGCTTCTGTCGGCTTAACACTGATACTATTTTGGTACCTGATTTCCAGAGAAATAGTTTCCCATTTCCCCGCCAAGATCGCACCTTTACCGCCAGAGTAGTTCTTACCGCCATTAAAACCCCTACTATCGGCCACTATGGTCCATCTCGCAGCAATTCGAAAGGAATCGGCAGCCTTGCCGATTCGACCAATCCAGCGTATCGAAACTATTCCGCTCGAGGAGCCTCAGGAACATGATTTTTATTCCAGCGTCTATGGCTCTCGGTTCGCGGCAGAGGACTTGCCTACGTTGGAGATGCCAGAGAAAGAGATGCCCAAGGAGGTGGCATATAGAATGATCAGGGACGAATTGAGTTTGGATGGGAATCCGATGTTGAAGTGCGTTATAATTTTTTCTGATTTGCCGCTGGAGTGTGCAGCGGCTTGGCTACGTCACAGTGGAGAGGCCTGACCGCGGGGTTTCATTCTTAATGATCGGTGGGGCGATATGCTGATTACGGAGGTTTGTAGCTTGGCAAGCTTCGTTACCACCTACATGGTAAGCAATCCGGATAGATCCTAAGTTATACGAGAGATCTTAGATGGGCTCCGCCGTGATCATTATTCGTTTGCCCAGGATACTAATGTTTTATCTCGAAAATACAGGAGGAAGAGGCGGAGAAGCTCATGACCGAATCGTTCAGCAAAAACTTCATCGATTATGAGGAATATCCACAGTCTGCAGAGATCCAGAACCGCTGCGTGAATATGATCGCCCGCATGTTCAATGCTCCTGGAGAGGATTCTCCAGAACATGCGATGGGGACATCATGTATCGGTTCTTCGGAGGCTATAATGCTAGGCACACTTGCAATGAAAAAGCGCTGGCAAAACAAGCGAAAAGCAGAGGGAAAGGATTACTCACGCCCCAATATCGTCATGAGCAGCGCCGTTCAGGTCTGTTGGGAAAAGGCAGCTAGATATTTCGAAGTTGAGGAGAAATTTGTCTATTGCACGACCGAAAGATACGTCATCGACCCGGAGGAAGCTGTAAACCTCGTGGATGAAAATACCATTGGCATTTGTGCAATTTTAGGTACTACTTACACCGGCCAGTATGAGGATGTCCAAGCAATCAATGATCTTCTTGTCGAACGTGGCATCGATTGCCCCATCCACGTTGATGCTGCCAGCGGTGGATTTGTTGCTCCCTTTGTAAACCCGAACTTGGAATGGGATTTCAGACTATGTGGTGGAATTCCTCTATTAATGTCTCCGGACACAAGTACGGCCTTGTATGTGCATTCTTTCTGCAATAAAATGCGCATATGCCAAATACTGACAAGTCACCAGGTTTACCCTGGTGTTGGATGGGTGGTCTGGCGTTCTCCGGAATATCTCCCTAAGGAGCTCGTTTTCAACATCAACTACCTCGGCGCTGATCAAGCTAGCTTCACCCTTAATTTCTCCAAAGGTGCTTCGCAAGTCATTGGTCAATATTACCAAATGATCCGCTTGGGAAAACGAGGCTACCGCTCCATAATGATCAACCTTACACGCACCGCTGATTATCTCGGAGCTGCCCTGAAGGAACTGGGGTTCATTCTCATGAGCGATGGTCGCGGGCATGGCTTGCCCCTTGTTGCCTTCCGCCTTTCATCCAAGCAGGGCTTTGAGTTCGATGAGTTTGCGCTTGCACATCAGCTTCGGGAACGTGGCTGGGTGGTACCTGCGTATACTATGGCGCCACATAGCGAGCAGTTGAAACTCATGCGAGTTGTTGTTCGAGAGGATTTCAGTAGAAGCCGCTGCGACCTGTTAGTCGCGGATATTAAGCTTGCGTTGACACACCTGAGCGAGATGGATCGGAAGGCCATGGACAAATATAAGCTGTATGTTAAACCCCCTGATCCAATCTCCCATCAGTGTGTCGAGGGTAAGTTGTAGCTTGTTAACGTCTGTGAATATACAGCCATGTGCGCCAACACGTTTCCAATGTCGGCAAAGCCACCCATAATCCCCCGATTTACAAGGATGATGATCACTCGCTGCAAGGAAAGACCGGGAAAACTCACGCCATCTGCTAAATCAAAAATTTGACGATGGCTTCGCGATGCCCAGCAGCATGGGCTTTTGCATGCTTGAAACACCGTACACGTCGTTCGTTCTTTTTCCACTTAGGAGTTAATTGCCCCTGGTTATCCCCAGGGTCCGAACAACCCCATGCGTAGATAAGTATCGTATCTTGGATACAAGGACTGGTTAGAGTGTAGGGCTGCTCTTTATTTCGCTAAAGCAAGGATATGAGAGAGAGAGGTTGAATCTGGCGGGGGAGGTGTGATGCAAGGATATCTCCCTAGCCATATATGCAGACGTGTCTCCCACACCTGGCGGAAACCAATCTTTCTTTTTTGCGGCTGGGATGGGTTGCAGTCAGCATTCTAGTTTCTCAAACCTGCGTCCCTAGCTCCATAGACTTGACAACCACACTTGATCTGGATGTTCACTTTGAACCATATTCTGTCCATCTCTTCGCCTTGTTTCGTCTCTTGTTATCCACTTCACAATGTACAGGGTGACACTGTAGACGGCGCCGTTTCATTAACGATAGCCGACACTGCCCTTAATCGTTTCACACCCGATCTGCTTTAAATTTAGCACTGGACAATAGAAATGCAAGCGATTGGAAAAACGATATGATCGAGAGTATTGCTGGTGGGGCATCGTCAGACTGGTTCGCTTTTGACACTCCCGGCGAAGTGCACTATCTCTGGCTAAATAACGTAGGAACAGAGCATACCTTGACTGTTCAGATATCAATCTCAACAATCAGTAACAGCCACCAGCAAGCAGCTAACAAGCTGCCCCGCTGTCAGCGTCGTCTGCTAGACCTAATCAAGTTCGTCAGCCGGGTTTGCCTCCGGAAACAAAGACTCTTGGGTGACATGACCATGAACATGAACAAGATCTTTGGCGTTGTTTTGATATTTAGTAAATCTGCTAGGTGAAGTCATGTCCGGTTAGCTTTTCTTCGGTGATCAGCTTGTTGATCTACAGTGCTAAATGACATATCTGGGGATCATGCAAGTAACTATTCAGTGGTCTCGACTTTCGGTCCCCAGGAAAGTAGTCCGGTTACCCGCTATTCTGATCTATCTCAAAGAAGCTCTCATTATCCGCAAAATGAGCAATTCCAGGAGATAACAGAATATCATAACAGAACCAACGGTTGACACAGACGAGGTATTGAGGGCCAAGAATAAACAACCACTTTACCACAGCTGTTGTAGCCAGGAATGGACCCCGTTTTTCACCATTGCATGCCTGCAATTTCTTCCGGGAGCATTTCTACAAGGTTTGGGCGCCACCTGTTCAGTGGCTTGTTTTACCTATAAACAACGGCCCGATGGACACTTTCTCACCGGGGGTTCACCTGAGTTGTAACATTTCGTAGCAAGTTGTAGACTATTCGCTAGAAACGCAGAGTACGATAATACGACCAGGCTTTTCTTCAGCCTACAACAGCGGCGAGCTTGGCGCTTATATCAAGTTCGTTTGAAACGGGTTTCTATGAACTAACTAACGGGAACACACTAGAGACGACAAATCAATTGTTCGCCAGATGTATCTCAGTTGCAGCCGAGACTTCCTGTATAGATGATATGAAATTGAATCGTTGTTCCCTTATGCCCGCAGGTCTTTAAATATGTCATGGAATCCCCCCGTTCCCGGATATATTCTGCCTTCCACAGCACTCTCAAGATCATTTTCCTGAGTAGTCCGGATTATATTGTCTTATCCCTCTGTTCATAGTTAACTATAAGCCTCACGTCCGACAATTACCCAATATACCCATACCCCTTGCGCAACAGTTCCTATATTTCACATCTCCCGTACTTCACCCGCAGTTCAACATGAAGTACTTGTCCGTCCTCCCTCTGTTTTCTCTCGCATGTGCTGCTGTGCTTCCAAATCCGTTTCCGCGGGCAGAGGATATCAGCCCAGCAGACGTGCAGCTCAGGGGGGTATCTTATGGCGGCAGCGGCTGTAGCCAAGGAACATTATCAATAGAACTCGACGACAATGGCACCAAGTGTCCCATCAGGACAAGAGATTTGTACGCCAGTAACGGGCCAGGTTCTTCGCCAAAGGACCAACGCAGGTTTTGCCAGCTAAACTTCGACCTCGTCTACCCTAGCGGTTGGTCATTTTCGGTCTTTGGAGCCGACTACAAGGGCTCTGTTTCCCTGGCCGGAGAGTCGACTGCCAGCTTCAAGACAACTTATTATTTCTCTGGAGAGACGAACCAGGTATGATTTGGATGTTTTCTTTCTTTCTTTCTTTCTCCCTTTCCTTTTTTGGGAGGGGAAAACCTTCGCGTCCCATGCGAAGGGCCCATGCCTCAATCACCACTAATGCGCCTCATAACCACAACCACAGGCAACCAGCTCAGTCGGCTTCAAGGGGCCTACGTCTGAGAACTTCGAAAAGCATGATGTGGTGGTTTGGGATACCTGGTCGCCCTGTGGCTCCACCCAGGCAATGCTCAATGTGAAGCAGGAGGTGATTGTGCGCGGCGCCGGTAAACTCGCAAGCACGTCGATGGATGGAGAGTTTGGCCATACTGTTTTCTTCAAGTGGAGAAGGTGTTAGGATACTCCACTCCCTTTTGGTTCTGGTGCAGCAGCCATTTGTTTGTCTTTATTCTTCGTATTCTTCATTTCCTTTCCGTTTTCTATTATATTGGAAGGGTGGATATTGGTCCATCCTGAATTCTGTGGTGTCTGCAGGGTATTATTCATGTTATTGAATACCGTTTACACAACGGAGGAAAGACAAATTGCTGGCATTTTGCCTCTTACTATATACCCTGTATTTTATTCATCATATTGGTTCCTTTAAGAGAACGGTTCACTGGCCTTTTTGAGGTTGAAACGCGGCCACTGGTGTGCAAAATACCAGCCTCGAGCTGTATTCATATTTAATCCGCTTGTCCAAAGTCAATAAGGGCGCAAAATAAATAAAGCAGAACAACTGAAACATGGGAACAATGAATGATTGCCAATGAAGCTGATGAAATAAAAATTTTCGAGTTCTGTGTTGACTTTGTCCCACCCGCCAGTCTCGAACCCGGGCAAAAAGAAACATAAAAAAAAGCAAAAGCGAAGATGGGAAGCCTACAGAGTAGATTCCCATGATAACCAGTGTTAAGTATTAGTTAGTAGCTTACTTCGCTGGGATTCCTTGCCGAATTGTCGTATTTAAGGGAGGAATAGCTGACTCAGCCTTTACCTCGCGAACACGAAAAGTGTCGACTACTACCAGGAACGACTGGTCAAATCCGCAAAACGATGAAATATTCTCGATTGGGGTCTACCACGGCCTTCGAATTACGAGTCAATACTATTGCTCTTTGGACAACTACAATTTCTATTTCCAGGGTCCATTGCCTCACCTATTCTTTGATTAGGACGAGAAAGATGAGAGATATTGGCGTCTGGTGGCGGAGTCAACAGCCCTCTCACACCAGGACTGGCGGGCATCGACGATAGCATATATTCCCTTCATAACGGCTTATTCCTGCTGAAAATATGGAGAAAATGCTCACGATTTATTGCGACTGGGCTGATTGCTGGCAGATTTGCTCTCAAGTACAGCTACCATGAATGATATTTCAACTTACCTGACCGTGCTTGAAGCGGACCGCGGACAAGAACAGGAAATCTCTCCACTTCCGCCTTTGGTTGATTGTGTGAGGTGTCGGGCCTGCGCCTCACACATGTACACCTCGCTCGCATACCCGCCTGTCCCAAGGTGTTAGCATGCCTATGACTCTGACCACTACTTGATCGAGTCTGCGGATTGGCTGCCTCACGACAACGTGATCTCGCTGCGGGAATACCCTTCTCCTGGATAAGTAGTACTGTACATCAAAGCTACATATGGGGAAATCCGGATGGGAAATGGCAGCCTGGTTAGTTGCACTGAACAGTGGTCGAGTGAAGAATATCGCCGCCTCGACAAACAACCTAGAGCTGTTATTTCATTCCGGGAACTGCCTTTGCGGCCATCGACGCATTTATTTGAAAATTGTGGCTGGGTTCCTTATTCCCTGAGCTGTTTAAGTCAGAATGGGTTGAATGTTTATTGAGTGATAACATAAAGTTTTCTAATGTGATTGCAATATTAAAACTTCATGCTGCGGAGCTTCCTAACAGGTTACTTACTCTTCTATTGACGATCTCCATCTCAAGATTTTCACCTAGCATTTACCTGAGCAGCGCCATCTTCTTGCAGAATATCGTATGTTAATTCAACCGTGCTTTCTTTTCGAGTTTGACTGAAACGATTTTGCGCGGCGACGTGACTGACACGAAACATTCGGTTCCTTGAATGAATGCCATTGTTTATATAACCCCTTCCTCGAGCATTTATTGTCAATGCTGTTTCAACTTCAAAGGTTTTGTTTGGCATTCCTCGTTCGGCCTTGTCGTTAACTGACTATTCAATTCTATTATAATATACCTAACGCTCTTGTTTTTATATTTATACTCTTGCTAAAACAAAGATAACTTAGTTTTCTATCACAATATCTCTTTATTTTTATTTCTTGTATCAAATTCGAAATAACCTACCCCTTTCACCAGTGATACATACTTGGCTACATCCTACGCTACTTAAATCCCCCAAGCTCGCAAACGCAGAACGCACACGGCTGGCTATTTTTATTCCTAGCTCACCTCCCTATTCTTCTTGATTCTCTTCTCTTCTCTTCTCCTTGTTAATGTGCCTTTTTATCTTGGTGGACAAATGGTCAGAAATGTACCAAAGTGGGACCCATCATATCCCCAATTTAACATCGATGCCTGTAAAGGCCCAGAAGACCTAACGAAGCTCTATGGCAAAACATCAGCGGACTTTAGCCAGGCGGAGCTTAAAAAGTTGTTTAAGCACTATGGATGGGGTGTTAAGTATTCGCTCCCGACTTTCGAGAAAGAACCAGTATTCCGCCATCTCGTTAAGATCGTCCATTATATGCGACCCGATTTGAAGCCCAGCAAGGAGGATTTTGAAAAATGCAACTCAGATGCTGGTCCAGGGCTTTTATTACAAAAATGCTCCGCGCTACCATTTTCCCTTGACCATCCCCCTCCGCCTCGAGATCAACCGATAGATCATTATCTCGAACAGGCCATATACCAGTTTCCTTATCGGGACCTTGAGCGATGCCCATCCGCCTTTCCAGTCTTGCGAAATGTGGCCGAGAATCGCCACGTTCAGCTTGCTGGACCAGGGGTCACAACAGACAATCGCGATTGCGGCCAAGGACCAACTGAAGATGGAAGTCTTGGCAATGCTCTTGACTGCGCGATTGTGGCAGCATACCTGCTTGATGCTGGTTGCACAAAAGCTGACCGGGACAGTGTGAACTGGCATTCGATACTTGAAGACGAGGAGAAACAGTTGTTGGAGTTGGTTTGGATGGATTGGGGATGTGACCTGGATGACCTCATCTTTAGACGACCGTCAACGCTGTCATCAGAAGCTCGGTCCAAACAAGCAGCAATACTCAGGCGCAATCTTATTGAAGGGCTTAAAAAGCGGAAGCCAGAGACGAATTACAGTCCTATTGAGCAGGTGTGGGAGTGCTGTACTAAATCTTTTCACCAATTTCTTGTTCGATACAGCCAACATCCTCTCCACAACGCTGGATATGCCTTTTTGAACGATGATAAACCATCCTCCAGAGGGTGTATTCCTCTTAGCGGCGAGAGCAGCGATCCGTCGAAGAATACCATTCAGGAACAAATGGCCTCGTTCTTTACGCATCCTTACTCAAGCCCACTCAAGTGTGAATGCCTGTTTGGCGGGGACCTTGCCAATCATCAAGTTGAACGGAGATTTCATGAACTGCCGCTCAGGTTGGCTTTTGTGACAGATCGGGGGAGACCGCCTACTTCTCATACCACCAGTGATATCGCCATAAAATATTGCAACTGGGAGTGCAAATGGAAACAAGCAACCTACCAATGGTTAGGTGGAATATACCCAATTAAAAGGGGCGATTCTTACCGATATGTTCTCTTCTGGAATCACTCCGAGCGACATGGACCCAACATGGGAGGCTTGCAGTACGATCCGCAGGAGCGCTATGGGAAAATCAGAGAGGGAGTTGAATTTACGTCGACGGACCCATCAAAATGGCAAAACAAGCAATCCGCACTCCTGTTTTATGAAAAGGTCCTCAGACCCGAACCAAATTCTCTGAAAAAAGTCATGCGTGCTGGGAAGAGTATGGGACCCTTTCATAGAGATGCCAATATCAGCAAACCAGATACAACTGCTAGTGTTAGCGTTCCCGCCCCAGGGCGCGAGCAAGGAATTAGGTATTTCGACGGTTATCCCGAAGACACAATATCTCCCCAACCTGCAATCCCAATGACCATGACCACTCCTCAACCGCCATATCAAACCCACAGAGGCCGTCTACAGAGCTCAATATCGATACCCGCTAAAACGACAGAGGTCCCTCACTATGGAAGCATCAACCTACAATATGTCGAGGATTCCGGGCATTCCTATCGGCCTTTCCAGACAGAACGGCAACCCTATTCGCATATGAGCGCTCACTACCCTCGTCGACATCAACAGCAACCAACACCGCCTCAACGAGTGCAGACAGGCCGGAGCCTCACGCCCGCGTTTCAATCATCACACCAGGGCGCTATTTCCCAGATTTTGGATGAACGTGGAAACACCTCGCAAAATGAGCACGATCCACTGACGAGCCATTTGGAGTATAGCCTTCTGGACAGTATGCAGAGCACACCCCAAATTTCCATGAGCCACACCCACAGCCAGGCGCTTGCTCCTGGCCCCCTATTTCCTGAAGCATCCTCCATCGCTGAAACCAATTATGGGTTTATGGTTAGCATGGGTGACCCCCTAGAGTAAGTAGTTACTACCCTTCGGCCAAATTTAGCGAACCCAGCCAGCTAACCAATCCTCTCACAGATTCACGGGAGCAATAGATCAGCTGAGCCACAGTTCCCCGGCGTTGCCAAATGTGACAAGCTCTCTGACCAGTGCTTCGTTTCCCTCGATACTTGAAAATTATTACATATATGAAGACTCACAGCCGCCTCCCCAGCAAAGCCACCCATACGAGCACGGGCTAGGAGGTCTCAGCTCAATCCTGTCACCGCAAATCCCTCCCATTTGGGATCATCAATTAATTCCTACTCAGGAACTACGACCACAAGGCGAACCCTTGAAACGAAAGCAGCCACCGGAGGATGGGTCTGAAGCATCTGCGCCGCCTGCGAAACGATACAAATGGTGAAAAGGAAAGAAAGAAAACCCACCTACTTATTATTGACCCGCCCCTCGATTCTCCTTTATTTTTGTTTATTATTTCTGATATCCTCCATATATAAAGATTTAGTTCAGGTTCATGCTAGATGATTTTATCAAGCGGTGCGGATTTCTCACTTGCCTGCAAGCTCGCTTGTCTAGTATCTTTTTATTTTATTTGACTGTACATTGTGGTATATCTCTCTCTTTATTCGTTTGGCGTCCTGGCTTGCTCTCCTTACTTTCTTGGTTAAATTGCTATTTTTCTACCCTGTCCTGTTTCTGTTTCTTGAACGTTGGCGTTTCATTTCTCCCATAGGTCTCATCATTTATACACCTATAGCTCCCATCTCCCGGTAGCTCTACAGATTGCACGTCTCTGTTGTCTAGGATAACATTGCAAAGGCAATGCAGACTTCATTATAGTATAATCGGTTGTTTTCAATAAAATAATGAAGATACGGAAAATGAAATATAAAAAAAAAGTATAACATAAAAGTATCTAAATTTTACGATAACTATGATAGCGGCGATTGGCGCATAGGATTGAGGATCGGCACCTAATTATATTCCTCTTCACTTTGACTTTAGTTTCCTTACTTTGTCTCAATGAATGAATCCCTTTCCCATGACTAGGTGGCTTTAACTGGGCTTCATCCATGTTTGAGAATAATTTTGAGTTTTGGCGTAAATCCTGCCTAGCCGGCCCGGTTTGTTTGTTTGTTAGCGGCATCAAGCACCTTCTTCATTCCCGCGGCTAAGAAACAGGGAATCGATGATAAATAACTAGCGGATGGATTCTCCCTGTTCCGTTTGATTATCTTTTTCTTTAGCTCCGGCTTTCTTGGAGGGTTTGTTTATGTGTGTATCTTTCTCTTTTCCTTTGGCTGCTTCACACACACCCTTATTTCCTTTGTTAGGCAAACAGTGATTTGACACAAAGGGTTATGCATTCCAAACTGGGATTCAACAAATGGTGTGTTCCAGATATATTTTTTGCAAGGTTTCTATGATGGCACCATGAAAAATAATTACAACGCTTCATTATGCTGTTTTTGGTTTGCTTGGCGGAAGGACAAACAAAAGAAATCACAGAAACAGCAAAAGAGGATGGCCAAAGAATGATAACAACTGGACAAAGGGGGGCAAGGGGAGTGGGATTTGGACAAATATGAAGAAAGGAGAGCGCAGATATCATAGCCTCGCCCGTGGTGTATCACTCTTCTTCGGCGCAGAAATATATCCACCAAGTCTATTATCCGTATTGACAATCCTCCCTTGAGCATCCCGCTTGATCCCCAGCTCCAGCAACTTCGCAAACACCTTGGAAAAGTGGTCAAAGAACAGTTCTTTATCCGCCGCGTATGCCATCACCCATTTCGAAAACTCCGGATCTGACAACAGCGCCATGTCCGTCGGCAACATCATCAGCGGCTCCTCCGTCTCATCCCCCTGCACGTCGGGATCCACGAAGTTAAATTGCTTGAATCCATTCGACAGCGTTGTCGGCTTCCAGTCCAGCGTCGTCAGTAGTTTGAAGTACTGATTCGAGAAGCGCGTGGGGTTATTCACCCACGGCCCCTCGAAGCCGCTGCGGTCCATATGTGTGCGTCCCAGTGTGTGGGCTCCCGACAGCGCGACGATTTCCTGGTCGTTGAAGCCCATGCGGTAGAAGATGTGACGTAGGTGATCGGTGCCCTGTGTGGCATCTGGCAGCCGGCCGCGGGGCGGAAGTTTCGAATCGTCGACGAAATCAGTCCGGCCAGGCCTCCAGGGGATATCGGGCCCACCCATGGCTTTTATGGCGACTACGCCTGCTAGCGTCCAGAGGTCTGAGTATGTGATCCAGGGATGGCGTTTCTTGACTGGTTCGAGAAATGAACGAGCGTGCTCGAGGCCTGCGTTGGCAGGATCACCAGCTTCGCCTTCATATCGCATGCCGGCGCCGTTGGAGCCGCCTGTGTCTGTTTCCTTGTCGTAGGTGCCCGATGAGTGCCTTGATGAGGATCGAAATCAGTTAGATATTGTGACGAAACGGGATGGGATGCGGCGGAAGTGTGGATGGCAGAAGGGTGGTATTCTTACCAGGCCAGACGCACGAAGACAGGACCGGCGCTGCCGTCGTCGTATCCCGGTTTTTTCATCTCTGCAATGATGTCCTTGCGGACTGCGTCGAAATCCCCCGGCTTACTCATTGCTATGCTCATGAGTAATCCTGACAAGTACAGGATTTGGCTTTTGGAAATATCTTCCAGGCAGGATAAAAGCTACAGTTGTTATTTTGGTCGTGTATATGTTTGAAGGGAAGAGAAGCATGAGATGAGCTTCTGGGTTAGGATGGCAAAACATCACATGGCAAAACAGCAGCCGAGTAAAAAGTATGGTACGCACGCCTTTTTAAATTCTGGCAACCTGATATAAAACCCCATCACTTCATCCTTTGCGTGAGGTGGCTGATCCTTTGATTGTTGCGAATGCCGCATGTGTTCTAATAGCTAGCTTCAATCTCCCCCCTATGCATTAATCCGACGCTGTCTGCTTGTATGCTCTACACTCCCCGATATCGTTTCCTACTGATAGCCAAACTTCCGGGGATAGTTATCTTTAAGCTTCGCCTCTGCGGATTTTCTAGCGCTGGGCAACCTCCGAGCCAATCAGAATGTAGGATTTGCGGAGTGGAATGCCTCGGCATCGAACTGCCAAATCATGTGAGGGCCCCATATGGATGGATAAAAACATATACTCTGGACACAGATGAAGAATTGTCGAAACGGATACAGATACATGCCTGATGACCATCTGGAGAATTGCGCTGACTATGTCATTTAGGCCGGGGAAACGGAAAGCAACCCTGATTGCTACTGCTCCAACATCCCCGGCCCATCGCCCCCCAACTCCCTGAGCTTGCTCTCAAGTCTCTCCACACTCGCCCTCAGCTCTCTGACCACCGAGTCCGCACCCTCCGTCACCCTGCGCATCTCCTCTAGATGCCTCCCCTCGATCTCCTCAATCCGCTTAACCCGTTCGCCCAACATACCCCTCATCTGCTCAATTTGCTGATCCTGTTCCTCCAGCTCCCTCTCCAGCCGCTTTATATGCCGCCTCCCCACCATGTTCACCTTGTCTATTAGATTGTAGATGGGCGTGATCTGTTCTGTGCTGACGTTTCCCACCGCTGCTTGCTTGGCGATGTAGATGATGGAGGCGGCGATGTCGTTGGCTACTGCTGCTATGCGGCGGGATTTTTCCTCTGGGGAGAGCATTTCGAGGCCTGTTAGGCTGAGGGCGTTGGACATGGGGGAGATAGGTAGGTAAAGTAGGCTTCGGTGGTGGAGGCGTGGTATTTAAAACAAATCCGTTTTTTAATTTAATTTAATTGTGGTGCTGATGCCTTGAATCTTGCCTGAATGTGCGCTCCTCGTGGTAATTTTATGAGCTGCCGGGTGGGTGGTGGCCCGTCAATGTGACTTCTTCTTCAGTTGCCTTATATATTCCTTGATAAACCGCCCAAAATTGCGGCATCCTGAGTATGTACAGTACAAAGGAGGAGGAACAAGAGCTGCGCGTCTTCCGGTGTGCGGGAGGGAATTGCAGGAACCCGGACATCTAAAAGGAAACAATCACCACAGTCTTTGGATACCACGGGGATAGGGGCATGGATGAACTCACTGGATAGCCAATGCAAAACATACAGAGATTGACGTACTTCTCCCCTCTGTAACACTACTTCCATGTCATTTAAACGCATCGGATATGGTGCATTTCATAATCCACCTCCCGCAAAAGGCGAGACAATGAAAACCACTAGACCAGTATGTAAATTGACCCTCTTGTTTGATCTGACTAGGTTTGAATAAAGCGCTTGAGACAATTTGACTATTTTCAGGCCATTCCAGTATGGCGTCTTCATTACCAGGAGACAAGTGATATCAACCCAGAGTATATCGAAATCTGTTAGGCTGCTGGGGCAAGAGAGCTCGATCACCACCAGCGCCATGCTGGTAGTAGAGGGGACGAATCACCCAATCCAGCATCTTTGGCGCAGTGCTGCACAAGGAGCAGGATCCATCCTTCATAGCCTTCATAGATATACCTAAGTACCACATATACATATGCGTATGTCGAGAAATGGTGTAATGGAGAGATGGATTTTGACAGAGGATTGAATGCCCTGGGACAACGACCATCTGAGAAGTCAGACCTTGACACCTCCATCGCTGCCATCGCCAATGTCTCATTCGAAAAAAAAAAAAAAAAAATTAAAATTGACAAGGCCTCAAACCGTACTCCAGATGAAGCATCGTATCAGTTTAAATCATAGGAAATGAATGCTTTGAGCTGTTCTTTGTACTTATCATGGAGGCGTGTGGTACATGGCCTGAATCCATTCGTCTTTGGACCCCGCGATAAACGTACAGGCATAACTATAGAGAGCATTAATTATTTACCCTCGCCCTGGAACAAATATCTACTCAGGATGATTTTCTCGACTCCATCCAGAGCAGACTGTAATCAGTTAGATCGGAGCACCCAGATACCAATATGAGTCATCTGCTATGCCCTTGCTAGGTCGGAGTTATTCTACTGGCATCAATCTCAGCTGGAGGTGGCTGGAGGCTGGTGAGTCAGGTCAAATCTCACGGAGCGATATAACCATCCCTCCCATCGAGATAACCATCTTTCAATCAATCGCATACTTCTCCGTAGAAATACTTCCATCCCCATCTCAACTATGCTGACGCTCCTAGACCTTCCCGTAGACATACTATGGCGACTCCCTCTCTATGTCGACAACATCGAAACGCTCATCAGCTTAGCGGGCACCTGTCGCAAGCTGCGCTCCGTCTGCTCCAGCACCCTCCCACAGACAATCTTCCAGCTAGCCGCCGCCTCCGCTCCGACATTCTTCTCCCCACACCCCCACTTTCTGGTCATGGCTGTGGCCCCGCAAATCCGCGACTGGGCCCTTGGCAACGAGGAGAATAGCCGCCGCCTCCGCTTGGCATTCCAGGGCGGCATCGAGGGTCTGTACAAGTTTTGCGTGAACGACAAGAGCCTCAACGCCGGGCTCACACTCGACAGGATCCGAACGCTCTATGAAGCCCGCTTCACGGTTATTAACCCTTTCGCGGACAAAATCGACAAAATGGCCGGCAACCAGTGGTACGAAGCGGAAAACTTTTGGAGCGGCGGCGTCAGCGAGCCTGACACTGTCTATTCCGATTCGAACCGCGCGGCGATGCAGATTATCATCTACGGCGAGCTGTTTGGGAGCAGCATGCGTCCGTTTCTGGAGTCAGGAGCTAGAGGGCACGGGACCGGTTCGGGTTCCGGTGCCGGTTCGGATTCGGATTCGCCTCTGCCGTTTTTTGATCTGGAAACCCGGCTCGACTTTATCAAGTACTGCGTCCCAGACTCGGTGTGCCAGGACTATCCGGGCTTGCATGTGCTACCTGTCGGGCCCTATGCGCCGGAGAACAGGGAAGATTTGCCAGCTGATCAATATGCACTGCGACATATTTTGGGGTGCCGAAGGTGGCGTCGCTTGTGGGCGGATGCGATGGCGATGGTAGGTCCACTTTTTGCGGCGTGGGATGCGGAGAAAGGTCCCTGGGACGAAGAACAACCGGGCGGCGAAGTTGAAGGAGTATGGAGATTGAAATTGTTCAGAAATGCGCTGCAGACTATGGGGCTTGAGGGGATGCAGCTGGTGACTTTGCCGCGGGAGAAGATATCTCCCGACGTCTTAGCGAAAGCACGCAGGATGCGAGAGCAGATTGAAGTGTTGCGGGAGCCGCCGCCGGTGTATACCGTTGGCCATTACCTGAGGGCTTCGGTTTCACAGGCGCCTGATCCGGCGCAGGACATTTACGTCTGCATGGCGGCATACTGGCCCGGGACTGATTAAAATACTTGAATTACGATGCACACACGTAGATTAGGCACTCCATGAAAATAGGACCAGATATACAGATCTGTATACACACATATATTTAGCCCTTTGGCCGGGTTAGCAATTCATACATCTGCATTCTATATAGAGCGAATAATTCTTCTCTATCAACTATTAAATCATTGAGAATTTTATTACGTTTAAATATAAAATACTGTATTAATTGATCTGATTGATTTGTTCATTTTTTAAAATAAATTACTACTATAAAACTTCAATTATGTTGGTCTATTCGGCTGGCTGGTATGTATGTCTGTATGTATGTATGTATGTATGTATGTATGGGGCGGGCAGCGCCTAGCAGTTCGCTCAACCTCGAGACAAGCAATCAAATTTGCAGAACTGCCCTCAGCACAGCTTTCCGCAGGCCTCCACCCAGAATCGGGACATGAAAATTCTCCAAAGTCCTTCCAAGCGCTCCGTCATTAGTTCGTATTACTGATGTGTATCCTTATCTAGGTGCCATGATTTCACGTCAGCTTGCCGCGCGGTTTAAAACACCCTCAACTTCGCGACTCTCTAGGATACAGTTCAATTCTTATAATCTCTGCCCTGGATTGACCAAAACTCGCTCAATTATGAACTCGCCTTCGAGTACTCTCAATGCCCCCTATATTCCAAAGAACGCAGCGGGGATTAATCTTAAACGGAATGTTGGGATTCCAACGAAGGAACCGGAGGAGCCTTTGCAGCTCGGTACAAAGCTTGTTAGTCAATCAGGGATTCAATACTAGGTTGATCAATTGCTTCAACACAGGACCGAGCCTACATTAGCCTGTGTTTACTTGGCTACGTATGTATGTATCGCTTCAGATCTTACGGCTTATCCCTACTAACCCGCTATGGCCAATAATAGTTCGAGAAACGGAAAGAAGTATGTCATGAAAAACATCTTCCATACTGAGTTTGAGTACCAACTCGATCTTCAAATCCCGCTTGCGAGCTGCCCAAATCTTCGGGTTGTGATGGACACGATTCCCGAACACCTTCTATTTGTCTATGATTACTTTACCGACGATCTTTTGGAACTGGCCGAGAAAGGGAATCTCTCTGATACTGAAAGAAAGAGAATTCTGCGCGCTACGCTAGCTGGTCTTGCGGATTTGCATGAACGGAGCATCCTACACGGTGGTTAGGCAACGCCATAGCCCATATCCCACTGTACCTTGTGCTGATGATATCTTTCACTCCTACAGACATCAAACCCAACAATGTATTTGTGAACTATGATGAGAATCCTGATGGTTCTATCAGAGTAAATCAAGTCCAGATTGGTGACCTTGAGATGGGGTCAATGATTCCACTGGGTTTAAATGTCCGTGGAGCCCGACTAGGAAATCCCATGTGGCGCAGTCCTGAGTCCCATGCTGCTGCTCGGATCAATTGCCCATCTGACATATTTTCTTTCAGCCTTGTTGTGAGTATATCAACCTATCCAGAGCTTAGATTTGTTAATAACCTTTGTCTCTTAAAGTGCATATATACAATGCTTCAGAAGATTATTTTTCGTATTGATTCAGAAGGGTTGACTGAAGAGGAGAAGGAAAGGTTAGTTGCAAGGCGCCTGCTCTCACATTTTGGGGATAGCCCGGGACTGGTCGGCCTCGTGGAGCATTTGGATTATGATGCTGCACCATGGCGAGACCTTGTTCTGGATGTGATCAAGGAGTTCTCACCAGAAAACCCAAGGAAACCATTCTCCATGTGGGAGGATGTTGATGAATGCTTCCGAGATGTCATCATGAAGATGACCAGCCTGGATCCCGCGAGAAGGATCACAGCGAGGGAGGCCCTTGAACACCCTTGGTTTCAGGATGTATAGCAGGTAACGAAGACTATGCCCGCTCTTCTGAGTGGTAATTTCTACCAAGAGCTTCACTGAAGGAGTGATGTATACATAGAAAATCAACAATCGAAAATATGCAGCGCATAGACAAATTTTATTTCGTTTTTGGAGACAATTATCAGAATTTGATGCCGTCATTCAACTGAGCATTTGGAAATACGAGGCATTTAGGTAAACGATAGACAGCATGTCAGATAATATCCGGCTATCTCGTATCCCTGCACTGACAAGGAGGAAGTTCTGCAGCTCTCAGTAATAAGACTAGCCCGTTGCGCTTCGAGGTAGAAATCGATCTAAGGACAAAAGCCGAAGGAATCATGTGGTTAGGCACCAATGGGAGCTGAGACGAAATGATTCCAACCTCGTCTGCATAGTTAATTTCGATTGCGAAGATAAGAGTCTTAACTAACGTAACTCACCATTGCTTTGCCGTGGCATTTCAACGACTTTTACGCTCTTTTGAGCCTTGGTCGACTTGCAGACCGTCTGTCGTCCGATAGCATTTGTATGTACCTGAAATCAGGGGGTAGCATTGAGTAGTGCTTTGCGGCGGGCCAATCAGTTGGGAGTTGTATATTCTTTAAATATTCTCGAGGGTAGATGCCCCGGCGAGGATATGATTTGAACACATGCTCTCCGAGTAATACTGGGAAGCAGCGACAAGCTAACATTGGACATTTGAAATAGCGCGCAATCCATCATTATCTCATCTGGGAGTGATAACTATTTCATTGTAGTCTCGTTATTGTAGATTTTACGTGCCAATGACACTGCTTCATTGTTTCACAGAACTGGAGCAATTTCTCTTAACCCTAGGGCCAACATCTCTGGCTTATTGAGTAGTTAACCCCACCGCCATATGCTAAAGTTGACTTGGTGTCGCCCTCAGTGCTGTATTACTTCATAGGATTCTGGACACCACAAGTCACTGTAGCAACTAACTAGGGGATAAACCGGTTCTTTAATTACCCCTTAGATCTGAGTGTCGCAGTCACGAGGCTTATAGAGATATTCCGATAACTCGTCTGGACCATATTATTGCTAGCCAAAGGTGGCAGAACCTTCAGCACCGAGCGCCTTCCGGGAGAGATGAACCACTCTAAGGCTGTTCCTCCGCAGGAGCCTCTTTTACCTCGTCATCAGGCTTGGCAAATGTAGCAGCAACGATCATGGGGAAACAAGCAGTCGCTTCGACGAAGACCTAGGACAGAAAGTCAGTACATTGCCTAGGAGAGTCCGATTTTCAAGGATCGACGGTGACATGCCTTCACACTGCTTGCCCCAGCCTTAATCTTGCCCCAGCTCACAGCTTCATCCGTGCTTGCACCTGCATCACTACCATCGAACTCCTGATTGGTATTGATGTACACTGCGCTCTCGGCTCCATTCCTCATCAAGCAGGCGTTCGCGATGTGATGCTTGACGACACCTCCTCCTAGAATAATCATTCCAGCTCGCTTCGCAAAGACACCTAAAGTGTTGATACGTCGAATGTCTTCGACAATGTCAATTTTCAGCTGTAGAGGCGATGACTTGAAAGTGTGGAAGTATGCCATGTCACCGAGACTGCCGTCCATCAATGCCGGACAGAATATTGGGATATTGTTCTTATATGCCCAATAGCAGACTGAGCGCTCGTCATTGATCTCTTTTCCGAGTCGATGGATAACCTTGGAGGGAGTCCAGTTGATTTCCTCTTCAGTGCCTTTGCTCGCCTCCTGCTCTTCCAGCATTTTGTCGAGAATCGGCACAACCCATTCTTCGAACGCGCAATAGTTCTTGTTTGGGACTAACAGATTACCTATTCGATTTAGCCCCTGTTCCCGGAGTAATGCGCCTGATGTGTTAAATGCGCCCATATATGTATCTCCTATGCACTTGATCAAGTCTTCTTCTATGCCACCGGCTGTCGTCACCACGGCCGACACGTGCTTATGTTCAACTAGGTACCGAAACACGCCACGCAGACCAGAAGATATGAGATTTGAGGTGTAGCCGAGGAATATGGTCGTTTTTTCGCGGGTTTCAGGACATCGCCAGGTTCTCTGCAGTAGTGTTAGATTCCTCGACGAAGTGAAGCATACTGGGAAACGTAGCAACGTTGCGGGAGACTCCATACCATCTCGTTTATGATTCGCACAGCTTCACCAATTGAGCTTGCTTGAAATCCCATATTGCTCGTTCCGTTGATGAGTTCTTCCACGGTGATAGCCCTTCCAGCATAATCATTGAAATTCAGCTCCTTGACTTTCTGTGCACCTTTTGGCATGTCAACCGATTGCTTGAGGACCGCTGCTGTGGACACCGACGGTACGGCACTCGTGCCATCAACTCCGTTCCCCGCCATACTGGCATCCCTGGCCATACAGATTCGATGGGTTTGAGTGTTCGCGTGACGGGTAGACTCTCTTTGCAGGATGCCTTGATTCAGCAATCTAATGTTTGAGGAAAGACAGTATGTCTTTCTTTGATTGTGCTGGATTATATTTGTGCTGCGGAAAAAGAGGTTGCGTCATTGAGATTTTGACAGTATTTTGAGTCGGCGGGGGATCATGTGGGTTAAACCCTAAGCGACCCCGGAACACCAAAAAGTTTGAAAATTTTTAACAAGTCCTCTGAAAACTCCAAAACTTGAGTATAATGTGGGGAATACTCCGAAAGTCATGCATATTCGACGCCTCACAATTGCCAGATCGATGTATGGACATCATGCCTTCAGAAAGGAAAAGCAACAACGCCTGCGAAGTCCCACTCGCAGAAGCCAACAAAGCTGCTTCCCTTGCAGAGTGCTTTACGGATGACCTGGTAGCGCTACAAGTAACCTCCAGATATCTGATTGCAGTCGCCCACTTGAATCAAGAGAGGAAAAATTGAATCTTAGAATATACGAATGTCTCACCGCTGCCCCACTGCTACAACGGCCTTGTCATTCTGCCCGCCCGTGTCATGACTCTGTTGGTGTTTGGCTGCCTCCTGGTGCCGACTGGAACTGGAAAACATACTGGAGGAGTAGTCTATGGTTGCTCTGGCTATGACTTGGAAGGGAAGGCAGAACGCACTTCTTCGGCTCATGGAGTACATTGGAGGAGAGTATGATCGGTATCATGGGAACGAGAGCTTCCATCACTTGGATATTGACCGATTTGGGTACAAAGAAAGTCCTCTCGGGGCCAAGGGTATGCGACAAAAGTAATGGAGTACAGGCTTGCATCGGCACGCATATGTTCTCCTATCCGTGATATCCTAGTGGCTTTCCTTGTACTGCACTGGGTCAGATCCAGTCACCTTCAAAAAGCATGCGCTTTTCATTATATACATATCTAACGTCTGGGTATGCCGATGCTCAATGTCAACCCACACACGTGAAATGCTTCGACTACGTACCATTCGGAAATTTTGTGCCTGGTACCGTGGCGTCTGGATTCAAGTGAAGGAACGTCGTGAGGCGGCGATTGAGTCGGTAAAAAGAAGCGGCGAAATCGTGGAAGGTAGCTCTTTCGGGATGGAAGAGCAATCCAACTTATCCAACTTTTCGTACGTTCAGGGAGGAAAGACACACGATGAAATACCTTGGGGAACTAAAGTCTGACCTTCACAAGCTTCACGATCGATTTATGCTTAACAGAAAATGCCCGCGGCACGGAAATGTCGACATCACGCAGTGTCAAGTTAAGCACCATACGTTAGGGTTGGACTCCATATCCAAATGTAACATCATGAAAACCTAGAAAAGTTTGGCTTCCGAAAGATGAGTACGCTATCATTTGATCGTGTTCAGGATCTAATTTCTTACAGGCAATTGTCAGAGAGCCAGGGTGTATTTTGATTGTTTTCATAGTATCTAAAATCCCGTATTAATCCCAAACAACATTGGAGAATCAGGATGACAGACGATAAAGATTATGCTCACACCTTGCTCCAGAAATGCATCTTTGACCCCTGACTCATGAAGCATCCTGTCCTCATGAGGCAACTTGGGGCCGGAAGACCAGACGATAACTTCTCTCAGCGACTGAACATAGTCTTGTTTCCACGCAGCTATTTCTCCGAGCCAGCGAAGTAGTATACCATAGTACTCGATCACATTTTCAGTGCGAGATATATGCTCGAATGGAACTTGACAGTGGAGGCGGATCTCTTCGAGCTGTACTTGTAGTATTTCCAATTTTGGGGGAAGGATCTCGACAATTTTTGCCGAGTACGAAGCGCCGGTGACCTGCCTTTCTCGATGCTTAGAGCTGGGGTGGACCATCCACCATGCAGGAAGTCCCAGTCGTTTGAGGGCGGCGAAGCCTCGCATTGTTTTCATGACATCCCCGGTAGGGTGTTGCAGGGAGATGTGCTGATGCGGTTGAGCATAGACAACAAGCTCTTCCAAAGATGACTGATGGGGTAGCAGAGGGGTGGGGAAATTCGACGGCATGATAGCATTGCGATTTAGGAACCACTTTTCCACTATAGCGATAGTGTAGAGAAGTAAGGGCTTGGGGGGGCGCGCAGTATCGTGTCCATCGTGGTCGCGGAGCAGATGCTGCTTGAGATGGCTAGGTGTGAGATAAAGGAATTCAAGGTGACATCTTGTGAATTGGCCGTTGCTTCGGAAATTTCCGTATCCCATATCCAGCTTTGAATGGTGGACATGCTTAGATTGCGGAGAAATGTGTTGCTCAACAGTGGCTCAAGCAGCTGCATGCCCAGTGTTCCGCTCTGTCGCATGCAGATATGAAGAGAGGTGATCTGCACTGATCCCGCGTGAGTGAAGTAAATATGGCAGCGTTTGCAGATTGGGTAAGAGACTCAGAAGACGCGTGGTTGCCTTCTCGTTTGCGTCCATCACACCTAGAAGCTGGCCCCATTTCAGCTTCGCCTCCACCACGAGACCGCGTAAATGCTCGTTCTCTTCCAATGAAACCACAAGAGCGTCTAAGCTGTATATTCTTATGCTCACGTGTGGAATTTCTTCTTTGCTCCGATGTCTTGGATCTAGGCCTGTGTTAGTCAGATTGCACCAACTTCTTACTCGTTAGGCTTGCAAAATCAGAGTAGCCTCGAGGTAACGATAAGTAGAACTACAGTGAAGCAAGAAAGTATTCTCCCGCGATAAGAACCCAAATCCAATGAACGCAGACTGACATACCGTAGAAGATAGATATGTAGAGCCTGAGTGAGCTCGTTGAGGTGTAATCTAAGATTTTGGCAACAAGTTCGTTGGGCATATGGATCAAGCCTACCGGCGCCATGATTGAGTATGGCGTTATAAGCGCAGAGTCCTCAGCGACGATGATGATTGTGATCGCTGTCTCTACGGCTCGCATTATATCAGCATGGTCGCTTGATCACTTGCCACCGGGCTTTGGGGGTTTTATCATTGCCATATGCGGATGAACCAATGCAGTATTATGGCCCAAGTCGTCGTGTCCACGATAAAATCTACCACTATTCTGAGGCATCCTTTCAATATAATATTTCAATATTAAATAGTGATGAAGATGATGATTATTTGATGTATATATCTTGAATAAGAAGATATTATATTGTATTTAAGAGGTCTCATTTCTTTGGATAATTAATTGATGAATAGTTGATTTGTATGAAGTAGTTAGTGGAACTAAATAGTATCCATTATGTTGGCATCCCTATTGCTCGCTAAATGCCACGTGACCCCACCTATTTACGCAGCCCGCTAGATAGTTACAATGAACCAACCTTCCACTTCCGTCGGTATACAAGTATTGATTTTACTGATAGAGTAGTATATTATAACTTACAGTATCTCAGCAATATCTTAATAATAATATTGACTGATTATAATAGTTACTGGGCAGTGTGTCGATGACGTTAAAAAGTTCTACATCATTTCAATGTTATCATGATATTGAATTTTTGATGATGTATCACTGAAATCAATGATGGAATATGGGTTGCAGGCAGTGATGACTGATGTGGAACAGTGGAATCACTGTGTAATCATTGTAAATTAACCCTACATTCTTCTGGTATAGGGAGTTCTAAGGACGTCCCGTGGTGATTCTGTGGGACGTCTAAGTGGTTGTATTAGCATGCAGGCAGCTGAGGCATATATGTGCGGTGCGCTAGTCCGTGATAGGCAGCCTAGGGCCAACACCTCCCCTCGGACTAGTAGCCGTACAGATATCTATCTATCTATCTAGAAATCCTATTATACATGAAATTGCAAAATCAAATCAAACAATCAAATCAAGTAAATCAGACAAATCAAGCAATCTATCAATCGGGTTGTTGTTTCCACTTCTTCAGCTGATTGTAATTCCCTTCTCCTCCCATATAATCTGGCTGGCTTTTCAAGAGTTCATCTCTATCCAAAGAAACTGTAGTGTATAATCCTTGATTAGGTTGGCTGGCCATAAGATTCTTCTCTTTATCTTGTTCTTTATCTCTCTCTTTGCTTTTATTCTTTGATTCCTTCATCATCTTAATCTTTTCCTTATTATTTTCCCTCCATTCAGCATCTGCTAGATGAGGGTTCTTGAGCCAGCAGGCATCAGCAATATGCCCAGTTCGTTCACAGTAGTAGCACTGGCGGCTATCCCATCGATTGGTATGACCACCAGCGGTGATAGCGGCAGCGGTGGTGGTGGTGGTGTTCCGGGTGGTAGTGGTGGTGGCTCGGGCAGCAAGCTGGTTCATCAAATCATCTAGATTCAGGTTCTTGATAGGGCCCTGCCTAGTAGCATAGAATTCATCCAACTTTGTTCTAACTCATCCAACTTTGTTCTAACAAATTCCTGTTGCCAATCCCCCAATCCCAGTATAAAGAGGTCATGGTAGGTACTCTCAGCCCAGTTTTCACCCAGAGATACAAGTTTTGTCTTCAGTTTCTGGAAGGTTGCAAGATAGGTGTGGAAATCATCATTCCTCAGGCGTAGATCTCTGATCTTCTTGGTGGTAAAGAGGCATTCCTCTGCATGGGATATTGCGTATCATCAGGCAAGGTTCTTCCATATGATGGCAGCAAGATAGGTGTCATCTAGGGGTCCTAGGGAATCACATACAGTGGCATTCAAAGATTGAAAGATTCTTGTGTAAAGAAGCTCATTTTTCTTGTTCCAAAGCTCCATATCCAAAGGCACTGTGGTAGGAGGCACTGTTTCTTCCTTGGTGAGAACATCTTTTGCCTGAATAAGATGAGCATCTGCGAGAATAGAGCTCTTCCATTCCAGATAGTTGTTTGATCCAGTGAGAACAACTGCATGCCTCCCCTCCAACTTGGCTCTGGCATCCTTGCAAAATTCATCAATCTCATTCTTGATAGAGTCCCCAGCAGTAGATGATAGAGATAGCTTCTCCATAAGTGTCTTCATCTGCTCATCCTGTCTTGCTATCTGCTCATCCTGCCTTGCTATCTGCTCCCCCTGCCTTCTCATATATTCCATCATTATCTGTATCAAGGTATCGGTCGTTGGTGTTGGGCCCGGTGGCCCAGGGGTAGTGGTAGGTTCGTATTCATCATTGCTAGCTGGGGTATCCATCCCCATGGTAGCTCGAGTTCTAGGAGGCATTCTCCCCCCTATATCAATCAAATTCTTTTTCCCGCAATCAAAGCTCTTCTAGCCTTCGTCAGAATCCCTTCTGCTGATCAGCGTAGCAGTTCGCGAGACATTAGATGCCTCAGATAGGCAGTGGAAGGTTCTTAATATATTTATTAAAAAAACAAGCAATCCGGGCTATAACCTGTGGGACGTCTAAGTGGTTGTATTAGCATGCAGGCAGCTGAGGCATATATGTGCGGTGCGCTAGTCCGTGATAGGCAGCCTAGGGCCAACAGATTCGTACCCTCTATACCACTACAGCGCTGGTGGTGATTGAGCTCAGTGACCCAATATCCTCGACCCGCCGCTTACATGGCTCTAGAGCAATTGTCAATTCCAGCTTAGCAGTGATTATCTGCTTTGGTATAGCGCTGGCACCTTAGTGCGGGTTTCCTGTAAGTAACTCGTCTGAGAGGAGGTGTTGAAGCCCTGAGCTTTCTAGTGCCATTTCTAAATAACTCTGCCAATAACAACTCTTGTTGGACGTCTGACACCATACTAATATACACATGACTTGCCACAGTGGCTAATAAATGACGTCACAAAGCAAGCAAGGGCAAGTACTTAAGGATTGGAAAGTAAAGAAGGACTACCCTTTGCAAAATACCCACAAAACCAACTCTCATCCAAGTACGGAGCATCAAACACGATTGCGGCTTACAGAAGCCCCCGTCAGATATGCCCTACAACCTACATCAACGATACTACCTACGGGAACGGGGTCAGACTCAACAAGACCAGCCGCCAACCAGACAAAAGAGGAAACGGAAGCGTCGAGCAGCCGAACAACACCCCAAGTCAACACGGACAGGAGCACATCGAGGCAGGAGAAGTCAGGATAATAGAGCTTCTCCTAGTTCCCCCGCAGCCCCCCAAGACCAACCACAGCAACAACCGCCACCACCTGCTGTCAAGGACGAAATGCACCCATGGCTCAAGGCGATGGGATACGAGGAGGTGGACTTTATTGTCGACCCAGAAGCTGGTCTTAAAGAGGGTGAAGAGCCTCCACCTCTAGGGACCGTGGAAGAAGAAGACCCTGATCTTTTGAACTACGGACCTTGGCCAGAAACAGATAGTCATATTGACCCGGCGACCCGGGATGCAATTGAAGCCTCGAAGAATCCATTCTTTATATCTTGGCTGAGGGGGTGGGACAGGATGCATGCACCGAGAGCTTGAGAAAAGATCCGCCGGGATAAGAGATTGGCAAAAGTTGATTCCAATTGAATAATGTGTCAGGCCAATTGGCTGATCTTATGTACTTAGTAATTCTTCCACCATATAACTTCTCACTTAGCTAGCAATCTTCAATCAAGCAAGGTATACACCTTGAACATAATGTACATATCTACTGTGCATGTACTGCCAATGCTATATCTGTAATTTTGCCCTCATGATTGACAACAAAATATCGGTATGTTCAGTAAGTATTTATCTACCTACCTGGTATAGTTAAAGATGGGCCCCCTGATGCCTCCCAGCGTCCACAACTTATCGGCCATTCGCTTTGTTAACCCTCTGCAACTCTCCCTCTTTCCCGTCTGCTCACTCTCCCACCCCGGTACACTGGTTATGATGACTGCTTTGCTTGTTCTAACTGACAAAATTACCTATTCAGGAGGCATATCGGCATATCCCATGGATATCAGAAGGCTGCCTTCGCTAGCTATGAAATCAATTATTTAAGTGCCTGCAAGGGTTATGTGAATGGAAGCCCTCTGGGAGGCGCAGATAGCTCCATTAAAGTGACTATTTGCAAATTCACTCTTTCTAAACATACAGCATCGAGCCTGGCTTTCTCGATGCAAAGGTAACTGGTCGGCGGTCTTTCACTACCACTCCCTCTTGTGAATATATATCTAGCTAGCATGAGGCATCTAGATATAAATCTCCCTTCGGTCGCTCTGAGCGAGAGTTTCCTCTCTCACACAATTCTTGTTCTTCCAACTTGACCTCGTTCGGCTATTAAGATAGACCCATACTTGTATTTATTGTACTTTCCTGGACCACCAGCTTCTCTGCGAGAAAAGCAGCAAATATCTTTTCACCAACCACAGGCTTCAAGATGGCAGCGTAAGTCAGACCCAAGGAGAATATCAATATGTCCCTATCTACACAAACTAACTGATCGATCGCTCTAGTCCAAATCTTGGCATCATCCCGACGACTCAGGGAGTGCAAAACCACTTCTGGAATAGGAATGAGGAGGCGCATTCCTTAATTCGAAATCTCTATCATCTACCTGCCAATCACTCGCAGGAAGATATAGTCGACCATGTCTGGGTTGCCATTTGCCGTCTTTACTTTCCCCATACCGCCACGGGGCATAACGGCCCAAGATGGACTGTGCTACGGGAGGCATATCGAGGGCCACAACACCACTTATCGGAGCACAAGCCCAATGTCCTTGTTGTGCGGCTTCAACCGCAGCAAGTCGTGGGTGGTCTCCGCGTTTATGGGCGTGATTATCTATGGGTTGACTGCAAGCCACCCTCTCACGATTCACCATCAGGGTGGAAGAACCTCATCAATGAGGCAACGGAGCGGCTGAATAGCGCCCACCCACAGCGCGCCGTGGCTGTCATCGTGGCCATCGGATGCAGGATGATGGCTTTTTGGTGGGACCCAACCAATACAGTTGTTACTCCCCGAATGAGCATACAAGCTGCGCATCCACAGACAGTGGTATGGGATCTGGACCCACGCCTAAAGGGTTGGTTCCAGGGGGGTTGGGTTAACTCAGCCACCGGGAGGGTTGACCTCTCCCAGGCACTAGTGGTGGACTGCATCACTGAAGAAATTGTAAATGGTCAGCGGATGTTGAGGTGGAGGGATGAACTCGCGGAAATTGAGAAATTGCTGGTGTCAATCCGCCAAATGGGACTCCCAGGGCGGAACGATAGCCATTGGTCCTGCTGAAGCCAACCCAGGAAGAATTGAATGATACTGCATGGAAAGAATTGCTCCGCCTGGTTGGCTATCTTATCGGTTTTCATTTGTCCTTTTCTTTCGAATTGTTCCTGTGCATCTTCCATTTCTTGTGTCGTTTCATTGCGCCGATATCAGTTACAAAAGGGGAGAGCAAGAAAGCAATTGCATCGCAGGGCATTGTTTTCATAGACCTAAGAGCTAAAGCTGACTCTGAGCAGACCCTTGGGTACTGAATGCATGGGTGTATCCGGAAGACTTACCTGAGTGGTTGATGTAAAGAATCTCCCGATCATGTAACTAGGAATCTGCGTTGGAGCATATAAAGACTAATAATCGTCATAGGAAATAGGGTCTGGTCTGTAAAGACAGTGGCAATCAGTAAATATCGTAAAATCATAGCCTGTTTGAGGACTGGACAATACAAGCCATAAACAAAGAGAAGACACAGTTCTGTGAAATCTCCTCTCCGTAGCAGTTGGCCCAACCTTCTAAGGGCCAGCGAATCATTCTGATGTAATCTGACCCCTACGTTCTACGGCCTCGATATCTGGTCGTTCTATCTAAATCCATTCAGATATAACACCGTATCACCCTCTATAGCTTGGTCTAAGGACCCTCCTGAGATAAGCAGCGAGATCTTCGGCCCGCCGCTTACAGTAGCCTGATGGTGAAGTCAAGCAAGTTGTATATCCATGGATAGAGTTTGATATCATGTGATTTAGTGTCTCAGCAAGTTAGTATTTTGTTGCACATATATGTTGGGGGGTTTGGATTAGTTCGTCCCCTCTACTACCAGCATGGCGCTGGTGTGAGAGAGCTCTTTTGCCCCAGTGACCTAACAATATATGCCTCAGCTGCCCACATATTCGTTACAGCTACCATGACAAAATGGGGCCCCCCGACCCGGAGGATACTTTGGCGTCGATTGGTTTCCCAGACCCTGATGATCCTGATGAGGAAAAGTTTTCCGAGTGAGAACTACATTCTACACGTTCTGGCATCAAACAATTGAAGCTCATTGTCACTCGTGTAGATATCTATCATCGCCAATTGTTACTGTCATCGTCGGCCCCTCTGACTCAGCTCGAACCTTCCACTTACACTCACGCCTTTTAGTTAAGGCCTCCACCTATTTCAAAACTGCTTTGCAACGGGATCGTTTTACTGAAGGCCAAGAGCAGAAAGTGGAACTTGAGGATGTTCATCCCGCTGCCTTCGGTTTCTTTATTGAGTGGCTCTATCGAGATGGCTGGGAGAACGGGTCAGAGACATCTCAATTGCATGAAACCATCATTCCTCTCTATGTGCGAGTATATATACTCGGTGAGAGACTTTTCTGTCCTCGAATGCAGGATGCAGCAGCGGAGGTAATCTACAAGAGCTTGGATGGAATGGGCTCTCGCTACTCTAATACGGTTGTATGTGATCTACTGGAAATCGCGGAGACAGAGATGGGCTGTAGGATCTCCGATGATCCTCTCGGTGACCGGATTCTGTGGTTGGCAGTACAGAGGCTGGAGAAGCTGCAGAAATTTGACAGATTCGCATCCCTTCTACAGGAGCATCAGGAACTTGCAATGCATCTTTGCATGCGTGCTGGGTCGAAAAATTGGAACAATAAAAGAAAATCGAGTGGTAGATTTAAGCAGGAACGTATATATTGATGAATTCTAGTTCAACTTCTATTCTAAGTAGGGGCTGTTTCTGCATTGAACATGGGTATCAACTCTTGTATCTCCGGATTGCTTCTTGCGCTGATGAACAGAGCAGGAAAATAGGGCCATTTTTATGGTCTTATTTGAGCACCGAGGGAAATCCCATTGTCATTAAACAAGACATAACACAAAGGAAATCTCACCTCAGTAAATAATAGTGGATGACCGGCGTATAGAAGATTATAGAAGTCCATGTAAGTTCGGATTATGCTAAGATATAGCCTCAGTCTAGAGAATTTTGCCCCTATCAGCCATTTCATCATTATATCAATATACATGACCCATAATATCCGCCTGATTGCTTGGCAATTGTGATGATTGGCGATGGGACTTGCTGGGAAAGCCAACGTCTCTCTTTCTCGCGCATTCAGAATGCTTCTCTCACCAATTCTGCGGCCCCAACTTGGTTTTCGTCTTGGACTAGTTTTTCCAAAACTTTTTCTTTCCTCTCAAAACTGCCATCGACTCTTACAGCGCGACTGATCATGAACTGGGACCATCTGGCTGAGGAGTCGTCCCAGAAGTTGTTTGCAAGTTGGCTCCAACTCCTGTCACCCGCCGTACCACTGACACTTGCGGGTCAACACCGCCCTGGCCATCAAGCCATCAAAGCTTCAAGTTTCACCACTGGTGCTTTTAACATATGCTGTACTGTTACATTTGAAGATGAGTTCCGCGTGGTTGTTCGATTTCCTATTCTAGGTCGAAGCCGGTTTCGCACAGAAAAGACTCGGGATGAGGTTTCAGTGATGAATTTTCTCTCAAGACGAACGCGGGTTCCTGTTCCTATCGTTCTTGGTGCAGGTCGCTGGGGATGCGGCCCTTATGTTGTCACAACATTTATTGAGGGCACTTTGCTGTCCAAACAGCTTAAGTGCCCTTCTGTGGGCTTAAGTGACCTGGAAAGAGCGTACCAGGGAATGGCCGAAGTCATGCTAGAGCTCTCGAAACCCACCTTCCCAAGCATTGGGGCTCTGGAATTCGAATCGGGGAAATGGCAAGTGACCAAGAGGCCAATGACTCTCAGCATGAACGAACTTGTGCGTGTTGGAAACCTTCCCCCAGCTATATTTACAAGGAAGATTTTTCCAACGGCTGCTGAATACTTTGAGGAACTTGCTACCCAGCAGCTCCTCCATGTACAATATCAGCGCAATGATGCCGTGGAAAACGAACATGATGCTCGGAAAAAGTATATAGCGCGCTGTCTTTTCCGAAAAATAGCACGGGATATTCAATGGGAACCGGGTCCCTTCCACCTATGGTGTGATGACTTTTGTCCATCAAATGTACTTGTCTCTGAGTCTGATCTTACCATCACTGGCGTTATTGACTGGGAATTTACTTATGTTGCACCCACTGAATTTACCTGCACTGCGCCGTGGTGGCTCCTGTTTGAAAGGCCAGAAGCCTGGGGGTCAGATCTGAATGACTTTTTGGCCAGGTACACACCAAGGCTCCAATTTTTCCTCAAGATCCTTCGGGCTTGTGAGGACAGGCAGGTGCGGAATGGGACCTTGACGGATTCACAGCGCCTATCAGATCGGATGGCACGCTCTCTGGACTGTGGGCTCTTTTGGTTTTGTCTTGCTACACGAAGGAGCTTCATGTTTGATGATATTTATTGGACATTCCTTGATGAGAAGCACTTTGGTCGTCTGAATTCTCTAGATGACAGACTCTCTCTTCTCTCTCAGGACGAGCTGGATGGGCTGGATGGGTTTGTTCGGATGAAGATGCAGCAAGTTGAAGAAAAGCGCTTGGACGAACATCTGACCTTTGATGAACTTGTTGACCTTTAACTCAGGTGGAGCCCACAAGAGTTTGTCGGAGAGATCTATCTTGAGGGCATAATGAATCTACTGTTTAATTTTTATTCGTAGATAGATAAATAATATCAGAGCCTTAGAAATCATACCCTGACAATACTCACCATCACAGAATTCATTAGGCAGAATCTTTTAATCCAGTTTTCAACAATAAGATAATTTGTACCATTCTCATGAATGTAACAAACAACAGGTAGCTTCAAGTTGCAACATTAGGCATGTTGGAGATGGTCATCTCACTCTACAAGTTGAAGGGCAGTTTTTTCAAGGATGGATTGGCACCAAATTCTGCTTGATTGATGGCTTTTATTATCAGGAACAAATAGTGAGTGGTCGGTAACCATTGTATACGCGCAACCCGAACCACCTATTACTACTGTGTATGTATTTAATACATCGATCCTTCATTGCAGCCAAATTTCACTCTCGTTAATACCCGGGGGAAGCAGCAGCAGCAGCACTACAGGCCTCGCCCCCACTCCTCAAATGACCACTGATCCCCTCCCCAGCATCCTCTGCCTCCACGGCTCTGGCACATCCGCCGCCATCTTCAAAATCCAAACCATCCGTCTCCGCCGCGAGCTGCAACACCGCTTCTCCTTCGTCTTCATCGATGCGCCCTTCCAAACAGACCCCGACCCGGGCGTGCTGCCAGTCTTCGCCGATGCAGGGCCCTACTTCACCTGGGTGGATCTCTCTACGCTGCCTGTATCGTGTCGCTCGCTAGCTACAAAGGACGAAGAAACTAAGGAAATGTCGGCGCTGCAGAGGAGTATCCTCCGCGGCCGCACGCAGCTGATGCCCGCGCGCACGGTGGAGTTGTTGGAGAAGACAGTTCGCGAGCAGATCGAGAGGGATGGGAGGGGCTTTGTGGGCGTTATTGGCTTCTCGATGGGGGGCCGGTTGGCTGCCGGGTTGTTACTGGAGCAGCAGGAACGGCTCCTGGCACAGCAGCGGGGGAATGGCGGGAATGCGAGCGGGAACGGATTCGCAGACTGTCACCTTGCTCCGGCTCCCACTGGCCTGAGTGGTGGTGGTGGTGGTGGTGGTGAGGGGCAATCGTTCAAATTCGGAGTCTTCATATGTGCGACGTCGCCGCCCATAACAAAATTGCACGACCTCCTCGATCATGATAGTACGGATGGAAGAGGCGATAAAATCACACTGCCTCAGATTGATATTCCCACTCTACATATCCTGGGCCTCAATGATCCTTGGATAGCCCCGGGAGAGTTGTTGGCGACAACTCATTTCAACCAGGTGAAGACGACGGTGCGGAAGTTGGATATGGGCCATCATCTCCCTACTCAGCAGAAGGATAATATGCTGCTGGTCGAAGGGATATTGGATATGGCAAAGGAAATTGGCATATGAAATATGAGGCGGGCTCATGATGTTTTTTTTTCATTTCCCCCCTCCCTCAAGCTCTTATTCTTCTTGGCCGGGGCTTCGTGTTTTGATGGATATAAATAGATAGATCTCTTACTGAATACTTGAGCTGAGAGCGATGCTGGTGTTCCATAGACCAGTTTATGTTTGGTGTTTTCCCATAGAGAAATGAGCGAGGGCTTAATCGTTGCGGGGGATCCCGCTATTACATGCGCTTTTTAGAGGGAAGGAAGATGCTAATGTGACCATGTCACTCCAATCATGGAATTCGCAATTTTGGCAAATATAGTGCTAGTAACTTGGTTACCATGCTCCATGCCTTCATGTTTGCATTCCCAAGACTGTAAATCGTAGGCTCCTTGTTTCCGCCGTGATCCTGCCACCTGGGCACCTTATTATACAATAATTGAAGAATTATATAAATATTCCTTCATTCTTTATTATGATTCTCTCTTAATAAATATGCTTTTCTCCGGATTGTTGGGGGATAGCCCGCGCCTATTGCAGGATTGCCGGTTACGGCTGAAGGGGCGCTTGACGGGAATCCCCCCTTTTATATACGCGAATTGAGGGAGAATTTTTGGATAAGTACACCCTCATCATGTCGAAGCACGCGAGCCAAAATAATCAACGGTTGTTTTTATCATCCATTAGATTTCTACTGGAATTGCATCTATGATATAAAGCCTTTTCCAATCATCTCATTTTCAGCTAGGCCTTGCTTCTTTGCAGAAATACCCAAAGACATGGTCAATCAAGTCCAATCCACTCTTTTCTAGAAAACGGGAGAATCTGCTTCTCTACAAGAGGAGCAGAATGGATTCATTTTCAACAACCAGCATTTCAGAAGAGGGTTGAGTCAGAATAACCACAAAATATCATGTTATTCAAACAAATTGCACTGCAGCTCCAGTTTGCTTGTTCTCCCTGGCTCATGGAATGATTATATCAAAACTCACAAAACAGAAATCCAAATGAAAACAATATAAAATAGAAGAGCTTCTGTGCTGCAGTGTGTCATTTTCACTGCTCTCAAGCCATCTTATCATACATAGAAAGGTGAAAAATACAGCTAGGAATTCAAATATATCTCACATAACTTTATATGAAGAAATATTTAGAACTTTTCCATGTCATATACAATGATTAATGTACTTTTTTATATTCTCGATTTTTTATAATAGTTAAATTTGATAGCAGATTATAAATTACCAATAAAAGATTAAATATAATTAAAAATGATTGATATATGGGGTTGATAGTTTTGACAATTTGTATGGGAAGTGATGATGGGCAGTGGTCGTTGGGTGATCACATTAAGGTTAGTTAGTTGGTTAACTTAAAACTTCCGATTGATAAAATTACATCATCATCAGAAGCAAAAAAAATCCTCATTACATCGAGGCGGGGCGCAAGAACACAATCTCCTCGCCCATTGCCAACAGACTGGCCGCCATGGTCCGCATAGAAGAACTCCCTGATGATTTCGAAGAATCCCTCGATCTCAATAAACCCCACGCTCCGGGACCTACACTGGGCGCGCAGGCTATCCTCAACGAAACACCCTTCGGCATCAAGGAAAATGCCTCCGTACAGGACCCAACCGCCCCTCCCATGCCGCCTGGCATGGCCTCGGTCAAGTCGCATACAGCAGAAGAAATATTTGACATGATGAACAAGACCCCGCTGTTCATGACTGATCTTTCGAAAGCAACGGATGGAGGTATGTGGTGCGGATTCGACCAGCGAGTTGCCTTCCTTTTCGCGATGTGATTGATTTCACAAAATATTAATCTACTCCCTTCTTCGCAGATGAGGAAAATATTGGTCTTGAAGCCATGCGGGCTTTGCAATATGAAGGGACACGAGCGGAAGTGGCTCAGGGATTTCGGGAATCGGGAAACGAGGTCACGAGGCAGAAGAAATGGGCGGATGGGAAAGAATTCTACACCAAGGCTATTGCGGTGCTTACAGGCGATAATAAATGGGAGGAGAGCTCGGACCCTGAAGGGGATCGTATAAAGGAACGCGAAATCGCGGAAGCTTGCTATACGAATCGCGCATTGTGTAATCTGGAATTGAGTAAGAAGCTTCCGCCTCATTTGCCTGTGCCAAAAAAAAAAAAAAAAAAAAAAAAAAGTGTTGTGTCCCGCTGGCTGATTTACAAACTAGAAAACTACAGGTCAACCACTCTGGACTGCGCTTCGGCGCTGAAACTCAACCCAAAAAATGTCAAGGCCTACTACCGATCCACCTGTGCCCTCTTCGCACTCGACAAAATCCCCCAAGCAGAAGATACATGCGCAAGGGGGCTAGCCTTAGACCCGCCCAACAAACCATTGCAAACCATGTCCGCCAAAATATCCGCGCGCAAATCCGCCCTCGAGGAAATCGCCGCCAAGCGACGTGCCGAAGAGGAACGCGCCCGCAAGGAGAAACTGCTCCTTAACTCCGCGCTGCGGGCTCGTGAAATCAGAGTCCGGAACTCCGACCAGCCACCCGAACTTGAAGATGCCGTTATACACCTGTCCCCTGACCCGCTCTCACCCAAAAGCACCCTCTTCTTCCCCACCGTCTTCCTATACCCCATGGAAGCACAGTCGGATTTCGTCAAAGCGTTTGCTGAAACAGAGACGATTAGCGACCAGCTAAGGTATATATTCCCCTTGCCGTGGGATTCACGGCAGGAGTACAAGCTTGAGTCTGTGGAATGCTTTATGGAGACAGTGGCTGGGGGGCTTATTAAAGTTGGGAAGAAAATGCCGTTGTTGAAGATATTGGCGGGCGGGAAGGTGGAGGTTGTGGACGGGCTGGTTAAGATCAATATTGTGCCGACGGGCAAGTCAAAACAGTGGATTGAGGAGATGAAGGCGAGGAAGGGGGCTTGATTTTGGCATATTTGGAGATTCCGTGCGGCCCTCGTTTTGTGTACTCCGCTTGGAGACGGAATCAGACTAAATAATACCGGGTCATGTGTTTCCCTACATTTGGTTGTGGCCTCCTTTGGTTGTTTTTTTCTCAACCCCATCTTCTTGACTCCGGATTGGCCCCGACAACGAAATGGAAGAGAGAACTCGCATCTCTCGGGAAATCTGGCGACAAGGATGAATGATTTAAGATGCAGGAACGTACGGATGTACTGTGATCCTTGATATGAGTGTCTGATTCCTAATCACTTGGCAACTGATGGTTGCGGGAGAAGATCCATTTCAAGATATGTGGCTTTCAAAAATACCCCATATTTGGCAATAGTTAGGTTACAGTGGTGGACTTCTTATATCAGACTGACGATGGGGAGCAAGTAAAATAAAGCTTACCATGGGTCAGGAAGATAAGAAGCTAAGAATTGGCTCTGCTCGCTTCTTCTATGGGCAAAATGGTAGGCCCATATGCCACTACTTTGGATGTCCTATCTGAAGGAAACGAACAGATTGTAGCCATTTTAGAGCAACCACGGTGTATGTATTGTACAAAATACAGTACATAGATGCAGAATAATGTGGTATAACAGGAAAAGCTTTATCCATGTCGACCCTCACCAATTGGTTTATGAGCCTTGAGCTATGATGCATTCATTATTAGGCTTTGCAATCCTAGCGGGAGAACCAGGGGAAGGCTGGATTTGTTCACAAAATATTAAGTGTTCGTGCTGGTCACTTGAAATGGTGATATTCCTTAGATGCCCCGGTATATTAGCTGCATGAGCAGCAGCCGAGGGTGTAAAGGGATAAAAGCTACAGGCAATAGGGATTTCATAAAGCCGTTTTGTTTTCATAGGATTGATGATGAGGGATCCGTCATTCAGTTGCCTCTTGAGGAGATACAATCCGAAGAGCCCAGGATCGACCTCCAAGGCCAAAATCCTGGTGCACCAGAAGGATTCTGTACTTGGCACATCAAATTTCCGCCACAAGCTGTTATAGTTATTGCAAAGTACAGTTCAAGGACGGGCTGCTTTCCAGTTCTTATTCTTGTTTTTCGACTCGAATGATGAAACAAATAGCTGAGCAGACACAAGATTCCTTCTCTAACTGCCCCCCTGTTCTGAAGCCAGCCAGGTCCAGGATCAAGGGATCTCCTCAATTCACAAGTTCATAATATCCACTTGGGTCGCAGTAGTGTAACGGCGGCGTTAGCGGGAAAGGATATTCTAGTGCCACCCACAGGGAACAGCGCCATAATAACTATCCGAGCGGACAAATGAGGGCGCCAGACCATTCAAGTCATGCATTGTAATTTGACAAACCGACGATGTGCTGCTGGGGAAGATTTGGTGTTTAAGCTGATGCTCGAGGTTGGGTGCAGATACATCGCAAGTTGAGTATTGTAAGCGCGTGACAGCCACGCAATACGACTAGTCCCAGAATAGCCATCCGTAGCACGATGAATAAGCCATTTCAGCCAATGGGACCTCGGCAGCCACGAAATTGGTCACGGGACGGTAATATGACGCAGGGGGAAATCCCAGCAGAGATTTCCTCACCGCATCGCTTCGGAGAGCCGCAACACAACGCGATTGCAACGCAACCTCAGACTTGTCGCCCTCAACGCCCGAGCAGCATCTCAACCCGCCCACAAAACGCGCTCTCGACATTGCACCTGGTTCCCCACCGTCAGCGTCATCGTTGGATCTGCGGCTGGCGCTATCTCTCCGCCGCGCACGTAATATCCCGTTCCCGTCGCCTAAGTTAACTGGCGCTGGAAGGCCAAACGCGAGTCACAAGAACAGCACGCAAATACTCAGCGTAGGCCAACCGGGCCTTTCGATGAGTCCATTTGCCAGATAGTGGCCAGATAAACAGACGCCTTGCACGGCCACCCTTACGCTTCCCATTTGCTCGGTGGCTTCGTTATTTAGCAAGTTCCTTCTGCTTATCATTCTTGGGCCACTCCTTTTGGAAGCGGTTTTGATCCGTGGCTGCCTAGCATTATTACCACCGTGAATATTTCGATTATTATTATTGCGCATGATTATCCCCGCTATAATATTTTCCCAACCGAAAAGATAGATATATGTACAGTTAAGAATGAATAATCAACCTCATTCCTCCTATCCGACCCTCCAACAGCATCCGATGGCTGTGATCTCTCCCGCAGGCTATCCGATGCAGCATCCCTCCCCGGCTCATATTCAAGCTCAAGCGCAAGCGCAGGCTCATGTCCACGCTCAGGCGCAGGCTCATGCTCAAGCACAGGCTCAAGCGCGTGCTCAGGGTCTACCCTACTATGCAAGTCCGAATCAGTATCCTCCCCAATCAAGAGCGCCACAGATCCACCATCAGCCTGTACAGCATGGTGGTGGCTACGGCCCCGTTCCACTGCATGCTGGTGCATCAAGCATGATGATGTCTCCTGGCATTCCCCATCATTCGTCTGGTCTTAGTCCCAGTAGGTCGTCCGTCTTTCCGCTCTTGTCGTCAGTTTTTTACTTGATCTTATTTCTTTAGCTCCTTAAATTATGTGCCCTAAATTTCCTCCATCCCTGTTTTCTCTTACTGTTCTTATCCCATTGGCCGATCAGTCGCTCCGTTGTCATGCTCAATGTCCCACCCCCGTTTCCCCCCTTGCTACTTTTACATTCCGACTCCGCTCCGACAAAACGCTCTTCTCGACGCGCACAAAACCTTGCCCTCTATGGAGGTTTGTTATGTTGTTGTCACCTCGCTGATACATTGGCGTCTTCTCTGCCACGGTTTACAGTGCCTCACCCATCAAATTTCTCGAATCCTCAATATATGCAATCAATCCCAGCTACCGTGGCGCAATCCCCCATTCCTCAATCGCCGTCCCCCCAGAGTGTAGTTTCTCTGTCGCAAAGCCAACCACAAGCAATGGCTACTGTTACCTCATCAAACCCTGTGTTTTCCACTCCTCCCCGTCCGTCTCAGACCTCAAACCACCAGGCGCAGGCGCAGCAGCAGCACCAACAACTACAACAACAAACACACTCCCCAGTTTCCGCGCTCTCTCCGCAGCAGGCTGCTCGTGAAAAGGCCCGTGTGGCCGTTCTTCTCGATATCAATTCAGCGCTGCTACAGGAAGTGGTGAACCTTCAAGCCTCAGGCAAGGCGGGCGTAACACCCGCCCAGCCCGCTGCACAGCAATCGTCATCCGTTAAAGAGAGCAGTACAATCTCACCAACTTCTCCTACCGACATTTCGGGTTCACAATCGCAGAACCCTGGCAGCAGCGCAGATGGACCTAAACCTCCCTCTGGTCCCACCAACAAACCCAGCATTGAATATATCGACTGCATGCGACGCCTCCAGGCGAACTTGGCGTACCTTGCTACTGTTGCGGATCGCGCGAAGAAATCAGGAGCCGCCGCTCCACAGGCTCCCGCAATTATGACTCCACCTCCAAGTCTCCCCGGTGTTACGGATTTATATACCAAACTGAGTGAACTATTTCCTGGGGCGTCAAAATCAGGTGGCGTGCCGCCGTCTACGCCTCAGCAACAGCAACATCACCAGCAACGAAACCTAACAGGAAATTTTATGTCGCCACAAGGGAATGGCACTCCAGTTCGTAACTCACCGGCGGAAACGATGGGTTGAGCAGACACTCAAAGAATGTAAGGATATGATTTACCTACTTTTCTCATCCATTTTCCCTCGGGATTAATCTGAAAACTGTTCGAGGCCCTCGAAGAACCAATGTCCATCCATTGCTACTTGATTAGTTTTCAGGAAGCATGGGAAACTGTCATCCGCACCACGGACGACGCCCGTACTAGGTCCCCAAATGTTTGGGCCTAAGAGGAGTAATTCATGCGCGCGGGCAATAAACTTCTTGATTGTCCCAAGCCCTTGATTGTCTCAGCCCCGAGCAAGGAGAAGTAAAGGAGGAGTGTGTCAAGGGAAATATGTGTATTTATATGTGAAGAACGCACGCCTCACTTAAACGACCTAAAATACGGATATATGCGAATCCAACGAGGAGGGTGGGGTGTTATGTGCTTGAAGGCTATTGCTGGAGGCATAGAGCCGAACACGCACGCGGTTAATGGGTTCTAAAGTGCGGTTTTGATTATCTATGGACCCTCTGTTGTTGCCAATTGTTTTTATTGCTTGTGACAGTGGGAAATGGGGGCTTCCGGAAAGTATATATCTCTACATATGGCTGACCATATCAAAGGCTATTTATGTTATTCTTATGGACCCATGGCGAGCTGTTCAGTGTATCGGTACCTGCCTCTCATATCTCGTCTGTTTCCTGAATGGGATGCTGGTTGGGAATAATTTGGTGGCAAGGAGGAACCGTCCTCCCTCCCGGACAGTGTGTAATTAATATCGATTAACTAGAATACTACCTTTCTCCGCTATCCGTTCCCTCAAATATTCTTGATAGTGCAATATTTTGCGCTTTTGTTGAGACCACAGAGACTTTGAACTGTAATATATTTCGATACAGCCACATTTCAACGCTTCAGGCAGCTTACCACCAGTTAAAAGCTACAGATTACAACATAACACAGTTACACGTACCGTCAGAACAGGCCAAAACATCTCGTTAACTTTTGGGGACAATGAGAAATAAGGAGACGAGGAGCGAACAATGCAACGGCAGCAACCTGCAGTCGTCTCTATCTTTCATAGATACCGTACGCCTGGACCCAGCACAGCTCGTCCGACATCCTGCATCCATTGATTGACTTGGATCTGTGGTGAATCGTTCGCGTGGTTATTCCCGCTAGTCATTCATGCTAAACCCGACGCCCACTTCCTCGATCTTGAGCCGCAGCCTCAACCTCCTCCTCGTGTTGTTGTATTTAGCATACAGCTAGACGATCTCTTCTCAGCATCATTCTCTCTCATGTTTTCCTTTCCCTTTATAATTCGCCGCCATTCATCATTCCCTATTTATTTCTTCAACCTCTTCCCCGTTTCTTGCTGTGCATTATATCTAATCTCCTCGGCGGAAACTTTCTCCCGTTCTCCACCACGTTAACCTAGGCACAATAAAGCACCAGGAACCAACCGCCGAATTCAACGCTGGAAAACAGAAACAGGAAAACAGCCCGCCAACAATAGCACCGCGATCCCGACCTCCCTTTCTCTTCCTTCCTCAATCTCCCTCCTCCCTCCTCCCTCCTCCCTCCACATCCCGCCATCATGGAAATGAGCTCCAAGCGCAAACACAGCAGCGGGCCTATCTCCCTCCGCTCCGCCAAACACCTCCGCTCGGACACCGCCGCCTCCCCGCAACCATTAACCCCAGATGACCAAACGCTGGGCGAAGAGGCAGTTTATGTCCTCGATAACGAAGACGAGGATCTCTCCCATATGCTTCCCCTTGCCCCTGCCGCTGCTGCGCAGACAGACTCGCCAGAATGGCAGGCTACCATCGAGACGGTAGTGAAGAGCGTTGTCTCTATCCATTTCTGCCAGACTGCGTCGTTTGATACGGATTTGTCCATGTCGAGTCAGGCTACGGGGTTTGTGGTAGATGCGGAGAAAGGGTATATTTTGACAAATCGACATGTAGTTTGCGCAGGGCCGTTTTGGGGTTATTGTATTTTTGATAATCATGAGGAGGTTTGTTTTTGGCTTTTTTTTCCATTCGCTTTTTTTTTTTAAATATTTTCATAATCTCTGGTGGGAAGATTGTTACTGATATGGTTACTTTCGATTGTAGTGTGATGTCCGACCTGTTTATCGAGATCCTGTTCACGATTTTGGCATTTTGAAATTCGACCCTGCCGCTATTAAATACATGCCTGTCACAGAATTGGAATTGTCACCAGACGCGGCAAAAGTTGGTGTCGAAATAAGAGTCGTAGGGAATGACGCCGGTGAGAAATTGAGCATTCTCTCTGGCGTTATCAGTCGTCTGGACCGCAATGCTCCCGAATACGGAGAAGGCTACAGCGATTTCAACACAAATTACATCCAGGCCGCTGCTGCAGCCAGTGGTGGGAGTTCTGGCAGTCCTGTCGTGAACATAGATGGTCATGCGATTGCGCTACAGGCCGGTGGCCGGGCAGATGGCGCTGCTACAGATTACTTCTTACCTCTCGATCGCCCACTGAGAGCTCTGGAGTGCATACGAAAAGGAGTGCCGGTCACGCGTGGCACAATACAGACTCAGTGGATCATCAAACCCTTTGATGAATGTCGTCGTCTTGGCCTATCCCCGGAATGGGAAGCTGCAGTCCGCAAAGGCGCTCCCAAAGAAACCGGGATGTTGGTCGCGGAAATAGTTCTCCCTGAAGGCCCTGGCGACGGCAAGCTACAGGAAGGCGACGTGTTGATCAAAGTCAACGGTGAACTTCTTACGCAATTTGTAAAGTTGGATGCGATTTTGGATTCGAGTGTGGGTAAGGATGTTCACCTTCTTGTGCAGCGTGGGGGGGAGGATCTAGAAGTTTCATGTACTGTTGGAGACCTTCATGAAATCACTCCCGCTCGCTATGTTACCGTTGCCGGTGCCACGTTCCACGACCTCTCCTATCAACAGGCCAGGCTTTATGCGATCGCCTGCAAGGGGGTGTATGTCTGTGAAGCTGCTGGTTCGTTTAAACTTGAAAATACCTTTTCTGGTTGGATAGTAGATACGGTGGACAAACGACCCACAAAAAATCTGGATGAGTTTATTGAGGTTGTGAAAACTATTCCAGGTAAGTTTTTTAACTCGTCCTATGGTGATATTTAATTCTATTTGCTGATTAGGATTTAGATCGCGCGCGGGTTGTTCTGTCATATAGGCATATTCGAGATTTGCATACCAGAGGGACAAGCATAGTGCACATAGACCGCCATTGGCATCCACATATTAGGGAAGCTATCCGCAATGATGAGACTGGATTATGGGATTTCACAAACATTGCGGACCCACTTCCCGCGGAGCTCCCAGTTCCTCGGAAAGCTGATTTCATTCAGCTTGACGGTGCCAACCATCCAGCAGCTGCCGATATCGTCCGCAGCTTCGTTCGCGTCTCTTGCACAATGCCGGTGAAACTCGACGGATATCCACAAGCCCGAAAAGCCGGATTCGGTCTCGTCGTCGATGCTGAGGCAGGGCTTGTGCTTGTTTCCAGAGCTATTGTACCCTTTGATCTGTGTGATATCAATGTCACCGTAGCGGACTCCATTATCGTCATGGCAAAAGTGATTTTCCTCATCCACTACAGAATTAC